GGTGCCCGAGCCGGCGGCACCTGTCCAATTGTCTACCCTCAAGTCAAAGGTACCTTCATCGTCGAGGCCGCGCTTAGCACCACGTAAGGTTTGCATACTGTACTCAAGCACGAGCTGCCAGGGTTGTACAAAAAGCGATCCAAAAGGGGGATACGAAAGGTAAATGAAGGATGAGTTGCGAGTGACTGACACCCCCTGATTGGTGATTGAGTTCGGATGAAGTCGGGCTTCCGCCCGAAAGCCAGAAACCAGAAATTCAATTGAACACTGGATCTGTTTGCAATGGTTCTGGCCCAAGAGTTGCAAGCCCTGGGTCCAGCGGGTTACATTTTGAGGGATATCTCCCCCTAAATGACTATAAAACCAGCTAACTCCAAGGAGTTAATTCGGGTCTTGTTGGAAAGCAAGGGAACAGGGGCTTTGGGGGCAAAGCAATGCGGGGTCAAAAAAAAAATGATGCGTTTAAAACCACCCCGAGAGGGATACCAACCAACCAACCAACCAACCAAACAGGCAAGGTTAAAGGAGCCCTTCTGGCTCCGGCGTTGCAATCGAGGCTCTCCTCCACTTCCAAGCACCGCATGTGCAGCTCCTCCTGGATCCAACCCCGAAAAAAGCCCCCCCTTAAAGGGACCAAAGGCTTAAACCTCTTCAGGCTCGCTTGAAGGATGCACCCAACAATCGACCTTTAACACGGCGCTTGTAATTTGGCCAACATGTATGCTCTAAGGAACCCGGCTCAAGCACGGAGAGAGAGGCGTTCACTAAAACTGGCAAAAGCCTAGAAACTGAGGAAGCGAGGCTTAACCAGGCAGAGCCCTGGACTCAAATGGTCGGCAGCATTTTTTGGAAAGCCAATCCAAGGAACCTGGGACAATACCCCGGGAGGAACCAACAGAACCCTTCATCCATTTGCCCACATCCCCAAAGTTGACATGTTGGCCAACTAGGGCTTGTCTCAAGTTGGGACCTTCCAGATTGGTTAGCCTTGTAGTCCCCCTTTAACCCAACCTGAACAAGGCTACTCTCAAAAACAGAGACACCCATGTTGTTGCTTGCCTTGTCGGTGCCTCTTTCATCCGACAAGGGTGGTCTTCCCTTTATTTCCCTTCAAATATATTAATAAATAGTGATATTTAATAACATTTGCTTGAATATTATTGATTTTAATAGTTTAAGTATTATTTTTAAACACCCCAAAAACAGGCACCCTCAACCAAAGGCACACCCCGAATGCTTAATGCACCTTGGCTCCCCTTGGCTGCACTGGCTCCCCACTGCCATCTGCTTAAGAAAGCCCCCCGGAAAAAAAAAAAAAAACAAAAAACAAAAAACATCTAGTATATTTCCAGCAGCCAACTCCATTCCCTTCAAAACCAACCAGGAAACATAGATATACAAACATATTACGAACGTATTCATAAATTCCTCAGCAAAAGATATATCTTCCGCCCAAGCTCGGCTCCCAACATCGAGCGCCTTCTCGGCCTGCTGGAGCCTCCGGCGCGTCATCTCCTGCTCAAGACGGCGGAACTCCTCCTCCTTCCGTCGCTCCTCGAGCTCCTGCTGCTTCCTGGGCCCCGTCTCGCTGATTTTTCCGGTTGGCTCTCTGCGAAGCGATTGCGTGCATTAAACTCCAGGGGCCACATAGGCAAGGTTTTAACATACAGCTAGTGCCAAACATTGGGGCTGAGAATAGATCAGGCACACTTCGTGCATGAGGGGTGCAGGTAAGAACGGCTTTCTTGGCCATGTCCGAATTGGCGAATTGAAATGACGCCGTTCCGCCACCCTTCACCTACCCATGTGTCTCAAATACTTCCGTGGCCAAAAAGCTTCAACTTGTTGTACCTAGAAATGGCCTCGTTTCGGTGTTGATTGCCAGCTTTTGTTAAAAACAAAAAAGTCGGCAACCCGTTGAACGTCACCCCGTCACCCCGGTCCGAAGGATAGGAATCCAAGAACCAGCTTTGCCAAGCAGACGGGTCAGAACCAATCAGCTTGAGGTGAGGATGGGCTCAGCCGGTTCTCAGCCAGGTCGAACACTCCCCACTCAAATTGAGTTAGACCCTGGGCTCGGGACTTGGGACTTGCAAAAAAACGCCTCAAATTTCGACCCCGGGCTCGGGGCTCGGTTTCGAGCCTTCGGCCAAAAAGGCCGAGGGTCTCCAGTTCGATCATGTCAGTCATGGCCTTCACCTGGCCCTTCACCAGCTGCACTTTTCGTTCAGGACTGGCTACCTTGGCTGTGGTTTGGTGGCATGGAGGAAATTCCCCACGTTGTTGGGTAGCTTGGAGCCGAATCGGTTTGGACTGGTTTGGTGGTGACATGGACGAAACTCCCAAGAAGGTTCAATGGAAAATCCGTTTACAACAAGTCCTAAGGTCAGCTTCCCACGTGGTTTGGAGCCGAATCGGTGGTTTGGTGGTGACATAATAAATGGTTTCCGACCATTTACCCCCTACAACGACCGGTCCAGCCTCCAAACCACCAATCGAAACCACCCGAGGGCAGCCTGATTGGTGTACCCGAACAACATGCAGCGGCTCGGTGTTGTTCGAGGGTGTGGTTTCAAAGGGAAACCAAGAAGGAAAATCACATTTCTCTTAGCCCCCCCTAGGTTTAACCCATGTTGAGTGTGTGAAAGCAGGACACGCTCCATTCTCTTTTGGTTTCCCTTAGTGAATACATAAGTCATGGACTGTTTGGCACGTTCAGAGGGAAAAGAGACCAAAGCTTTGACCCAGCCTCCCGAGGCTGCAAGAGGTCCTCTGAGAAGGAGAGCAGGTCACTGGGGATCTGGTACTTGATGAAAAGCCTGCGCACTTGGTGGGTCTTTCAAATTTGGGAAGACGCCGTGTAATTGGGTGATTTCCTGGCAGTTTCCCTTTAAAGTTCGCCCAAAACGGGCTTCCCTACTTTGAGAACCATGCCAAAGGTCTCCAGGTGCCCCAAAACCGATGTTTTGCTGGCAAAACGAAGGAACCCCAAAAGGGCAACGGGGTAAAAAGGTAAGCCACCCCAGCAGGAGTAGTGCAAAATATGCTTCAACAACCAGCCCCTGATACCCTTTGATAAAAAGGAAAGCCTGAAACAATCGGACTAGAAGTATGCTTACACAGTTGGTTGGTAATAAAGGATCCATCTCAGCCTATGAGTTGAACCCACATTGTTCGATGGCTTACCAACTCAACGGACCAGGAAACAACAGCTTGTCATTGCAAATCTTGGTATGGTAGCAAAAAGAAGTTGTGTGCAGCCCCCAAGAATGAACACAAAGCCAAACAACTTGCCAATATCAGTGAAGTGGTTGAAGTTTGCTAAGTGGCAATGAACTCCGAGGGCCTCCAATTTCCTAACGATGGGTAGCTTGACAAACCTCTGGCGATGAGCTTCGCAAGCTTCGAACGGGAAACCCTCCAGTGGCTGAGAGCCATCTGAAATGGAAAGCACAGTGTCACAGTGAAGGATTTGGGTGTGTCTCTTGCGCGGGTACCCTTGCTGCTTGAAAATCCAAAGGAAACGGACAACTCCAGCTAGGTCGCCGAAGTGGAGCCCAAACTCAGCCCAGCGGCTGCATGAGGTCCTGGGTCAGCTTGATCTCCTAGCAGGTGGGAAACTTTCAAGGACGCGTCACTTTCTCAGGGGCTCTCTTGAATCACAGCAACTGGCCCTGAGACGAACAGAGGCGGCACGGAGCTCCTTGGTGAGGCTGTCATCCGGGAGGTTCAGAAGCTTCTCCAGCTGCGGCTTGATCTGAATGACCTCGCGACTTATAAGACGACCCATCCGCTTTGCTCCCCGAAACCGCTTTGCTGCAATTGCTCATGGCCTCCAAGGACTTTGAGACAGTCCCACAAATCAAGCCGCAAATGCCCCCGACCTGGCACCATCCTCTCGCGAAACCAAATGATCCGAAACCAACCCCGCACCCCAATCGGGGCTGTGATGTTCAATTGCCGAAGCACGGGGCTGTTTCAGTCTTGCCCGGGTGTGTGTTTTGGGGACCCGCTCCACGCTTGAAGCGCGGGGTGTAAAACGCAATTATGGCCAACCGGAAACCAACATATTCACCGCCCATTTGCTTGAGAGTCACGTTGAAAACTAGCTGAGGATGCTGAACATATTTTGTCAAACTCTGCCGACCTTAATTCTGGTTCATAATGTAATGTGATCCCCGAAGCCATAAACCGATCCTAGTGGGGTGTCACCCAAAGGTGGAGCATTTCAAAAGTGGACCAAACAGAGAAAAATCCACCCGGTTGTAAGGGAAAACCACTAGGTTCTAAGGGAAGACCACCAGGTTCTAAGGGAAAACAACCAGGTTCTAAGAAAAGACCACCAGGTTCTAAGGGAAAGTTCTCTAGGAAAACCACCAGGTTCTAAGGGAAGACCACCAGGTTCTAAGGGAAGACCACCAGGTTCTAAGGGAAACCAACGGGTTCTCTAGGAAAACCGCCAGGTTCTAAGGGAAGACCACCAGGTTCTAAGGCAAAACCACCAGGTTCTAAGGGAAGACCACAGGTTCTAAGGGAAAACCACCAGGTTCTAAGGGAAGACCACCAGGTTCTAAGGCAAAGCCACCAGGTTCTAAGGGAAGACCACCAGGTTCTAAGGCAAAACCACCAGGTTCTAAGGAGGCAAGACCACCGGGTTCTCTAGGAAAACCACCAGGTTCTAAGGAGGGAAGACCACCGGGTTCTCTAGGAAAACCACCAGGTTCTAAGGGAAGACCACCAGGTTCTAAGGCAAAACCACATTTTTTCAAGGGAAGACCACCAGGTTCTAAGGCAAAACCAATTTTTTAAGGGAAGACCACCAGGTTCTATTGGAAAACCACCAGGTTCCAAGAGAAAACCACTCGAGGAAAACATCAGGTTCTAAGGGAAGACCACCAGGTTCTAAGGGAAAACCACCAGGTTCAAAGGGAAGACCACCAGGTTCTATTGGAGAACCACCAGATTCTAAGGGACCACCACCAGGTTCTCAGGGAAGACCACCAAAAACTACCATCTAAAAGAAAACCACCAGGTTCTCTTCTGTCGGTTTTGTGTCCAACAACTCCGTGAGCTCTGCAGCGGCGCGTCGACGCGCGCCCGCGCTCCGAGGCGCCACGATGCCGAAGAGGGTGCTCTCCAACTGCATGGCGCGGAAGGCCTTGGCGAAGCCCTGCTGCTCCGGGGACAGGGACTCGATGGCGTCCTGAGCGAGCGCTTCTTTGTCGGCCCGTTGGGGCCAAGTGTGGTGGTCAAGAATAGGGTCAGTAGCCCAAAGATGGCTTGGCCTGGTAAATGGAAACGTGGACAAAAATATGCGGCGCCATTCCACGTGCTTACTTTTGACCCATACCCTTGTAGAAAATGAAGGAAGGCCCAAAGGGGCGTTCTAGACACGCTGCTCACGCTATGGTAGAGATACTGGTCTAGACTAGGAAACGCGACTCATGGTAGAAGTCAGGCCCAACGTCACAGGACAGCATGGCGCCATACGGGTATGTGTTGAGGCTCACCCTTTTTCAGGTTGGTTTGGGAAACCAAACCGAAAGCTGCAGTTCTCAAGGTGCCAAACCGGGCTTAACCGGCCCCCAATTCCATTTATCTCTTCCCCATAGAATGGAAGTAAAACCATAAATGGAATTCTAGGGGTCACCCCCTCCCGCTGCCCTCCTATTTCCTCACCGGCCTCAAGGGCGCAAGTGGGGGGGGGGTTGGAGGCAACAGGAGGGACCGCTTGGAATCTTATGAGCCATGGGAAACAGCGAGCCTCTGGAGTTGCCTGGCATCACTATCCGCATGGTTTGCTCAGGGCAAAATCAGTACGCACCAGGATGCGCATGAGCAACAAACAAAATTAACTTGAAGCTCCCACAATATCAATGGACATAGAAAGATTTGCGAGCTCCCCTACCCTTTCTTGGCCTGAGCCGAAATTAACCAAACCCACTGTAATGTTGGCCAAGCCGGTGTGTACGGCCCCTGCAAAGCAAAGTCATTCCGAGGCTGAATGAATACGTCCATATAAAGACATGGCTGGTGTCAGATAAGTAAACCCTATTCCAACAATAATTCATGATACGTAATCCACTAGACAAGGTCCAAGACCAACGACAGCACTTCAAAGGATTCCTCAAAGGATATGTCCCAAAGCCACCTTCATCACAAGGAATTGGATCCTCAAAATCCGCTAGTATTTGGGCGCTGCAAGGCAGGGAAACCACCCCTCCATGTCATAACAACCACCGAATCCAACATGGCACCTGGTATAGTCGACAGGTCGACATATGACACGGAATCGGAACACATGACCCCATGAAACCTGCCGGGCATCCCAGAAGACTGTCTTGTTTTGTGCTCCAACAGGGACCCTCCGGTAAGGGGGTGCATTGCAATAGGGGGCCCTGTGGTCAACCACTTTAAGGCGGTTCCCTATTATTGATTTGTAGCCAATTTGTGACCTGAAGGTAGACTTAAACGCAGGGCTTCTCCTGGATGAGCCAACCCCGGGTTTACGCCTAGGTTGGGCCCTGGTACTTACCAGGTGGTTTGCAAGCCTGGTTTTAAGCCACTTATTATAAGTCTCCTAATAGGTCATAACCAAACATGCATAGACATATTAACCACTTGCTAAGTACCCGATCGCTCCACTAGGCATGGATGTCAATGCTGATACCAGGTGAGGCATGCCGGCAGCACCTTGAACTCCTTGGGCGTGGGGATGGTCGAGAGGTCCAGCGGAATCTCCAGCTCGTCTTTGTTCCTCGATTCCCGGTGAACTTCATTTCGTGGTAGATGTCTTTCCTTTTCTGGGGGAGGGGGAGGGGGAATCAAGAGCCCTTGGGTAAAAATATAGACAGGTAAACACCAAAGTGTTTGTTTGTTTGTGTGTGTGTGTTCCCGGAACCGAAACAAACCCCATCATTGTTGTTGGGGGGTCCCCCATTCTGGCTCATACCCCGTTGGCACAGGCCTACGGTTCAAACACCCCATGGCTGTGAAAGTGTTCAACTTTGTTTGGGTTAGTCACTATTGACTAGTGCCACGATAAATTGCATTGCCATGCCAGGCTGCGGATAGGTGGAGTCGCCTCAACCAATACATCAACATCGCGACTTTTTGCTTCGTGCTTCTACAACAGATCAGTGCCCCAAACACTGTGGATGGACGAAATCCTGCAACACCCCCAAAGATGACCCCCTGCAAATACCACCCCAAACAATGGTTTCACATGGTTTCAGATCTTGCTCCCCTTCCAACAGCCTCCGCAATGGGCTTGCCCACGGAGACAACATGGCGTGATGTACTATGTACTTGTGTGTTTTGGAGTACCCTTGGGGTTGGTTTACAGGGACACCAAAGGAAAACCTACCCATGTTTCGGCGGCTTTTTTGAAACACTTCACGCCTCTCATTCGATTGGAGAGGAGTCTTGGGAACACACCTACGGTAGAATATAGGGATCCATCACTTGGATGGTTCAATTCGGGGGGGGTCATTCCATTTCTCATTCCCTGCTTCTTTCCCCTCTAGAACCAACGCAGCAACCCGTCCGGGCACTTTCCATTTGGCCATGGGTCAAAATTTCGTACCCCCAGTGAACATCCCAAACCCACTAAAATCGACTAAAATGGGTGGTGCACCTACCCCAAAATGGGATCCCATTGCTTTTGACCCACAGCCATTTCGTTTCATCCACAAAGTCCCTGACCGACCCACCGACCCGGCCACACCGTCCCCTGCCAGAACTGAGCAGCTGCACCAGCGCAGCATAGCTCGGCTCCAGGGAGGTGGCAGAAGTCACGCGGCCCACAAGCACAATGAAGGAGCCTCGTAAGTGCAGCTTTTGATGAATACATCCTCCCACAATGATTTTGTTCTTTTCGGAGATCCAACAAATTGCCAATACTAATTTTAAATTAGGCCAATACTATTATGGAATTCAACATGGCTGTGGCTTGCATCTCTCAAAATTTGAGAGCCAGCAAAACCCAGGAATTTTAGCCTACTGTTCCATGGTGCCATTTTGGACCAGCTATTTTTTGAGCCACAGCAGAATCCCAATCAGCGAGGATGAGCTCGGGATTTGTTGTATCTGGACACTCCCCATGCCGATGTTCATTCTTTGTCTTGGATCTCCGGGGTGCACAAACATTAACACGTTCAGTTTGTTGTGTCATAGTTGAAAATTAGAAGTAGTTCTTCACTGAACAGTCATATTATGAAACAGTATCCGATCTACCTCTGCCCCAAACAAGAATGTAGTTGGGTGCCTCTTTTAAGGGGACCCCCTAAAGTTCCTGATGCTGGAAGAAGTAGTTCACACGAGACCTCAGGCCGGGGGCTACCCCAAATCATTATATGCCAGCCTGCATCCGTTGCCTGCGCCATAGCTGTCATCGCAAATGCCCAGGAAAGGTGGAAGTCTTGCTGGGTCCCGTAAAGTGACCGTCTCAATTTGTCCCGCCAATGGGCGGTCCAGCAGGACACCACCAACAAGACTAAACTTGAGAATGGGCCTCTCAACATGTAACCACTCTCAGCGGCGCAGCAGCCCCCAATAGCGAGCGGCTTTTTGAAGTCCTCGAGCTGGTTGCCAGTCCCAGGGTCAAAAGAACAAGCGATGCCTTCTTGCTTCCCTGGATTGGCTCCAAAGGTCCTTTTCCTGTTTCGTACTTAAGTGGATTGGCCAGGAAAACTTTAGATTAACCACTAGAACGGGGTCTTCCCCAAAAGGCTCTTCAAGTCCACGTTTTTCGAGTGAGGCGACTACTGACTGCTAACCCAAAAAGATTGAAGATCTTGAAGTAACGGTGCGGGCCACCCGACGGATCACACCTTGCCTTGGGTTCAAAATTTGGGTGCGACAAAGGCCCGAAGATTGCGTTCTTCTTGGGTCTCCCTCCAAAAAACCACCCAAAGCGCACACTCAACAAAGCAGTGGATGAGAGGTACACAGTGAGGTTCTTGCCCCCAACTGACCACATTCCAACTACAAAAGGAATCATGGAACCAACCTGTTGACCCATTAAACCCTAAACCCAATTCAACTTGTTGAATCCCAACTGTTTGAAGTTATAGTTGAAATCCCCACTGAACCCTAAAAGCCTGAAAGGTGAGGGGATGACTGAAAGCCACCCAGACACCCCGAACCAGCCACCCAACTCAACTCCCAGCCCCCCGGTTCCCTGCTCCATTCGCGGGGCTGAACTGGCGCGCCCGCGAGACCAGGGAGAGCTTTGCCCCCGTCTCGCCGGAGAACTGATGCGCCAGCCAGGCATGCAAATGGACCTGGCGCAAAGAAATCGTGGTTGAACAGATTCATTGTTCCAGTGTGACCCAGAAAACCATGCACGATAGGGAAAACCAAAAAAAAATACATTTACGGTGCCAGGCGGCTTACCCTCCCACCAGTTGTAACATGTAGCCTGACGTTTGGGTCCCGGCCCCTTGACAAGGAAAATGGTCCACACCAGGACCTCCCTGCCACGTTTCATGTTCATTGGGTTGGCGGATTCGTGGGTGGTGGTTTGCCGTTGGTGCTCGGGTGGTTTGGGGTTGGTGGGTTGGTGGGTTGGGCCGAACAGGCTCTGGCCTTCTTTGCCGCATCTCTCCCCTTGGGCTTCATGCAGGGCTTGGTGTCCTTTGACTACAGTGATCCACCCCTGGTTTGATTAATGGGGGCTCGCTTCTCATAGAGTGGATTGGCCAGAACAAATATGAACTGTTTTTTTTTTACTAAATAAAATGGTCCAAACCAAAAAAGTGGCTCGAGTCCAGGAACTCAGGAAGTGAGGGGGGAATCCCGATTTAGTGGGGATTCAGACCACTTTTGGAGCGACCACCCCCCTTTCAACACATGTTAGTTCATCCGGGGTCAACAATAGGTAGGGTACAGTTTTTCCTTCTTGAGAAAATACACGCCCGACGTCAGTAATCAGGTTCTTTGGGTTTTGGTTTGGGTTGGAAGTTGGCTCATTTGGTTAGGTACCAGGGCTGGCTTCAAATATGCTGGAGCCACCAATCGAACCCACCGATTCAAGCAGCGCCAACAACCGGCGGAGGGATTCTCAATTCTCCTTTCCATGAATTCATGCCGATCACGAAACCAATCCAAACCAACATTTCAAGGTTGGGTGCACTCCGGGAAGTGAACAATTCTCCCCGAAGTGCATTTCCCCAACCCGGTTTCCTAGACTCCCCAAATAAAACATCACCCAGAAGAAAACTGCATCTAAAGAGATGCTGCGTATGGCTAATGCAAAGCCACCAACAGGGGAATGTGGGGAACCATTTCCTGGGCGGCAAGAGAAAATCGAAACCTTTCAGCGCCATCCATCCCATGCCCACCTCGCCGGCAAAGGACACGTTGGTCGACGCGTTCAGCGCAAAGCTCATGTGAGATGTCTGCCCGGTCGAGCACATGCTCAAGACCTGAGGCTACATCAGAGCGCGACATCCAAAACCCTCACTTCCGATCGAGTGGATTGGTCTACCCCAAAAAAATCAAGTCCAGGAACTCAGAAATGAGTCTACAGTCCAACTGTTGGCAATCGCTTTGACGTCAACACGTGCAGGATCACAAAATGGCCGGCGGGCCTTCCAACACCCCCCGCCTGTTTTCAAACAATGACTATTGAGTCGCCAAATGTGTGGGAATCTTGCAGTAACTCAGCAGTTCAAACCAAGTCCAAAGCGTTCGACCGTCATTTCGGCACATGCGTTTTACTGCAGCTGCTGGGGCAACACTTCCACGGAAACTTGTGCTCATGGTCACCCGCCACCGTAAGCACAAGCCCCTTGGCCCGCCCGGTTGGACAGTAACTCTTTCTGTGACCCCAATGTGGGCGATCCTGATGGCTGGTTACTTTGTCATTTGAAAAAAGCCTGTGGTATCGCAAAGGGTGCAACCCAAACTCTGACTTTCCGCCAAAACATGCTCCAAACTCTTCGGCCACAGAATCAGGGGACTTCCCCCAAAACAGAAAACGGTGGCACTGCTTCTGTTGTTCCTCCAGTACCGCAAGATACTCACCTCGAAATCCGGCATCCTCCCACACGGCAGCCAGAGGCGCTGGGGTCTTGATGCCTTCCTGCTCCTCGATGCTCACCGTGCCCTCCGGGCCGTGCAATGTGCTTCGCCGCACTGCAAAGCTGAAGGGCGACGGGAGGTACGCCTCTTGAAACAGCTTCCTGCGCGGAACCGCTGGGAAAGGATCTGTGTGTATGTGTGTCTTTGTTGAGGCTGTCCCCTCTTTGTGTTTTTAGAGGGTAACCAACAGGGGACCGAAGCCCATTTTGGGGGTTCCCCTTTGAGACACAACCAAATCACCGGGCCAAATGCGCTTCTATGGAAGCTCCCACTCGGGGTAAGGACCTGCTTCTAAGCCGACAAAGGGTTTCTCAAAATAAGGGTCCCCAAAAATTAGTTGGCCTCCGATTAAACATCAGCCATTTCATACCAGCCATTTTGAGCAACTCCTGATGTGTCAGCCATCTTGATTGAGGCCAAACAAAAGCGAGTTGTCGATTCATCGGGACCCACCCGTCCCTCACATTCAATCCGTGCCATTCTGTGCGAACATGTTAAAGGTTTTTGGTCTGCAATGGGGGGGAGACATATCAAACAACCATCCCCCTTTTCCTTTGGGAAAATCCAGACTTACCTTAACACTTAGGTTGGAACCACCCTTCTTTGCTTACGCCAAACCTTGCAGTACCTCTCTCTCCCTGCTTCCTCATTCTCCAGGGAGGTCATACTCTCTTTCATTGCGAAGCCCAACAAAAACCGGGCGTGTTGTTCTTAGCGGGACCCCTAAATTGTTTTGTGGTTTTCTTCTGGTGTATCTGGGGACCCCTTTTTTGGGAGACCGGGGCCTCGATTTGATTGTTCTTCTGGCGTCTTCTAACAAGCACCAAAAAAAGGGGTTCCCCAAACCAAGACGCATCAAACCAGCGCCCGCCTGTAGTGAAAGCGCATGTAGTCTGCGAAGTCTGCGGGCGTCACCTGACGATTTGCAGGCGCCCATTCGAGCCTCTGCAAAGATGGAAGGAACAAGTCGAATAAGCCAAACAGGTGAGTCACAATCAACACCTGGTACAAAAATGGTGAACCCAGAGCCATGCAATTGAATTGAAAAGGCGGCCCCTTACCAACCTTCATCTACCTGGGTTTTGATTGTGACTCGGGTGGAAGAAACAAAGGTGGAAGGAAGACGCGGAAAAACAGAGCTACTCGTCTTGCCGTATCATATCTCGGAGGTTTTCAGCCAAAGCTGCCCTTAGTTTGTCTGCGATCAAACACTGCCATCACTTGGGATGCCGGTCCATGTCTTTATGAAATCCTTTCAGGCTGCAAGTGTCAACTGGGCTCCAAATAGGAAAGGACGGGAACGAGGGAATGACCCTTATAAACCATCCCTTGTGGCTTCTTTTAAAGGGAATCCCTGGGTTCATTCCCTCATGCCCTACTTATCGCACCGATCGCAAGATCATGTGTGTGATCATTCTGACGCACGCGCGACACGCGCGATCGAATCGAAGGAGTGATTGCCTCTTTGCCGATGGCCGCCACCAACTGCGCCCTCAACATGTTCTCAATGTAGTCCTGGACCTCTGCCCAATGAACCACCAGGGCCTGGCTTCGTTCAAGGCGACAACCCATACCTAGCTGAAGGTAGGTGGGGACTGCCCTATAATTCCATGTGTTCAGTCTTTCCCACAACATGGAATTCCACCCTCTTGCCCAATTCCATGTTGAAGGGGATGTGGGTAAATTCTCATAAGTAAAACTGAACACCCCGTATTTGGAGACGGCTTCATGTATCCTACCAACGGGTCCTGTTTAGCGGAAACTTGCCTTCCATGTAAGGGGAGGGTTGGGTGTCCAAGTGGCCATCCCAAGAGCAAGGGAACCTTCATGTGTTTCTCCCACATCCCGAACCCAAAACTTGCTGGTGCTCAGTAGGGAATGTGGAATTGACCAGGGGTCCTCTCAAAGGAAACCACAAGGAATGGTTTATATGGGTCATTCCCTTTCTCCTTCCCCGCATCTCTCGCACCAGCAATTCAAGTACCCCTGCACTAAAGCCAGCTCAGATCCTACCAGCCACACCTAGCATTTCCGCCTCTGCTGCCAAACCCCGGCGACTCTTGACCGTTGCATGGAGATGTAAACGTTTACACAGGCCGTACTACGATCCGGCAGCGTAGGGTTGACATTTCGCAATGCTAGAGTCCCTAGAATCACCTACTAAAATGGCCTAGAAGGGTGTTGACGGCACCCCAATCGAATAGCAAAGCCAACGCCAATTCCCAATTTTTGAGCGGGCAGCCGCCCAGCTCAAAACAGGTCCTACCAAACAGTTCAACCGGGATTTTGACCTCCCTATGCCCGAAGGACCCAAAAGGTGATGCCTAAAGCGAGAGACAGCCTGAGGGGACCTGCGTTGCATGACGGAAGCAAACCAAGTAGTGGAACCACCAACCAAAATCGCCTTTTCGGGTTTTCACGCCTGCAAACCTTAATGCTTACCCCTGATTCACAACCTCCCCCCCTTTATGAAGACCTTGCGGTGTGGGGGGGAGGGGTATTAAAGGTAAGCGTGGTTGGAGTTACCTTTCGGGCTTTTGATATGTGATACGGGAAAATGGGGAACACCTGGCTGTCCTGCTGGTTTGCCTTTGAAACCAACCACAAGAACGGTAGCATCCAACAAACAACACGCCCATTGGCGGAGTCGTTTTTCGGCAACCCCCCGTAAAAATAAAATAAAAAAAATACACAAATGTGTTTTTCCTTTTGGTTCCCTGTCGAACTCACCCGGTTCATGGGTAGCCCCGAGAAAAAAGCAAAAAAAAAAAACACAATAGACCCATCCATTCGTTTCCCCGCGAAGCCCAAAACAATTGGGACAAGCTCCGCCGCTCCAAAGCGATCCTTGAGATGGGAGAAGCCCACTGTCAAGTACGCCTCCGTGGGGGTGAACACGCCCCCATCCGGCACAGCCTCCCAGGTGCACCGAGTGAGGCAAATGATTATCTATTGAAACAACTCTCGTTGAAACACATGTGGTTTGACACGACTGTGCCTGAAAACAAAACGCAACTCTGCGTTGAATCGGTTGTGCTTTAAACTGACTGGGCTGAAACAGTTAGAGTTGATACATCTGTGAGTTGAAGCGCATGGGAATTGAAACAGCACTTTTGGAACAAACGTGCGCTGAAGCCACTGTGTGCTGAATCAACTGTGGATTGAAACAAATATGTTGAAACAAATGAGTTTGAAACAAGTCTGTTGAAGCGGCTGCGTTTAAACAACTGTGAAACGACTGCGGTTTGAATCAACTGTGTTCAAACGAAAGTGTTTTAGAAATAACTGCATGCTGAAACAAATCGTGTATTGAAACAAAGGTGTTTAAACAACTTTGGGTGTGTGTTCAAAGAACTTGATTTGAAACAACTGCAAATTGACACACACAGGAGTTCTGCAACAACTGTGTTGAAACAAATGTGTTGCGAAATAACTGTGGAAACGAATGTTTCAAACGAATGTGTTTGAAACAACTGTGTTGAAACGAATCCGTGTTGAAACCACTATGTTGAACCGAATGCGTGCTGAAACAACTATGTTGAAACGAATGTGTGTGTCGAAACAACTGTGTTGACAGAAATGTTTATTATTATTATTATTGAAACAACTGTGTTGAAAAACAAGTGTGTTTCAAAACAACTGGGCTGTATGTGTGTTGAAACATCTGTGTTGAAACAGATGTGTTTCGAAACAAATGTTGTTGAACACTTGACGAAACTATGTGTTGGAATCAACTGCGTTGAAACAAAAACAACTGTATTTTGCGACAACATGTTTTCAAACAAGTGTGTTTCGAAACAACTATTTGTTGAAACGCATACTTTCAGAACAACCGTGTGTTGAAAGTCTGTTTTGACACAAGCCTGTGTTGAAACAAATGCAATCAAAAGTAGTCGTGTTGAAGCGAGAGCATTTTGCATCAACTGTGCTGAAAATGGACAAACTGTGTTCAAACAAATGTGTTTCGAAACAACTGTGCGTTGTAACAAGCACAATTGAAATACTTGTGTTTAAAATTGTGTTTTGACACAAGGCCGTGCTGAAACAAATGCGATTGAAAGTAGTTATGTTGAAACAAACACATGTTGAATCAACTGTGTTGAAACGAAACGCATGTGCTTTGAAACGAACTGAGTTCAAACAAGCATGTTTCGAAACATACTGTGTGTTGAAACAAATACTGTTGAATTAAGTGTGTGTTAAAAGCGTGTTTGATACAAGCCTGTGTTGAACCCAATGCGATTGAACGTGGTTGTGTCGAAGCCATCGCATTTTGCATCAACTGTGTTGAAACAAATGTGTTTGAAACAACATGTGTTCAAACGAGCATGTGTCGAATAATACTGTGTGTTGAAACCAATACTGTTGAATTAACTGTGTTAAAAACCTGTTTGACACAAGCCTGTGTTGAACCCAATGCGATTGAACGTGGTTGTGTCGAAACCATCGCATGTTGCATCAACTGTGTTGAAACAAATGTGTTTGAAACAACATGTGTTCGAACAAGTGTGTTTCCAAAAATACTGTGTGTTGAAACAACTACTGTTGAATTAACTGTGATTCGGTGGATGGACAAAATCCATTTCGCGCCACCTGGAAACCACGTTTGAAACCATCACGTTCATTGGTAAAAAAGAAACACGGGGCTCATCAAAAACCAGGGTTGAGGGGGTGCAGGATTGTGTCCATCCACAGCATGCTTGGGAATACGCACAAGGCGTTTTTCGCCTGGGAGCCTGTGTTGAACCCAATGCGATTGAACGTGGTTGTGTCGGAACCATCGCATTTTGCATCAACTGCATTGAAACAAATGTGATTGAAACAACATGTGTTCAAACAAGTGTGTTTCACAAAATACTGTGTTGAAACAAATACTCTTGAATCAACTGTGTGTTGAAAGCGTGTTTGACACAAGTCTATGTTGAACCCAATGCGATTGAACGTAGTTGTGTCGAAACCATCGCATTTTGCATCAACTGTGTTGAAACACATGTGGTTGAAACAACATGTGTTCGAACAAGCATGTATCGAAAACTCTGTGTGTTGAAACAACTACGTTTGAATTAACTGTGTGTTAAAAGCGTGTTTGACACAAGCCTGTGTTGAACCCAATGCGATTGAACGTGGTTGTGTCGAAACCATCGCATGTTGCATCAACTGTGTTGAAACAAATGTGTTTGAAACCACATGTGTTCAAACAAGTGTGTTTCCAAAATACTGTGTGTTGAAACAACTACTGATGAATTAACTGTGTTAAAAGCGTGTTTAACACAAGCCTGTGTTGAACCCAATGCGATTGAACGTGGTTGTGTCGAAACCATCGCATGTTGCATCAATTGTGTTGAAACAAATGTGTTTGAAACAACATGTGTTCAAACAAGTGTGTTTCCAAAATACTGTGTGTTGAAACAACTACTGTTGAATTAACTGTATTAAAAGCGTGTTTAACACAAGCCTGTGTTGAACCCAATGCGATTGAACGTGGTTGTGTCGAAACCATCGCATTTTCCATCAACTGTGTTGAAACAAATGTGCTTGAAACAAATGTGTTTGAAACAACATGTGTTCAAACAAGTGTGTTTCCAAAAATACTGTGTGTCGAAACAACTACTTTTGAATTAACTGTTTGTGAAAAGCGTGCTTGACACAAGCCTGTGTTGAACCCAATGCGATTGAACGTGGTTGTGTCGAAACCATCGCATGTTGCATCAACTGTGTTGAAACAAATGTGTTTGTTGAAACAACATGTGTTCACACAAGTGTGTTTCACAGTGTTGAAACAACTACTGTTGAAATAACTGTGTGTGAAAAGCATGTTTGACACAAGCCTGTGTTGAACCCAATGCGATTGAACGTGGTTGTGTCGAAACCATTGCATTTTGCATCAACTTTGTTGAAACAAATGTGTTTTGAAACAACTGCACTGAGACAAAGTCCTAGTCGGTGCTTTGGTGCTTGGGTGTTAGAGCATGGCCATGAGATGGGCACAAGCGATAGGTAGGGCATGTTCCGGTTGCATGAACCGGTGTTGGGGGTTCCCTTAACTTCCATTTGCTTAAGCCCCCTGGAACAAAATATAATATTGCCAATAGTGATGGATTCCCTTGAAAACCAAGAGGGAAAAATACTCTTAAGCAAATGGAAGTTAAAGGACACCGTAGGGGAGTCCGCAACCTGAAAAGCCCAACGCGCCTCTAAAAGGTTTTGCTGCTTGGTCGCCAGCGTGCGAGCCTCCTCCTCCAGCAAAAGGTTGCCATCCTGGGGCGGACGGCTTGCGGGCCCTAGCGTTTCTCACTTCCAACAATTCCCGCTTGATGCGCGCAAGTAAAGGGGATGGCCCAAGCAAACTTGGGAATTAGATGGGTACAAGCTCACTTTTGGCCCCCCAACCCAACATCTGAACTCGGAATTGAGTTCGCCCTGGCTAATGAAAAGGGTGCCCCATCTGCAGTTCCTTATGCGGAATTCCCACCTTCATGGGGGTGCCCCCCCCCCTTTCCATACATTCGGGGGGTAGGCATACGGGTCTGTCGTTTTGTAAGGGTACTATTTTTTGTCATTTGTTGGGGGGTCCTTTTTTTTGAGGGGGTACACCTATACAGGTCATATGAGTCCTGCACTGTTGGGATGCCTACCCCGATGGCCAAGCAGCCACGGCCGACATCACTGGGCCGCTGTGCTCTTCCTCGGTCAGCAGTACGATGGACTGACACGTTGCGCGCTTCTCCGAGTTGCCCTCCAGGGTTGGCGCGCTCGTGCCGAACGAAGAGCACCATTTGACTCAACAACTGTTTTTGCCTGCTATTGTCCCCTGTGCAAAAAGTCTGACTTTTCGTAATGAATGGAATTTACACACGTTCCCTCACAACATTGAAACAACCTACTTTTGGCCCCTTTGCAGTCTGGTGCCCTATCAAAGGGCACGATTCCAAGCCATTTCGCTTTATCTTACAGCCGAAAACCGCCTTCACCATGAGCGGCAGGGCGGGGACCAGAATGCCCTCGGTCGAGAGCACTCCTTTCTGCGCCTTGGCCAGGACCTCAGGGAGCCCTTGCTGAAACCATGACTTCAACTTGGTTTGGACCCCTGGGAAAAGTAAAAAACACATCCAGTAGTGATAATATCCTTTGAACACCAACGAGGGAAAATAAGAACATATTCTTAAGCCAATGGAAGATGAAGTTTAAACCATAGGTGTCCCCTAAAGGGGAAATAGATGGTTTTCCCTGGTAGATGAACCAAAAAACAAAAACGCCAGGTCAACCAGGAATCACCATCGATTTTCCTAGCCAAAACAACCAATAAGGACACCTATGGTTTAAACCAAAGTAACCCTCTTCTGGTCCGTCCAAAGGACAATCAACAATAAGGGCTTCAAGCTTAAACTCCCTCAGACTAACATGGAAGCTCCCTGTAAATGGAACCAAGTCTTCCAAAGGGCTCCGATGGCTCTGTTCGGGAGCTTCCACGGAATCGCCTGGGGCAGTTTGACCAAAGGTGAAGCTCGAAGGGGCCGGGGCTTCATCGATTTAACACGCTTCGCCTTCAACCACTTCAATCCCGCCTCTGACCCCAGGTTTTGAAGATATGACTCTGCACAGCCCAGCCATCGTGCAAAGCCGCCCATATACTCCGCGGCCTCCAGGGTTGCGCGCTTGAAAGCCGTTGAAGAAACCATCGAATGGGGCCTAGCTGTTCAAACCACATGTTGCAACAGGCGGCCTCCTTAAGTTCCGCATTCCTGGCGGGCGTCTTGCATTTCGGGGAGTCCCGGTCAATCTTGAAGGCTTCGGTCTTGAAGAGGAAGGTGACGTTCGCCTTAGACACATCGATTCTGGGAGCTGGTACGGAAGCAACTCCTCTATATAAGCTGCAGGAAAGGCGGCCATGGCCCACTCCAGGTCTGGGCAACGACAACGACCCATGGCCCACTCCAGGTTTGGGCAAAATGTATAACGACTTTGATCAAAAAGGATGAAACATCTGGAGGTCTGACCCTTGCCAAAAAGGCTCTCCGAAGTCTCAAGTCATTGGCAAAAAGACGGCACGCCCCCAAACAACCCTCTCGAGTCTCAAGTCATCTCGGACATTCCCTGGGATTCCCTTCAGGTGCGTCGTTTTGCCGAGTCAAACACGTGCCAGTAATGGGCATGTGCGAGGTCAACCTAAGGGCCAATGTGTTCACCATGGGACACCAAGTGCTTTGAACATGCATAACTTCAAAATAGCATGTATCTGGGGTAGGGGAAGATTGTAATTCCATGATTGATTTCCAACTTCTTGGCACTTGGCACCAACTTTTCTTACCCTTGACTAACATGATGAACAAATATGCGAACACATAGGGCAAACATTTGACAACTCACCGGATGAGCGAAAGGACACCCACATTTCAAATACAAACAAACACAATGATTCATGCGCAAACGTACGCGTGGGATCCCTGGTCTTCAAACATATCAATTCACCCATGGTTGAAGCCTCAAGGCTGGAGTAGAAAGGGAATTTGGGGGACCCCTGGCAGAAGTGGCCGAGTTTTCCATATAAGGAACCTCCCTCTTTACTGCAGTCTACCTGGTTTTGTGGTCGAGTCAACTCGCAATGTCGGGCATCCACCGCCTGCACAGAACAAAATGACGGTCATATGTGTCCTCTTAGCAAAATAGATGGCAGCCGACAGGCACTATGGTCAAACTGAAAGCAGTGCGATCTGTTCAACCAAACCGACCCAAAAGGGACCTTTCTGACCCCCCAGTGGCCATAGACAAAAATGGCACTCTTGTTTTGTAGGGAAACCCCACACCCAAAAAAATGAGAAAAGGCATTTCCCCACATAGGAAGGGCACTTGAAGCGACCGATGCCAAAGAAGTGGCCCACATTTTCGGACAAAAACAACTAGGTGCTCCAGTAGAGAGCTTAGAATAAGGGTACCCCTTTTTTTTTTGCTGTAGTCTATTTTAGTAGGGGAACCCACCCCCAAAAAAGTTTGTAAAAGGGCACCTAGCTGGGGGACCTAGACCAGAAAAAAGACGTGTCAGTTTGGTCGCCTCCTCGGAAATGGCGGGGATCTTCTGCTCCGGCTGCGGCGACACTTTGCTGCTGGTCTTGATCTCCGTGCTGCCTGACATCCAAACCAATGGTTTTATTCCTCCTGGGGCTTTGTGAGGGGAACATGTCTTGGGGAAGGGCCCACTTTGGGGGGGGGGGGGGTAGGTCCCCTTTTCCATGAATTGTGCAATGTTGACCCGTATTGATCAACCCCAGTTTATTCATAGGGGGGTGTTCCCCTCCAAGGGCTGTGATTCCCCACTAAATTCAGGGACCCCCCCCCTCCCCGGTATTGATGAACTAATATGGGGTCAGCATTAGGTAGCCTTTTTTGGGGGCTAGAAGGAATCCATCAGCCTCCATTTTAACATAGGGATTCCATGCCCCCACTCTTCACCCCTCTCCATAGTTCGCCCACAACTCTGCTCCTAGCTTGCGACCTGATTCAGGCCTGGAAAAAGCGGGGGGAATGCGGTGGGAAGCTTGGATCCAGGCAGGGTCCATGTCCTTGAAATGCAAGCTAGTATGAAGCCTGGGTCCCAAAAGCCATGTGCAAGGCAACTGAATTGGGAAGATTGACATCGAAGGGATCCACCGAAAACCACCCCAAAAGCGGTTGTTGCCTTTCGTGAATTGGCCAGAAACGCCCAAGCCAGGTCATCAATATCCATCTGTGGGTGTCCATTGTCTAAACGCAAAACTCAGTCTACCTTTAAAACCAAAATGCCGGGGCGTAAACAAAAGCAAGCACGAAATCTTGCCAGCACCCGGGGCCCAACCCACCTGCTTGTTGGGTTTCCGTACCAAGGGGATCTTGGTTCCATCGAAAAAGCCGCGTGGTGAGTAGAAAGCCGCAGGTTGTGCCGGTGAGTAGCCCGTGCGTTGCTGCAGCGTGAGCCGGTCCGAGGGTTCTGCACCGACCCCCCGAAACAGCTCCAGCTGATAGCCTCAGCTGCAGCTAAGGCTGCTAGGCTGCTTTACCGCGAGCCATCCACAAACATCCCCAAACAGTCCTGAAACCTCACCCCAATCGGCCAAAGGAAACACCTTTATGCACGATATATAACTGCACCTGCCACCCCTCAAACACACCAACACCATATGCTGGTCATGCTTAGTCGTCTGCAACGGTCTCTCTCTCTTTCTCTACTTTCTCTCGATCTATCTATCCATCCATCCATCTCCTTGTTTGCGTCTTTGTTTTGGGCGTGCTGTCACTTCCCACCCCTTCCAAAAGTGGGTGAGTCGTAACCACCCTGACGGTTTGATTCCTAAGGGAGAAAGCCAATGACACGGTCCCTCGGCATGCCCTCAGAAACTTTAGCTCAAAGAGTGTCCCCCGGAACCTCCCCGGAACCCTCCCCAAGCTTCCAGACCACGCCAGATTGGTGGATTCACCCACAGCTGTCACTGTGCCGGCCAATGGCAGTGGCATCAAACTCGCCCAAAGGACTTGGAAATGAACCTAGTTGCAATACGCGCACCCTTTTTGGTGCAGCCAAATTTGCTTCTGGGAGAACCACCAACAAAATGGGATTCAGAGGGTGGTAGCCGCTGAACAGCTGGAAAGGCGATCACTTGCTAGAAGGATGGCTAAAAGCATGCTTGCCGAAAAGGGACACAAACCACAAGGTCAATTCATCTCCGTCCGTGGCACTTGGCTGAAGATAAGTGAGCCCCTTACAGAATTTCCCGAGGGACCAAAGCGAACATGGGGGATGGTCCTTTATCTGGGGCTCGCCCCCCTATTGTACATTCCATTGGGCTGGTGCGAACTGGGTGTGTCTTCTTTTAGTGGACCCCCAAAATTGTTGGTTTCCTTTGCTTCCCTTCAATGCCAACCAAAAGACGGTACTTCCCCAACAAAAAGGACAGGCCCTATGCACAAACGCGTGCTTGCTTGTGCCAAGTGCAGAGTGAGCAGCTCACCTCGAACTTCCAGAAGAACTCAGTCCTGAGCTAGTCCCACCCCAACCCCCCCCCCCCCCCCGGTTCGGCAGGTACGGTTGACCCCCGAAAAAATGCAACCAACGAACCCCTGCACCCCCTGCTAATAAACTGCTCATTACTTACTATATGACTGGTTTTAGAAGGGGGGTAACTGGTTTCTACAGGCGGATTTGGCAGGGATTCGACCGGAGTTGGACCGATCAATGCATGGGGTCAACATGAAACTTCCATGGGGGCCGTTCTTGTTCTTCCTTCAGGGCTCCTGCACGACTCCACGGCCCCTCTCCCATGGGGTTTAACAGCCAAAGGCCCAAGACTTGCGATCGGTCCCAGCACCCTCAAAGGAAACCACCACTTGGATGGTTTTTCTAAGGCTCATTGCAACTGGTTGCCTATCGCACCAGCAAGAAGAGGCAACAAATGCTTCACCTGTACCCTTCATGCATCAAACAAAGCTGCAAAATTCACCCCTTGCCCCCTTTTCTGAGGTTTGTGGGTAGAGAGACTCTTTCTTCCTTTCTCTCTCTCTCTCTCACTCGCCATCTGACCCATGTTCAAAACTGACTTGCTTCCACCAAAGGACATGGGATAATTAGATTCCCCCCCCCCATCCAGTTTGTGGGAATTTTTCTGGTTGCCTCCGGCCCCGAACCCCAAATGGACCAGAGACAACTCCGCTAAAGAACCTGGAGCCCAAGAACGGGGCCCAAGAACGGGGCTTCCCCTACCAATGAGTAATGTCTTTTTGTGAGGGTAGCCCGATGTACCCCGTTTTCGTGGTTTTACAGGGAAACCAGCAGGAAAACCCAAGCCAATTCGGGGTCCCCCCCAAAAAAGACTCACCCTGTTCATGCTTTTTGTTGGGCTCCATGTTTACAGGACACGTTGACTCGTCGACTTGTTCCTCTGGGATCCGGGCACTTTTGTGACAGTCTTGCTGGTAAAGCCGATGGACATGCCAGCTGGCCAGGGCGCAGCGGTCGAGTTGGGCACCCCAACCCCCCCCCCCCGCCCATCCCCCCCCCATGCCACACTTGTGGGGAAATAAACTCGGTTGCTTTCTGCTCCCCTGCTAAAAGTTTAACTGTTAGGGGTTTGATGGAAAACCCACTAGTTGGCAAAAAGTTGAAGTCCTAACATCCCTTGGCAAATTGCACCAAAGTAAACATTTCTGTGAAGCAAAGTCTTGGTTGTTGATCCCTCTGCCAAGGTTGTGGGTCCAATGGAAAATCCGACCGGTTTCAACCAATAAGTCAAAGTCCAAAGATCCAATAGCCATCAAGAAGTAGGTGTTCTATGACTTTGTCACTTAAAACACCCTTTCCACAAGAAGAACTCACCTCCCCGCTGTGGCCTACGGAGACCTCATCCACCCGCTTGGTGGGATCTTCCTCCTTTCGCGTCTCCTCTCGAAGGAAGCTGCAGCTCTCCTGCAAAAAGGCTTGGCCATGTATGGTTGTTGTATGTCGCTGAAATAGATAGATAGAGAGATAGACAATCTAGTTGGATAGATAGACAAATTAACTGATTAATTAGATAAGATAAAACAACATAAACAAAGATAGACAGATAGACAAAAATATAGACAGACAGACAGACGGACGGACGGACGGACAGACAGACAGACAGATGGTATAGACACATCACGTAGATAGATAGATAGATAGATAGATAGATAGATAGATAGATAGATAGGTGATTGGATTAGATTGGATTAGATTGGATTAGATTGGATTAGATTAGATTAGGTTAAACATATAGATAGATAGATAGATAGATAGATAGATAGATAGATAGATAGATAGATAGATAGATAGATAGATTAGATTAGATTAGATTAGATTAGATAGATAGATAGATAGATAGAGATAGATAGATAGATAGATAGATAGATAGATAGATAGAGATAGATAGATAGATAGATAGAACAAAATATAGATTAGATAGATTACATTAGATTAGATTAGGTTAGGTTAGGTTGGTGAGGTGAGGCTACATAGATAAGATAGATAGCTAGATAGACAGATAGGTGATTGGAATAAATTGGATTAGATTAGATTAGGTTAAACATATAGATAGATAGATAGATAGATAGATAGATAGATAGATAGATAGATAGATAGATAGATTAGATAGATAGATATAGATATATTAGATAGATAGATAGATAGATAGATAGATAGATAGATAGATAGATAGATAGATGGATAGATGGATGGGTAGATAGATAGATAGATGGATCGATCGATACATGGATCGGTCGATCGAAAAGTAGGAACGTGTGTATTTACATATATTTACACAGAAAAAAAAAGAAGCAACAACCATGCTCCTGTACAAACACATCAATATAAATAGCACCGTATATATATATATATATATGGTCACCCCCCCCCCCCAGGGCCTACCTTTGCCCTCTTCTAGTTGAAGGTGTCAACTCTACTCTGTGTGCCTCTTTCTTGCAGATGCCTGAAACACTGTAAAAATACAGTGTTTTGTTGATTTTTTTCCTTCTATATGACAGCAGATGTCTGATTCTTAGAGGCTTGAAAGGCAGCAAAGCGAAAACGGATTCCGTTTTCAGATTCGAGCCTGGCTTTGATTGAATCACCGGTTTTTACAGTGGTTTTGAGTACACCAGGGAAAAACATTGAAAAAATGATGTTTTTGGCAGCTTTGAGCTCTGCAACCTGCACAGACCCAAAAGCACAAAATATCCTGAAAATGAAAGCTCTGAGACCTGCACATGCCAAACACATCTCCAGACCAAGTTTGGGAGTCTGGGGATATGTGCCCTTTATTTGTTTAGCCACATTTAAGCTAAATCATATTTGGGAATGAGTTACTATTAAAATTTGTTTGCAAAGGCCAAGTGATTTCTTTCCAGAATAAGCTATATTCCAATTCAAGTTGTATTTGGGGATGGATTCTTAATTAAATTATTATGTTCAAAAGCTAAGTGAACTCTGTCTGCATTAAAGTATATTTGGATTCTACTGCAATGATATTTTCCTTATTTGGAAAGGTATTCCTGTTCAAATTCTGATCTAATAGAGACATTATGGTGAATTATGAATGGTGGTGAACTATGTGCTTACTAAATTCTATTCAATATGCAAATTCAATTCGGATCAAAAATCGTATTTGGAAAGGAATGTGTACTTGGATATGTTGGACTCCAGGCTCCAAAATATGAGGCTTGGAGAATCCAACATTAGACATCTCGAGGATTCTGATCTCCAGATTCTAGGTTTCAGGTGCTTCACCATGGACATTTCAAGGGATTGCAGGTCCAACAAAAACTGTAAAACAAAGTGTTTCGAAGAAATTGCCCAGATTGTGTTCCCTTGGGCCGAAGATTGTTCGTTTCCCAAAAAACATTTTGCCCCCTTCAACATTCCAATTCAATTCGTGTTGGAGTACTCCAGGCTCCAAATTATGAGGCTTGGAGAATCCAACATTAGACATCTCAAGGATTCTGATCTCCAGATTCTAGGTTTCAGGTGTTTCAAATTGGACATTTGAAGGGATTAGAGATCCAACAAAATGCTGTAAAACAGAGTGTTTTGCAGCAGTTGCTCAGATTGTGTTCCCTTGGACCGAATGGACAGCCTTTGATATAACAGTGCAGCAGTGATGACACACACACACACACAATCATCAACCTTTTAGGACCACATGCCCAAACCACATCAAACAAGGCCTCAAATGAGTGTCCTTTTTTTCCCAAACAACAGTCTCCACTTGCTACGCAATAAGCCTACAGAAGGTTTATAAACTTTCAGGAAAGTTTATAAACCTTATTGAGTGTTTGACGAGTTTCCCGCATCAAGGCAACAACACCCTACGAAGTGTTCATGGTATCGTTGAAGGAGGGGGGGGGGGTGGTTGGAAATTTTGGGAGGGGGGGGGGGGGTGGTTGGTTGGAAGTCTTAGCAGTGAGGTGTGACTCAGCCAACTTTGTAAAGACTTCTCAGTACCCCCCCCCCCCCCCCCGTAAAGAGTTCTGACCCCCCCCTGCCCTTGTTGCAGGGAAACCGTCAAACCCTTGACATGGTTTATAAACTGTCTTGAAAGTTTATAAACTCTTTGCCGTTGTTACTCAACATGACTTGTCACCCACAAACAAATATGCAGCAACAGCACTTCTTGCATATATATGCTCCCTTGTCTTTAAAAATAAGAGGGTTTTGTACATTTTGAAGTGGAAAGGTAGGCCCTGGGGGGGGGGGGTGAGCATATATATATATATATATATTAATTGCATCCCCTTTCGGTGTCGTGGAAACGTTGACAACTGTGGCATTGTGAGCCACAGGAGCCAGATCAGATTTTGCCCAACTCAAACTAAATTCACAATTGCACGAACTACTCCATTTCACGAAACTGAGCGATTCCTCTTGATCAGACATGTTTTCCCCGGAAAAAAAAAAAAAAAACAAAAAAAAAAAAAAAAAAACTTTCAGGGAGCCCACAGCCTTCATGTCAACCTCGTTTACGTCCACATGAGGCCCCCATCGGATATGGCACTTGAAAAACTGTAACATGAATTTCCTTGACAAGACCTCCTGAAGATCAAACAAACCAGCCCCCCCCCCGGCCCCCCCAAGCCTGGTCCCCTCCCCACCCTTCCCTGGTCGCCAAACCCAACACCGGCCAGCGCCGCCCCGGACGCCCCGCTCCTGCGCTTTGAAGCGGAGGCTGACCTGCGAGTTGGACGCCCAGCGCCGGGCTTGCGCCAGAAGCTCCGGGCCTCCGCTGGGGTCCGTGGATAGATCAACCGCCCGGGGGTTGGGACCTGTCCTTTTCCTTGAGAGCCTCGGCTTCCCTTCCAACACTCCAAGGAGGGCCAACTTCCTTCCATACATCAAGTCAACATACCCCAAAATAGGGGTTGCACGTGAGTTCAAGAATGCATACCCCGAAAACTGTTCCGATATGAGGCCTATAGGTGTGGTATGTCCATTTGGGGTATGTATGTTGGCCCTTAGGAAACCTGAAAAACCATCTTGCTTGGTCTCTTGTTGGTTTTGCTTGAAGAAACAGCCATGCTTTGGAGATCGCTGCAAACGGAAACCCAGCTCGAGTTATGTTTCAACGGGCTTAAACCACCGGCTCGGAGTTCACATGAAACCACCACAACACTGGGAAAACACGCAACCCATGTTTGAAGGCAGGTCGGAAGGGCTGGTTGCCCCTGGTCCCTTTAAAAAGGAACCGTGAAAAACCAGCAGGAGGCTGTTCCAATCATATGTGCTAAACCCATGTTTCAAAGCGGCTGGCCGAACATGGAGCGATCGTACGTATAACAGCGCAGATATAGCGGAAGTATATCAGATTCGTCTGGGGGTAGTGGCTTGAGGAGAGTGCAAGCCGTGTTAGACACTTGAAGGCTGAAGCCCAAAGGCGCCACGTGAAGCAAGGCTTTGTTTGGAATTGGCAACCACGAGGCAATAAGGCGGAACATATGGATATCTCCAACACCGCCTCCAAATGAGGCATCCGCCGGAAGGGGTGACTTACATTTAGTCAACCTACCCTCAACTCACTTCCTATGCGGCTAGGCCAAACATGTTGTTCCCAATAAAGTATCAAGTCCAGAAACTCGGGAAGAAAGGGAAAAGGTGGCTTGCCCTTGGCTTACATTCCAAACCACCCAGAAACTAGATTTCTATTTCCCCCTGCCAAACAGCTTAGCTTGTTGCAAGTTAGTGGGACAAACATCCTTTCGTGAAAAGCTAAAGTCTACAGATCCAGCCAACTATAAGTAGACGGCAGGTCGCTTTTTCCAGCTATGGACATGAGGATCAGTTCGCTTGTTCCATCCAGTGCTGGTGACCATCTGACGTGGAGGCACCAAGAAAACTGGGAACGCACTCGGCGGAGATAGAAAATGCTAGGTCCTCCAGTAGAGAGGTTAGAATAAGGGCACCAACTTTTTTTCTGTGGTCTATTTTAGGGGAACCGTTGAACCCTCCCAACCCCAAAAAACGGGTAGAGAAGGGCACTGGGGCACCAAAGTGCAACCCAAGGCGCTAAGGCCCAACGTGGCCAGGCAATTCACATGGGAGGCCAACGCCAGGGCCGTGGTTCGCTCAGCTAGGCGGAACTTGTCCTGCCCGGGGAAAGGGACTCGCAGCGAAGAAGGGTTTATGTGGGGATAAACTCGAATTGGAAACCTGTTGGTGGACACAATTTAGGTGGGGCTTATGACCAATCACTTTTGAAGGGATTCACGATTGAAATCCACTGCGATAAATATAAATATGTATATATGCATGCATGTGTGTGTGTGTGTGTGTTCGCGTGTCTCAAGGCAGCTGTTTGGCTGGGGACACCCTGCACTCAAAATAACAACCAGTGTCTGAAAGCTGGGGCTGACCCCGAATCACTGAATAACATTTGGGCCTTTACGGGCCTTTACATGGCTAAACAAACTACCCACACAAAGTTTAGTCAGTTTCCCAACTACATTATGCACATGAACTGTGTCCCCGAACGGCCAAGACCAGAAACAACCTGCGCTCCACTTAAGTCCAACTCCTCGTAAGCATGGTGTTCCGCTGTGGGTAGCCGCGCCGTCTTCCTCGCATCATCCGAACCCATGCGGCTGCACGAAAGGGACCTCCAGGAAGGGTAAACACGCCCATAGCTTCGAGGGGCACCAACATGAGCGCTGTAGTCTTGGCGAAAATTGGGCTAGTCAAGACCCACAGGACTTCTGGTGAGGATCTTTGCAACAAGAACCAGCCGCTGCACCAAGGACCGAATATGTCAGGGGCCCGAAAAAGGTGCCTTCACCGTGGAGGTGGCAAACCCAGCTGATCACCTTTTGAGAACTTAACCCAAAGTGGACCAAAAGGGAAGGCCACAAGGTTCACTGGTGGATTCCCTTTCAGGATTATAGTAAGTGTGTACTAGGGGTTGGTGAAAACCAACGCAAGGCCCGCTCATGTGAAGCCAAGCTGCTCGGCATCCAGAATCAGCTTCACTTGTTGCATGGCCTTCCTTAGCAAGCCACGCAGGCCCCCCCTCCCCCCCCCCCCCCCGGCAAACAAAAACAAAAAACAAAAAGCCCCGTTCCAGTTCCTCCAAAATCAGACTCTGATGCCATGCGTCGCATCAAGTCATGCCGGGTGCATGAACGTGAGCATGTTCAAGGCTTTTCAAACTCCCTCTGGGGCGTTTCCATTTCAACCACTGGGCACTTTTGGTCATGTCACCGACCGGGTCACAGGGAGATGGGGGACGTGAAAGATTCAAATCCCCCATCAAGATTAAACATAAGATTTGTAAAACCAGTTCAATTCTCCTATCCCTTTTGGACCCCTTTTGCATCCCATGATTCCCTTATAGCCCGGTAGAAGTTTTCTTGGAAGGGCAGCCGCCAGCGAAAAAGGACTCCCCTGTGAGGTTGGGCCCCCGGTGAAAAAGATTTGTTCAACCGAGCCCCCAGTTCCCTTTTCAAGGCCAGGGTCAGGTTTACACTCCCAGCAATTCACATGGAACCTGACGTTTGGGGATTCCTGGAAGACCATTTTCCTGTTGAAAAGGGACCCCCTGGCCCTGTCAGGTTCCACTTCCACGTTAATTGGTGGGAGGGTAATTGAACCAACATGCCCAATGACCTGTCCCGATGCCAGCGCCAAGCGTCTTCAGCTTCGTCTCGAATTGACTCATCTTCAGTGGCACCGCCATGGCGACTTGAAATCCACCGCCCCTTCCGAAACGAGCTCCCCGCTTGGCACTTCAAAAAGCCACAGAGTGAAGGCCATCCATATGCAAAGCCTCCATTTGCGTAAGCCCCCCCAAAACAAAATAAATAACATAACATATGTTCAGTAGTGAAATTCATTCCCTTGAAAACCAACAGGGGGAAAGAACAAAAATAGTCATTTCAGCAAATGGAAGCCAATCCCCCTGGAAGAAGGTGTCTGATTGCTCTGACGCTGTAACACCTACGAATTAGGCATTGCAAGTCTGGAGGAGCTATGCACACGACTGGCCAGTTATGTGGGGGTGGGGGGCCCTCAAAAAGCGGATTGAACCCCCAGTAAACCCAGGAGCACTCCCCCCATAAACAGGGTTCATGAATTCATCCGGTGACGCGCTAGGTCCTCCAGTAGAGAGGATAGAATAAGTTGGTGCCGATGTTTTTATGTAGTCAATAAGTTGGTACCGATGTTTTTTTTGGTCTATTTTAGTAGGAGAAAACCCCCTCCCCCCAAAAAAAGGGGAGAGAATTAAGGGCACCTAGCTGGGCGACCTGGGACTTCGGGGGCAAAGGAACGGCTCGGAGGCGTTCCCTTCGCTTCGTTTTCGAACACCGAGGCGCGCGGCTTCCATCGATGGCCTGCGAGTCGTTGGTTGGGAGACCACCCAAGGACTGCTGGGTTTTCCTGGTGGTTTTTTCTTTTCACAGCTCAAAAAACAAGGGGTTCCTCGAAAAAGGGTTTTGGCCATCACTACGCCGGCAGCGAATTCCGCACAGGCCTGCCTCAGCTGTTGCCCCCCCCAAGATCTGTGCTGGCAAAATCCAGGTTGCACCAATTGGGACAAAAGAAACAAGCCATGAATACAGGGACAAGCCATGACAAGCCGCCTACCGGCTGGTACAGAAGCAAGAGTCTACCAGCAAGCCTATGCTCCAACCGAGGGGGCGCGAGTCAAGGCGCCGACAGGAAATCTTGGCTGCGACTCTCTGTGAGACCTCTCAGGCAGCATGGTCGCCCTTTGGCGGAAGGGGTCACAACACATCAACAATACTTCAACTCAGCTTGCCACGAAATGGTTCTTCGGTGCTTTGGACGTCGCAATGCTCGCCCATTCGGCTTCAATAGGCCTTGGGCTCACTGATCACATCCCAACTGCCAGAGTTCCAACACGCGCGCCGGAGCTCGGACCCAACCAAATGGCCGGAAAATGGGCGTGGCTCAATTTTCAGGCAACGGAGCCCCTGAACGCTCAGGGCTTCGGGCATTGCTCACTGGGATATGAATGAAAGACCGTCCAAGCGACTAACTGCCTATAACTCATTCCGACAACTCTGGCCCCTGTCCTTTGGGTTTCCCCAGGCCAACCGAAAGGGGATTTCCAAACATCCGACTAAGCCTAAGGCTTCGACATGGAACTTCACGAGTACAGAACGCAACGTGGGCACAGAAATGAGCCATTTTTCAGTGCCGAAGCCCCTCCGCCCCATAATTCCATGATGGTGCTGGGGATAGTCCAAGCCGTCAGGCAAACGGGGGAATGCTACTTGCGGGTTCCTTCATGCCAAAACCATTCTTTCCAGAAATCCAAAGCTCAGGAAAAACTGATCAAAGTTCAATCAAACAATCGAGGGGAGGCTGCCTATTCCACTTTTCAAGTCGGACGCACCCAAACCACAATCGTTTCCCTTGCTCGGAATGAGTGGTTGGGATGCTCATTGTCAAATTAAACCACCACAAAAACCGCAGGTTTTAGTGCTTGGTTCCATTTACCAGGGTTCCAATTTGGGTACCTATTTTTGACCCACAGCCATCTCCCCGAATCAACTAGGGTCAGGCGAGCCCAGATAGAGCTCGGGAGTCGGACCACAGCCCCTCCGCCAAGTCCCAGTCGCTCCAGCTCCTTGAGCCGATCGGCTTTGTCTGAAACACGCGTGGGGCTACCCAGCAACGTTGCCGTGTCACTGGCTGAGTGGATGGCCCAAAAAAAAAAAAAAACTATATATTTCCCACTAAAATGGTCCAAGCCCAAAAAAGTTTAAAGTTCATGAACTCAGGAAGTTTTAATTTAAGGAGACTGACGGCACCATACTTCCGGTTCCTGTTCGCCAGAGCAGCCTTGTGCTAACTCGGAGCTCATCTATTTGGAGGCTTGACTCACACAGAGAGATCATGACCAGGTTTCTCAAAAAGGGACAAGCGTCAAACAGGCACCCAGCGAGGCACCATGCAGGTTGATTAACAAACATCGCCCCCCCTTCCAAGCCATCAATGAGACCTAAACCTTAAACATACCCCTCAAACAGTCCATAATTATGTATGGATTTTTTGTCTGAATCAGGTGCTAAAATTACCCATCTGTTGTGCCCCACTGGCCACTTCGTATTGGGCTCCTCCTTTTGCGATTTCGCATGAACCTCCAAAAACCCGGGGGGGGGGGGGGCGCTATCCCTGGATGCGGCAACAGGATAAGCCAAGGGCAAGCACTTCATGAGGCAAATTCTTGGGCCAATAGGCGGTGGCTCCCCCCCGCCCCCCGGCCCTTGGTCAAGCTTGAGCCCTCTGCAAAAGTGATGTGCCCTCCCTCCAAGATGGAAGCTGACAGGAGGTTTGTTGGAAAACAGTGCTCCTCTTGGCGACCCCTCCTGTTCCCTTCCGCGATTGCCGGACAAGGGGCAACTGGTTAATGATTCAAACGGAGGGGACACGAGCAAAAAAAGATCTGTTGGTGTCGTCTCTGGATTAAGCATTGTTGTTTAGCACTAAACTTGTCTGTCAAGCAACTTAAAGTCCACCACCCAAGAAACATCCTTCAGGCAGCCACTATGCCAGGACATTGCCAAGGCATAAGCGAACCTATGGCATGGTACAAAAAGATAATCCAGGGAAGCAGCTCCCCCGCAAAGTGATCCGGGTTCCCTCTAATATTGTGCACATCAACCAAAATACCCCAGGTGGTCCATTGCTGGTCGCCGTGCTTGCTCAGTATATGTGTGGGGCTTTGGGAATGAACCGAAGCGTCAACCGCATGGTTCAGTTCGTTCGGGGTCATATTTCAGGAAACCATAGTCTGGAGAACCAGCGAGCAAAACAGGTTTGATATATATATAGATATATAATTTGACTTGGGGCAAACGAGGGTTCAGCTCGGGGACCGTCAAAATTACAACTCAGGGCCCCGCAATTCGAGAACAACCAAGCAAGATAGGTGTTCGAAATGTTATGTCTCAAATCTTCTAGGCGTTGATCCTTGATCCAGTCTTGAAGGCCGACAGACTTATGTTGAACTAGGGGCCCAATCAATTTGGGGGGTCTTGCTTTGGCTTCCGTTCCAAGCCACCCCCAAAAAGGGGGCTTCCCTCAAAGCCCCCCCCCACCCAAGCCGAAAACATCACCCCCCCCGCCCCCCCCCCCCCGGCCCCCGAGCGAAGCCGAGGCTCACCACCTCCTTGGTGGGGAAGCCTCGGCCCTGGCGCACCGCTTGAGGCACTGCCAAGGTGTGGCCATCGCTCTCCATGGCCCAAACGATGATGGACAGCCGCAGCCCGGTATCGTCCTCGGAGATCGAGGTTTCTAGGGGTACCTTCCATGTCCATTCTTTCCAGGGATCCGGATCTTTCTAGAAAACCTCAGGAAACCCAGAAAATGGATGGTTTTGAAAAAAACAACGGTGGTTGAAATGAATGGGGAATCAACCCCTAGAAGGTTGGGTTTGAGAAAGACATCGAAACACCAATCCAAACCAACTAGGGGTTACCACTATAAACTGCGTACCGGGATAACCTCCAATCTGCCTTTAAACAAGAGGACGCCAACTTATGTCTTGGGGTATGTGAGAGTATACAGGTCAAGTATCTGGGATTCTTTTGAAACTGGGGGGGGAGCCAATGTGCAACAACTGGGGTCAAGGTTCAAAATGCATCGAATCGGCACAAGAAACCCTGAGAAGCCGCAAGTATCCGCAAAGTCGCCCCAAAGTTTGGGTCTCTGGAATTGAACTGGTTAAGCTTCATGACCAGCCCTCATGACATGACCCGTGCTGAGGAAGACCAAAAGCTCGAAAGCTTTCGAGCTCACCATTTCCTCATGCGAAAATAACAAACACCTCGCCTGTTCAGCTTCACGACCTTGGCGACTCTAGCCCAGTGACGCGCTTGGAACTGAGTTGATCAACAAGGAAGAAGCCGGCGCTGAACAATGGGGTTAAAGGTTTCGACGCTTCAAACAGCAGCGGTTCATAGAGTCACTCAGAGGCAGCCGAGGCCGACGTTCATTTTTTGTGCACACACAAACGAATACTATGGCTTCATTGAATGGCAGGGTTAAAGGAGCAAATTGCGCGGGGCTCCTGCAAGCAATTGCAAGGTGACTTCGCAAGTTTCTGTGCAGTCTCCTTCTTGCCAGTCAGTCTTGATCTTCTGCATCTTGGGGCAGCTTGGCCAAAACATCTGGGGTGCTTTTTTGAAATCGCCTGAGACGACGCTTCAAAAGGGGTTGCCTCCAAATTCCTTTGGTTGCCCTGCACAACCTTCCCCAAACAGAGAATTTGGCTACCCTTCAAAAAACATACCCAAATGCTGAAAAAAAAAAAAAAGACATACCCAAACCTCAGACATACCCCAAGCCCATGGCGGCTCAAACGTGCCCATTTCAGCTGTGTCACATCTTCGGACGGTGGGATTGCGTGCGTAAAAAGGCGGTTGAAGCTCGAATCGAAGGCGAAGACATCACCTGACTGACAGCTCGTGGTAGCGCTGATCCGGTGGGCTTTCGAGTATTCGGCTTCCCTCTGATTGGTGGTTTGGAGTTGTGGTTTGGAAGTTACGGCACGGGGGTTTCCATGTCTCTACAAGAACCAGGGGATCAAACCCCCCAAATCATTCATGCCAGACCTCGATTAGATGATTCGGGGCAACCTGATCCATGCTTGGGTTGGGCTCAAACCAGGTGCACCGACAGGCCACGGTTTCCCTGACACTCGAGGCCCAATCGATCGCGACTGCGCCCCTCTCGATCCGCGGGGCCGTTCTGCTGCGGAATGGGAAAGGTCTCGCCACTATACCTGCCGCCGCACATCCATGACGGATCCAAAATTTCACCCCGGCGGACTCCAAGGCTGGTTTGACTGGAGCGCAATTTTTCCAGGCGTCCCCTTGGTATCGCTTATCGCACAAAGTGATTCAAGCGACATCCTCCAACATGACCCTGGAAATTGCACCCCCCCAAGAAACTTGAAGTGAAACCACGAGAACTGGATCCTTGAAGGATGCAAGATACATCCAAAAAGACCGCCTGACTCACTTGGGGATCCTCGAAGTTAGCTGGCACCTCGCCGAAAGCCGCGTACGCACGGCTCACGGGGGCCCTGGCTGCCGCCTGTCCCGGAAGACGATGTCCCGCGTGCTGCCCAGGCTGAGGCCAATGGTCGCCGTGGGACTCGGAGATCGGTCCTCACGCCATGAGCATGGAACCCAAACAAAGCTGCCTCCCAAAAGGAGGCCTGCTGTAAAATGCCCGGCTGTTTAGTTGCCATGGCCACCGGAAGTTTAGAAGGAACCTCTGTAGTAGTGGAACTAATTGAGGCTAGCCGTCTATATGATATAATGCGCATGATCTTTAAGATGCACTTCGCGTGAAAAGCTCTGAAGAAGCTGGAAAGAGCCAGGACTGGGGAATAGCAAGAGGCAGCATGTTTGAGGCCGCCCTTTTGGCTCCCAAGTTGATGCGAGGGTTGATGGAGGGCATCTGTAAAACCAACCCTCCAGGTTAGTGTTTCGTGCACTGCTATGCCAGAGTGGGTCGTTCCTGTGACGATTTGGCTGCTTGCAAGGGGCGGTTGCCTTGACATCACAGAAAACGTTGTTTTTTTTTTGCCACAATGCTCCTGACCAGAAACTCCCAACTGACCTGCTGAGTTGACTGGCCAACAAATGTTCAAACTTTGTGGGCCTTCACTACGATGATGAAGAAAGCTTCCAGCAAAAAGGTTAAACAGGGTGCCTTGAAAAACAACAACCTCGAACAACCACATGAGCTACAAGGGGATGTCAAGCGCCAACCCATCGCTTGGCACCTTTCAATGGAAGACGGGAAGGTATGGGACAGAATCTGTCCACTTCATTCCACTTCGCTGCAAAGAGGGAATCAAAAGCTCCACGGGTAGCTTGGGGGTACAGGTCAACCTCGTCTTGAGCCCTTGCTTACGGGGGAAAGGCCAACAGGTCGAATGGTCGATTTTGGGCGAGTGAGGTCATGCTTGGTCAATGAAAACAAGCACTCCTGGTAGTTATCGTGGTGCGGTGATTTCTCCTCTTCGCCACTCCTCGTGTCCGGGGGTGGCAGTGGCAGTCTCTACGCACATTCAGCTCAAACGGTGGAGGCTCAAATTCAAGCCCGTTGCTCAAAGGCGTCGCGTTGCCATTTGCCCTGCCTGAGGTCTGTCGCCTCCTGCTTGCAAACAATCCCAAGCACCGCGTGGGACCGCCCAACCCGTGCTAAGATGCTTACAAAGGGACAACCCCCCGAATAAGGAAGTGGTAGGCCTCACCTTATGCCCAGCATGCCGAAGCATCCCTTTCACCGAGAGGCCGGTACACATTGACCCAGCAATCCACCAGCCTGGGCCAAACGAGGGGGCCCCCTTCGCTCGTTTTTCAGTGCCCACAGGGGTTTCGCACCTTGATGACCAAATTGGTTCAGAATCCTGAAAGGGCGAAAGGATCTGCCTCGTTTTTGAGGGTACCCTTTTTGGGGATCATTGCAAAGGCAACCAAAGGCAAACCAAGCATGTTTGTGGTTTCCCTATATTAGGTTCAAACCCAACATGGCAACTAGGTCCTCGTCCTCTAGTAAAGAGAGGTTACAATAAGGGTACCCTTTCATCCGCAGTCTATTTTAGTAGGGGAACCCTCCCCCAAAAAGGAGGGTCAGAACGGGCACTACTTCGAAACCCAGGCAACTTAAAAAGGAAGTTGCCCAGTTCGAGGCTGCGGCTTCAGGCCGAAGAGGGACAACAGTCTCGACACCACCGCAGTGAAGGTCTTGGAGGAGGTGAGGTGCTCCCCCCAAATCTGCAGGTGCCGCCGGCTGCGGTGTAACCTGCACCACTGGTTTGTTGTTCAGCTACAGTCTGGCCCTATGGATGCCGAAAAAGGGGATTTGTCACTGCTGGAAAAATATTTGGTACATGCCCCTGTGTCAAGCCTAGGGCACGCACACAAACACACACGCACACACCACACACCACACGCCACACACCACACACCAAACACCACACACCACACACCACACATCACACACCACACCACACACGCACACACACCACCCAACACACACACACACACACGCAAACACACAAACACACAAACACTCACAAACACACACACACACACACACTCACACACACACAGACACACACACACACACACACACACAGACACAGACACACACACACACACAGACACACACACACACACACACACACACACACACACACACACACACACACACAAACACACACACACACACACAAAAACACACACAAACACAAGCACAAACACAAACACAAGCACAAGCACAAGCCCAAACACAAACAAAACCACAAAAACAAACACAAACAAACAAACAAACAAACAAACAAACAAAATATACACACACGCACACACTACCCACACACCCACACAGACACACAAACACACAGACACACACACACACACAAACACACAAACACACAAACACACACAAACACACAAACACACACACACACACAGACAAACAGACAAACACACAAGCACACACAAACACACACAAACACACAAGCACACACAAACACACACAAACAAACACACACAAACAAACACACACACACAAAACAAACAAACACACACACAAACACACACACACACACACACACACACACACACACACACACACACACACACACACACACAAACACACACACACACACACACACAAAACAAACATGCACACACACACACACAAAACACACACACACAAACACAAACACAAACACAAGCACAAGCACAAGCACGAACACATACAAAACCACAAACACAAACAAAAACACAAAAACAAACACAAACACAAACATACACAAACACACACTACCCACACACCCACACAGACACACAAACACACAGACACAAACACAAGCACACACACAAACACACAAACAGACAAACACACAAGCACACACAAACACACAAACAGACAAACAGACAAACACACACACACACACACACAAACTCACAAGCACACACACAAACATACAAACACACAAACACAGCCACAAATACCTGCGTGCTTACCCAACATGCACGCTGCAAAGGCTGAGCTTCCATCCCCCGGCCTCAGCTGCTTTCCGACTTTTTGGATGTCCGTCAGAAGGCTCTTTGCCAGCTGAGCATCCTCTGCGGAGCTCCCCAGCGCCGGCACATGCACGCAGCTGCCCAGTCGACTCAAGCGCTCCGGCAAGGGCTTCCTGAGCTCTTGGAGGGCTCTGAATCAGCATACTGGTGGGTTTGTGAATGGCACGCTGTTTGGGATCTTGATCCAACTGCCCAAACGGCTTTGATGACTGCCCCCCCCCCCCCAAAAAAAAAAAAACACGTATCAAAAAAACGGCCGCGTGCAAGACGTGTGAGATGCGATGTCCTCCCTCGGCAAGTCAGGTAGGGAGGCCAAGCTGCGGCTGGGGGAACCCAGGCATTTGCACGGCAGAAAGCGGAGATGTCTCCTGCAGAGTAGTGCCTGGCAAATAGCTGGTTCTCCAAAAAGTGCCCACAGGGCTTCCAACACGCAAACCGATCTTATGTTCTGGTATGATCTTTTGATTTCCATATATATATATATATACATATGTCTTTCTTTAGTGAACTATTTAGTCCTTGTTTGTTTATCTACTGCTGTTCTTCCTTCCTTCCGTTCTTCCGTTCTTCCGTTCTTCCTTCCTTCCTTCCTTCCTTCCTTCATTCCTTCCTTATGTCCTTAATGTATGTATGTCCATGTTTACGTTCAATTGTTTCTTATTTTACTTCATTTAAGTATATTAGTATATTGTTACGTTGTCTTTATATGTACCTAAATAATCATTTTGTTATGTATGCCTTTCTGTATTGATTGGCTAATTTGTTAGTTGTGTGTTTTTATTGCTTCATTTATGATGTATGCCGGTGTTTATTGTTTTCCTTATCTCCATCTTGTTGCCGTTCCGTATCTAATATTGTTGTATGCCATTATCTGTTTATTGTGCTATTTATTTTGTTATGTCTTCCGAATTTGTTTATGTCAATAGTTGTGTTGTTTGTTTATTTGTTTAGTTGTTCCTCGTTTGTTGTTTTGCATTAATGTATCACCTTGTTCCGGTATTTCATTCATTTCGTAAGTTCTTGATGTCTGCCTTGTTTGCCTTTTTTCCCATTATTTCTTGTCTTTCTTGTCTTTCTTTATGTATGTTTTCTGTCTGTCCTTTCATGTTGTTTCACTTCAGTCAGCTCAGTTCATTCATTCAGTTTCCTTCTATGGCATGTCATGGCATGCCATTTCATTCATTTGTCAATTTCATCCATTTATCTATTCTATAACCCCTCATTCAACTGGGAAGCACCTAGCTCCCCCATCTCCCCTAGTTCCATCTTTGGACCCTCTATATGCCACACACCTCAGCTTCCCCCCCTTCCCCCGCCCCCCACAAACCATAAAAATAACGCTGATGGTCCGTACTCTGTGCACCTCCTGCAAACAATAGCTTCAGATTCAACAGGGATCCCAGGAATGCAAACATATGAAGCGAGAACCCAGCCGGGCCTTTGCTCCTGCTCCTGACCCTCATCTGAGTCGCCATGCTCCTGCCCATCTTGATGGCATGTGCATCCCAGGGGAAATGCAGCACTGTTTTGCCTGGCGCATAGATCCCATACTTGGGATTTTTCCAGGCATGGTCATCCACCTGGTAATGGGGATCCTTAATAATCATTGTAATGATTCCTCTTGAAAGAACCATGACCCAATCAGCAACAAACCAAATGAAGTTTTGACCATTGCTCAAAAGGGTGGGTTACGCAGGTTTAGTTTTGGTTCCATTTACCAAGGCGCCATTTTGGTACATTTCTTTGAGCCACAGCCATATGGGCCCGGTGCGTTTTTGCCTTGCGCGGCCTTGGGGCAGGCCCTAGGTGCTAATTGAAGCCATCGACGCTCACTGAACAGGGTTCCCGAGATGTCCCTTTAAACATCACCCACGAAACTCGATCTTCTTTTGCAAGGGTCCGGATTTCATCTTTTCTTTCTTTTTTTGCGGGGGGGATTTGTCCGGATGTTTGTGTTGGGAATTTGCCCTTGGATTTTTGTTACGATAACTCACCCAGAAAAACGGGGGAACCTAAGGGCCCCGGTTTTCCACCCCACTCCGCCCGGCCTGGCCACCGCTCGCGGAACAAGAAATGCTCGCATGCCTGGCACCAGCGAGAATTCCGGAGGCAAAACGCCATGATCCATTTCTCTGGCTCCAGAGGCCCAGATTTCCATGGGGAGAAAAAGGGCATGTTTTTCTTTTTTTCCTTTTTTTATTAGTTGAGTTTAAAGCAGAACCCTTCTCGCAAAAGGTTTTTGTTTTTCTTCTTTTTTAGTTCGTTGAGTTTAAAGGGCGCAAAACAGGAAAAAAGGGCGCCAGGAAAAGGGCATGTTTTTTTGTTTTTTGTTTTTTTTATTAATTGAGTTTAAAGGGGAACCCTTCTCGTAAAACAGGAAATCAGGGCGCCACTGGGCAACTGGGCTGATATTGCTCTGACTGCATCCTCAAGCTATCAGATCTTCAAAGTGATGCAGGACCAGAAGCGATTTCACATACGCATGGCTCCCTTAATAGGCATCCGTACGATGCTCGCCTAAAATCCAGATCATGGATTCCAGACCTCGCCCTTCCAAGCATACGCCAGCTTTCGCCTCCAACCCAAAAGCAAAGCCCATATTCAGTCAGCCTTGAAAATGAGAAATAAATAAAGAAAAAAACATATCCATAGAAATCTCACCTAACCAGGTGTCTTATCCGCACAGAAATCAAAAGCTCGGGGTGAAGTAAACCCAATGCTGCCCAAGCAGCCGGCCATGCTCGCAAACATCAACCCGCTCAGCATGCGCTCATGGCGGACCATCGCGCACGTCAATAATATCACGTCAAAGTCACTCAAGTGGTGGAAGATTTATTGACTAAACGCAGAAGCCAAAGGCCCGAAAGCGGGTTTCGCCCAATTATGTCGCCTTGTCCATGAGGATTATCTTGGTTTCGCAGGTTGGATACTGCTCCAGGCTTTGCGAGGTTTGGAAGGGTACTGACGTGGGTAGAGATCCTGAAAAGAGAAACAGGTCTGTCTGACTTTGCCAACCCAAGCAGTCAATGGTTGATCGTCCAACGGCAACCAAAGAGTGCTGCAGTGGGCGGTGAGTGTCAAAACATTGGTGCGTGAAGGCTAGGACGCTAGACTTATTCAACCAAACTGGGTGTGGAATAGGGGGAATCAGGACAAGTACCGATCCACTACCCTTTTGGTTTCCCCTTGCACCTTGGAGAAGGTATAAAATAAATCAATTGGCTGCGCATGCAAAGGCTGAATCGGCGAAGATCTTCGCCAGGGTCCCCAAGGTCTGCCCCGCGAAAAGGGCCCCCCCTCCAATCAGTGCGCCAAACTGGGCCTGGGGTCGATGGGGAACCTGGGAGGGGGGGGGGAAGGTTAGCTCCCTTATTCACCCCTGAACAAGGCCTCATGAATGGCTTGCTTGCAATGCCACGTTCAATTTTGGAAGTACCCCTTGTTACTGTTGCTCGCCGGCTTTTTCTTCGCATGAGGCGGGAAAGAACTTCTGCACCCAGGTCGTGCCGTGAGATCCATTCAAACCCGTAGACACACTGGGCGCGGTCAAAAGCGTGTTTTTGCCACTATGAAAATTTCACCTCCTATGTGACTTGCAACAGGGACTGGCTCTGGTAACTCAAAATTCATGACCCCAGTTCAACTTTGGGTTTCCGATTTGGGAAAGGAACAACCCGCTATCTGGCAGCCAAAGACCTGACGTTACACACACTTCTGATGGTTGACCCAAAATGGCCGGGGTTTTGAGTGAATCGCAGGTGATTTCTGGCAGAAAACCTCTGGGCGCAGAAGAGCTCACAAAAATGGTCCTCACCTACCTGGAATCAACTTCTGGAAACCTCAACCTACAATCGATCGGCTGTTCTGTTCTCAGCCTGGGTTGTTCAAAAAAGGCTTTGGACATCCTCCGCCATCCATAGTACGCCACAAGGGAAAGCCACAGAATCATTCTGGCATAAGGATTTAGGGATCGGTTTCGAACAACCCAGTCAGCACGCCGGCATGAAGATTGCACACATCCAACTGGGTTTTGCTGTTGTTCAACATGAGTATCAACTGGCCCCCCCGCCCTGTTGAAGGATTGACTTTGCACTGGGCACCAAACAAACGACACCTTGGCGCACGCAAACATCCATGAGGTGCATGGGCATGCCGGCACGCTGCTTTACAGACATTGAAACCAATGGCCATAGCCTCGTGGGCAGATAACCCGCAGGACCATCTCCAACTAGCGGCCTGCGATAGTGGAGCAACACACGCGCTGCAAACTCACTCCAGAGATCCTCAAAACACTGGCTAAACCTTGGTTGCTGTTGACCCCCCTGCAAAAAGTTTAACTTTTTGGAGGCTTAGTGGAAAACACCTTTACTTCCCAAAAAGTTAAAGTCTAAAGATCCAACCCAATAGCAGTCAAGAAACCTCGTGGGACCTCTGACAATACACCAAGGAAGGAAAACCCCAAAGGTTCGGTCGGTCAGGCCAAAGGATAACATCGCGCGGCCAGTAAGCTGCCCGCACTCACTTGGCTGAGGCCGGCATGCAATCCACCTGCACAAATGCGCCGGCATCCCGACAAAAGAGATGGCCTTCGCATGAGACAGGAAGGAGCGGAGGTTCTAAACCAATCCACTAGCAAAGGCCCACAAGAAAAAACATACTTTCAGCACCCCCGGGGAGCCAAATTCTCAATTAGAGATTAGAGAAGCCTTGATTTGAAACTCATATTAGCAGGCAATCTCTCCCCACCTCTATTCCAGTCTTTTGAGGGGATCCCCTGCCCTCAGGAGCAAACGCTATTTGTTTGCCAAAGAAGAACAGCAGCAGGCCGCATTTCCCTTTGAAATCCTTTGCTTGAAACACAATTCAGGAACACACTTTTTGGATGCTCATCACCGAAGTGAACAACAACACAAGACTGGACAGTGACCCCTAATTAATACACCCCCCCCAAACACAAAAAAAATCGTTGGGCGGGGGGGGGCTGTCTTTTTGATGGGGGAACGGATTCATGGGGCAAGGGCAACGGTGCAAACCCGAGGCCAGGCGCCGCGAAGCGTGGAGATAGACTGCCAAATTTCCACGCTTCGCAGTTGCATGGGTTAGTCACTTGCCCCCCTTTGGACCTGGAAATGAACGGTGGTCACCTTTTGGAAACTTGACGAGCAAGCCAACAAAACTGAAAAGGCCATTGCGGGTCGACTCGCGGAAAACAAGCCATTTTGAGGGTGAAAACATTATGGGGAGTTTTATCGGGAGCTTCGGGTAAGTGGATTTGCTCCAAAGCGCGGAACTCAGAGAGATGCCCTGGCAGCACTGCACATTGGGAAACGGCGCCTTCTCGAGCGAGTCCCATCCAGCAGGAAGAGCTTGCGAGGCAGGCTGACCTTAGTGAGTCTTGACCATGGTCTGTAGTCACACCGGTGCACGTTTCACACATGTGATACAACGGTGAAGAGGCGAAGCAAGGGTTGACAGGCCCCAAGGGATTATTGTTTTAAGGGAATGAAGGCCGGAGGTAACTATGCGCCCAAAAGTCCAACTGATGTTCAAGTGAAGCCCATCGTCAAGGGAAAGGCATGCGTGGAATCTTCAGAATCCAGTGTCGGCAAAAGCGTGCTCACAAGCACAGGTCCTGAGAGCATCAAACTGGGGCCGGCAAAGTGAAAAAATGCTGACATCTACACAGGCAAAGCTCCAGCGAGAAGGCGAAGCCATCGGTGCAGTTGTCTTCCGTAGCCCCAAAAGAGTAGAGGGATGGGGGAGGTCATGCACATGTTGGCTTCCCGTGGCGCAACGCCACGTGCCGGCCATGCAGGAGTCAAAATGCTGTCAACTGGTTGCCGGTGACAAGGGGAAATGAAGCACACACAAAATGGGCAAAAAACGAAACAAATGAGAGAGCCATCGCACTAGCTCCAAATTGCCTACAACCAACCAAACAGACAGACAGACAGACAGACAGACAGACAGACGGACAGACAGACAGACAAACAAACAACAACCAACCATTCTTGAAAGTGTCCGCAGCGTTTCCCCGCAAGTCACATTCCGGGTTTCTCCTTTTACTTGCTCTCAATTTTCGGAAACACGCAAAGGGAGCAGACCATTCCGAAGCGGCTCCGAATGCTTTGTTGCTTAACCTCACTTGCCTAGAGGAGCTGGACATATAAAAAAGATAACCTTTTGGGACCACAACAATTCAGCTTCCCTCGAATCGGTGGTTGGGTGGCTAATGAGTGGTTTCCGATTTACTCTCTAACAAGCATCCGGGGCTCAAATCTGAATCCAAACCGCCGGTCTCCAAACCAATTGAGGGGAACCTGGACGCACCAGCCGGCTGAGTGGAGAGGCCCTTCCTTTGCTTGCATTTGCGTTTTCGCTTGGTAAAAATCAGAACATATTTGTCCAGTGGTGACATCGATTCCCTTTAAGACCAGGGGACCAAATGACAAACATACTTCAGCAAATCTCACTTCCTGAGTGGGTTGCCCCAAAAAGTCCGAGCTTTGTATAGACCACCTTTTCATTGTCCAAGCCTAGGTCCTCCAGTAGAGAGGGTACCCCTTTGTTTCTGTAGTCTAGGAACCCTCCCCGAAAAAAGAAATGGTAAAAGGGCGCTGGGGGACCCAGAAGCCCAAGCCCCGTCAACGGCTTCGCTCGCTTCCCTTCGCTTCGCTTCGCTTCGGCCGCCGGGCGGAAGACGATCTTCGGAGAGCTCTTGCCGATGCCCCTGAGCTGCACTTCATAGGCCAAGGGCCTCGGCGCCGCGGCGCCGCGGCGCGGCATTTTTTTGAGACCCAACACCTCGAGGCCTTCTCCGCAAATGAACGGAAGGAGCCCAAAAAGGGACTCCTCTAAAAAGGACGTGCCTGTACATATGTGGGTGTTCTGGAATTTGTGGGACCAATTTCATGTATGTCTTTGTGCGGACCAGTTTGGTTTCTCGCTGCTAGCTTAGATATAGCTTGGCGTAGCCGGGGATTTTCCCTCAGTTGACACATACTCCCCTGCAAATTGACACAGAACCCAAAAAGGCTCCAAAAGGAGGTTCCTCTACATGTGTCACATGTGTTTTGTGGGTTCCATCTGAGGTAGCGCAATCAAACTCCTGGGTTGCCCTTCCCTGAGCAAAAGGTTGATCACATTTGTTTTATTAGACAAGCCACGTCAGTGTTTCCACAAGGCGCTTTTGGGACTAAGCTTCCACCAAAGACCAGCCATGACTCCACCATGCCTTGGTCTGGCCTCATTGTGTTACCAAAGTCACCAGCAGCAGCCAAGTTGCTGACTTTGCAAACCACCAGAAAGAGTGTGGAGCGGACCCCTCAAAATGGTGGGTTCCGTGTTGGTTTCCCGATAAAACCAACCAAAAGGAGGTACCCAAAAAAAAACACAAAAACAGACTCATATCGTTCTTTTTATGAGCCACTCCCTGCCGTCTATTCCTCAGAGGAATAGAAGGTCACGGCTTGAAGAACCCCCCTACGTACAACACCACCCCCTTGCAATCACAAAGGAAACAGAAACACAAATCTGGGCTGCCCGTTTTCTGATCCCACGCTAAAAGTGACTAACTTTGAGTGGCTTAAATGGAAACTACCACTAAACACTAAAACGCTAAAAAGCTAGGGGGATGGCTGGGAGCCACCAGGAAATATGAGCATGCTTTGGCTGCGCAGCCAGTATTTCAGTTGCCACCTGAGACCTTTCGCCTGTCTCCAGCTCTCATTATTTTTCAGCGATGTCCAGAACACGCTGGGGGAATATTGCATATCCACTTCCAAGCCTATCAACCATCAGTGGATGGGGAAGGGATATGAAGGAACGGCATCTTTGTGAGTGTTCCTGGCTTCGATGGATCACGTGGCATCTTTGGACTGCTCCCGGCTTCTCAAAAAAGAAGGAATCAAAGCAAAAGCATCGATCATGACGGGGCTCCCTGCTTCTTCTCGAGCAGCGGGGCGCCCTTCCCGCCCTCCTGCCAAGCCCCGATGGACCATGCACTGGATATGATTGACCGCACTCCCCACGCAACTCCCTGGATGGGGCCTTGGTTCTCACACGGAGACGCTTAAAGCAGGCCCCTTCACCCTCCCAAATGGTAAGGAGTAGTTTGAATTTCTGAATGCGTCCAAGCCAAGCCGAACAAATGTGGGCGGCGAAATGACCGGTGCGTCAGGTGTCTGGCACCTTGGCCGCGTTGGCTTTGACCACCTGTCCGCTGAACTCGCTGATGAGCTCGTAGAACCCCGCCTTTGCGTGAGTTCACGTGGCAACCCGCGCGCAGGGCTTCGAACATCTGCCAGACTTTCGCCACACCATGCTCCTCAAAGAAAGCCCATCCCCAAACCCATACCCCCTGTGAAAACAAAGATCCATTCACAGCCCTCAGCGTGCCAGTAGTAGCAATTGCCAGGCAAAGCCATTCCATGCTTCCAACCAAAACAAAGCCTACCCTCTCACCAACTAACACGGAAGTGCAAGCAGGCCCTTTCCAAGAGGAAAGTAGTCTTTCTACAGGGGTCTCTGCACCAAACCATGTTAGCTGGTGGGAGGGTAACGAGTTTGAAAATTGATTCCCCACCAGCGAATGGCCGCCGAGCACAAGCTAGCACCAGAGACTGAGCTCTGAGTTGCAAGCCGTAGTCCCTGGCTCCTCCGGGCAACGGGAATGTCCTAAAGGAAAGCCGCTGAAACCCTTTGTTCTAGGGGTACCTTTCCAATTCTTTCCAGGGGATCCTTTTTTCTCAGGAAACCAATAAACAAAAAGGAGAAACAGCCAGTTTTTGAAAAGAACGATGGTTGAAAAGAATGGGGAATCAACCCCTAGATTTGCAGGGCAGAATTCATGACAGTCACATTGCAGGGAACGGCCACTAGCAGGAACGTGCCTAAATTACTCTAAGGCCTACTGCTCACTTTCGCGAAATCTCTATTGCGCCCTTTAAAACCACAAACAAAAGGAGGTATCCTCAAAAAGGGCACACCCGAATGGAATCCAAAGCCGCTTTTCCAAAGCCATTTTTCCCACCCGCTTTTCGATCAACGCCATTTTTCTGCCCCTGGTGGGTCATTCGGCAGGGAGCCCAGCCATGGGTCTCCTTGAGTGCTGCGGCGAAGGACTTGCTGGACAGGAAGCTGGCCCTCGAGTCCGCAAGCACCTGAACTCGAGCGGTGGAGGGCACCGGGCTCGGGAAAAAGTGGACCGACCTGGAGTCTCCATGACCCTTTAAACATGGGATCATTACCCGAAATAGTGGGGTCATTGCCCCATTTTTAAGGGGTCATGGAGACTCCAGGTAGAAAAAGATGGCGATACTTGGCCATGGGTCAACACCAATGGGATCCCATTCTGCCTACCCCCCATTTTAGTCTATTTTTGTGGGGATTGGGATGTTCACTGGGGCTACGGGGTGTTGACCCATAGCCGCTTGGCTGTGAAAGGAACGCCTCCAAAAAAGTCGGGGAGAAGATGGAAGCATTGGCACTGGGCAACTGGGAGATAAGGTGCGCCGCTGAACATGGGCGACCCCCGAAAGCGTTGGGCTCGTCACATGGCTAAGCAATGCGTTCCGCCCCTCGGGCAAACCCAGCCGCGCGCAAATCAGGCAAAAGCCATCGCTGCCTTGGAGGTGATGTCGAAGGCAACATCATCCTGACGCACCGGTTTGCCCTCAAACTACCCATAAAAAAGGGATTTCACCCCATCAATCCATGTTTGTGAAGTGGATACGTGCAAAGTTAGATCCATCCGCACCCTCACAATTCCCTTAAAAGTTGGCTAATGCCCCGGAGTTGAAAAGAGATCGTCCTAACCAGTGAGCTCGGTTTGACACCACAGCTAGAGATCTAAAAGTTTGATCCAATGCCCGCACTACTTGCAGGCCACAGCGGATATGACGCGCATCTTGGCGCGCTCGCATAGGTGCTCGTTTGGACATCATGCACCCAGTTGGATGTAGATGTGTTTGCGTTTGCCCATGCAGGGGGAAACGTGGGCATTGCAAAAATGGGCCCTACATCATGAAAGGCCCCCACCCCCGTGGTTGCACATGCCTCCATGGGAGATGCTAGACCTTTCTTGAAATCTAGAGCTTATCCCCGATGTCCCGAACCCTAAATGAACCATGGTCGAGTGGCTGTCGTCTCAGATTCAAGTGGCTGTCAAAGATTGAACCATCCAACAGTCACCCTTCTTGATCATAGAAGTTGACGGGCAGGTGTGCAACAACTACTTTGCTTTGAGGGAGCCCCCCAGTCCACTTCCCTGAGTGTTGAAAAGAGGGTATGAGTTTGCCTTTTGCCTCCCTGGAGAAAAGAAAAGGGACTCCCACAAAGTATAGAATCCCTCTTTTCAGGGGGTTCCGAAAGGGAACCCTGGCTTCACCATAGCGGACCTTTTGGACAAATCGAGACATGTTTGGGCGTGTCTGTTTTGGACAGTTTTACGTCTAAGTCTAACCAACCTCACCACCCGCCCATAGGGCTTTGCACGAAACCAAACTCATTCTCTTGGGCCCGCGCCGGGCTTGCAGGCACCGCCATGTTATTGGCCACCACACCGCTGCCGAGGGCGCCAACCTCAGAAATGTTGGGTTCCAAATGTTGCAAGCCATATAGGTGTGACACGTTTCGTTGAGGCGTACGATCCCTGGATAGAGACATGTGGTGATGTTGACATTTTACCTCATATCAATTTCGAATAAATATTGAATCTTTAAAGTGGCTCGGGTTGGCCAATCCCCGTTTGACTCTCCAGACCGTCCGAAGGCTGCAAGACTGGCGGGGCGGGCGGGTCGAAAGGGCTGCTGGTTTCGATTTGCGGCCTGTTCAAACTGGCATCAAAAGGCCTCTCCCCTTCGAACAGACCAGGTAGAGCACCATCTTAAACAGGCCTGCTGTCCACTTTCATGATTGGAAGAAGGCTATAGATCGAGCCAAAGTTCGCAGCCTTGAAGCTCTTCAGTTGCAAAGGCTGGGCCAACCCTGGAACTAACATCCCTACTGCTTCAACATCCTGATTTGACTCTGATTTGGCCGCGAATTGTGCGAGGGCCCCGTTGATCGACGTCATTTGGGGCTTTACATTCACCAACCGCTTGTGAGGCGGGTTCACGCCCAGCTTCGCCCACGTTCCAACTGGCTGGGCCCTTGGCGTCTTTGGCGTACTCGGCGCAGGACACCAGAACCTGACCGGTTTTTGGACCGGGACGCACCTCTCCAGCCATCTGGGGCCTCCTCAAGTGATAGTCTTTCAACACCCTTGGCGTCACCTTCCCTCACAAAGAGGGCACCTTTCGAAGGACTCTTGGGTGAACTCGTCATTCCGAGGCAACCAACTCATCGCACGAGCAGTGACATGTGGCATGGCGAACAGGTCACTCAGTACGTTACGTTTCCTCCTGCGCACGCGAAACATCCTGAACCCCAACAGGCGACGCTTCAAACATTGGCTCTTCACCTTCCCGACTTCACCCGAAAAGATCCGAGTCTGAGACCCTGCCTTCGGAATCATCATGTCCTCAGGTCACAGGGCTGCAAAAATTCCCTGGGTCGCTTTCACGCATATCAGGGCGCAATAACTTCACTGGGGTGAATGAACCAGCCCCTCATGGCACTGCGAGTTTCAGCTGATTTTCCTTCGTTCCTTTTCTGAGCGCAAAGTGATGTGGGTCCTCCGGTCTGTACACGGGTACCGCATGAGAATCCATCCATGGAATGCTTTTCACGGCTTGCAGTACTTTTGGCATTGCAAGGCCGACAGGAGCAACAAACAACCAGAAACCGACTGGCTCTGGCCCGGTCCAACAGCCAGCCCAGCCATCTGCAAAGCTCTCCACAAAGATGCTGGAGCAGGGTGCAGTAAAAGCAAGTACATAAGCAAAATTGTTGCATCCCTGGATTCAAGTAGTTGTAAGAAGAAGAGTTACACGGACCAAAGCGTGGACCACTGGCATTGCAACACTGCAAGTGCTGCCCAAAACAGTCCATCGTTTTGGTCTTGGCTGACATTTGCCCAGATTTGCCGGCGGTAGGTTACCGCATCACAGGAGCCTCACGCCGCACGCCAAGTCGTCTGTGCGCTCCATCCGACTTTAAAACCATTTTGAAGGCCTCCGACCGATGTTTGCTCATTGAAAACAAGTAGGTTGGACCCCTCCGGCAGTTCCAACCACCTCCCAGAAATTGTCCGCCAATTCAGGCTCCCAAAAACAAAAGAGGCCAAAAGGCAAACCCAGTCGCCGGAAGGGCGCTCGGACAAAACACTCGCGCTCAGCATTTGCAGAGGCGGAGCCATTCCTTGAAATCTGCCGCAGCTGGAGATGCCTTCGCTTCGAAGTGTCGATTTCTTTGAGAACAACGACTTTACGCTTCTTATTGAGCTCAGCTGAGTTTGGGGAGTTCGAGGGGGGACGGGGGCAATCAATTTCTCCAGGCCGTGTTGAAAGAGGGCGAGAGAGGGGAGGAAACTTGTCTCTGGCTCTCAAGGAGTCGCAGGGTTAAACGCCTAAACCTTCGCTTTCCTAACTTGTTCAGGGGTTAGTTGTCAATTTGTTGTCGGAACTCGCGCGAAACTCGTACGATGCCATAGGTGAAAAGCCTCTGAGGCACAAGGGCGCCATAGATTGTCTTGCCATAGCCTCTTTTAGCTATTATTCACAAGCCTGCCCAACAAAAATACAGACACACGGGTGGGGGAAGGTTGGGCTGTAAGTAATACGAAGGGGACATGACCGTTTTCCTGCCCCCTTCAAAGTGCCCATCTTCCTGGCTGCCAAGACGTCCCAACCTTGGGCTTTGGGTACGTTGGCTTTGACTCAATCAGACGTTTTGGACACGGCCGCCAGGAACCCTCCAAAGTCATCCCACGCATAGCAACTGTGCGCAAGCCGTGGACAACGCCGAATGACAACCGGGCAACTATCTGGCGACACGAATATGCGGTGGCCCCAAGTTCATGCTCCTTGTTTAGTTGTTGTGTTTTTCTTCGTTTTGCTCTTGGCTTAGTTTTCTGACGTGGCTCCCTTGTTGCCCATGGATGGAGTCAACATCTTGAGGGTCATTGAGAGGATGCAACAGTAACCTTCTCTCTCTCTCTCTCTCTCTCCAGCATCCTCGAGCAACTGTAACCTTACTGCTCGGAATCCCGTGTGATACTGCTCGGAATCCCGTGTGATACTGGTGGGAGCCAGCCTCAAGGGTGGTCACTTGCCAGGATGTTGACATGTCGCGGGTCTCTGCACGAAGTTGGACTTCCCGTCAACATCTAGGTCCTCCAGTAGAGAGGATAGAACAAGGGTACCAACTTGTTTAGGTAGTCTATTTTAGTAGGGGAACCCTACCCCAAAAAAGAAAAAATAAGGGCACTACATACTGGGGGACCTAGACATGACTCATCGATCACTTTGAAATGGGGCTTTCTTGGACAGTAATCAGTAGCCTCGAAGCGCAGGTTCCACAACCATCTTGCAGAAGCATCATCCACCAAGCTTCAATGTGTATGCATCCAAGGACCAAACCGGTTCGTGGTTCTTGGGATCGAGTACCCCGTAGCCAAACAAAGGAAACCAGAAAACCAGATGAAAAAAAAAACACACACACATAACAGGATGGTCATGGAAATCATGGAAAACATTCGAGCAAGGTAACAACACAAGTTGAAATGCCAACCACCAGCTGTTCCCAGGCCAAGCTGCGAAGAACTCCAAGTCTCCAGTGCGCGCATCCACCGGCAAGCCGAAGCTGCCCGGGCACAGTGCTGCCTTGGGATTGTATCAAAGGGGTGCCCTCCAAAAAAAGTAAGCATAGACCCTGCATAGGGGTTCCTGGAAGACAATGTTCCTTTTCAGGAAACCCCTGTGTAAGTTTCATGTTGTCTTTGGGAGGGGATCCCCAAACTTGTGGTTTCCGGTCTGCATTTGGGCTTCCGATACCCTGCCCCGGTTCCACATCATTGTCTCACGACTGTTGGCTTCCTTTTCACCAACCACCAAATTTTGTGGGTACCCTCGAAACTTGGTTGCCGGCGAGACCTCTGCAAGCAGTTGTTTAACTTGTATGGGTCCAATGGAACATCCTCTGTTTCCCTAAAAAGTTAAAGTCCAAAGATCCAACAACATACTTAGCCATCAACAATAAAATACGCCCAGTGCAGCAAGACAACTGAGCCTTGCACCATCCGAACGAACCGGCGGGGTGCCAAATTCCCCCCAAGCTAAGCACAGCGCTGGGAGCGGCAACGGGCCCTCCGAGCGCTTCTGCAGCGCCAGCACGTGCTTGCGGTCCCCTCCTCGGGCAGAGTTGCAGGGGCGTTGTGCTTAGTAAGTGGTTAGTAAGCCTAGTTATAACCCACAATCCACTTAGGAGACTTACAACTCATACGTATGGTAGGTAGTGGGTTATAACCAGTCTTACGAGCCACTTACTAAGTACAGCCCCCCTTTAAGTAGGGGACCTTGTGGAGAAATACATGACTTTCCCTGGTGAATGGAATAAGATCGATCTGAACCAGTGGAACGCATCCATTTCTTAGCACCCCCCCCATTGTCAATGGAGGCCTACATAAACATCCCGGCGGACCGAGAACCGCGCTTGCGGTTAGCCACATTTCTGGAAAAAACTTGCGTTTCGCCTAGGCGAAACGCTTACTGTGTCCCCAAAAACGAGGCCGAAAACAGGGGTCAGTTTTTCATGCGTTTTGCGTTTCGCCTAGGCGAAACGCGAGTTATCTCGCCCACTCTGCTGCCTTGCCGTTTTCACCTCCGGCGCAGGGCTCGCACAGTCTGCGTCTCCACCTCTCGCTGTCGCAAGATGTACCGCCACTGCCAAGACTTTACATAGAGATACAGCAGCGGCGATTGCGAAGACAGCGAATTCGGGACATATGCTTTGCATGCTGTGTTGTGTTGTGGCCATGCTGTCGCTAGCTGCTTGGTTGGCTGGGTGGCTGGTTGGTCGGTAGGTTGGGTGGGTGAGTGCAGTGCTGAGCGGGTACGCGTGAGCGGGCGTGCTGATCATGTGGCAGGCATGACTGCAGTGGTGAGCGCGTACGAGTGAGCGGGTGTGCTGATCATGTGGCAGGCATGACTGCAGTGCTGAGCGGGCACGCGTGAGCGGGTGGGCTGATCATGTGGCAGGCATGACTGCAGTGCTGAGCGGGTACGCAAGCGGGCGTGCTGATCATGTGGCAGGCATGACTGCAGTGCTGAGCGCGTACGCGTGAGCGGGTGTGCTGATCATGTGGCAGGCATGACTGCAGTGCTGAGCGGGCACGCGTGCTGAGCGGGCACGCGTGAGCGGGTGTGCTGATCATGTGGCAGGCATGACTGCAGTGCTGAGCGGGTACGCGTGAGCGGGCGTGCTGATCATGTGGCAGGCATGACTGCAGTGCTGAGCGCGTACGCGTGAGCGGGTGTGCTGATCATGTGGCAGGCATGACTGCAGTGCTGAGCGGGCACGCGTGAGCGGGTGTGCTGATCATGTGGCAGGCATGACTGCAGTGCTGAGCGGGTACGCGTGAGCGGGCGTGCTGATCATGTGGCAGGCATGACTGCAGTGCTGAGCGGGTACGCGTGAGCGGGTGTGCTGATCATGTGGCAGGCATGACTGCAGTGCTGAGCGGGTACGCGTGAGCGGGTGTGCTGATCATGTGGCAGGCATGACTGCAGCGCTGACCGGGTACGCGTGAGCGGGTGTGCTGATCATGTGGCAGGCATGACTGCAGTGCTGAGCGGGTACGCGTGAGCGGGTGTGCTGATCATGTGGCAGGCATGACTGCAGTGCTGAGCGGGTACGCGTGAGCGGGTGTTCTGATCATGTGGCAGGCATGACTGCAGTGCTGAGCGGGTACGCGTGAGCGGGTGTGCTGATCATGTGGCAGGCATGACTGCAGTCTGAGCGGGTACGCGTGAGCGGGCGTGCTGATCATGTGGCAGGCATGACTGCAGTGCTGAGCGGGTACGCGTGAGCGGGTGTGCTGATCATGTGGCAGGCATGACTGCAGTGCTGAGCGGGTACGCGTGAGCGGGTGTGCTGATCATGTGGCAGGCATGACTGCAGCGCTGACGGGTACGCGTGAGCGGGTGTGCTGATCATGTGGCAGGCATGACTGCAGTGCTGAGCGGGTACGCGTGAGCGGGTGTGCTGATCATGTGGCAGGCATGACTGCAGTGCTGAACGGGTAATCGTGAGCGGGTGTGCTGATCAGCGATGCTTCTGATTTCTGCCAACGAACTGAAAACGCGCACGCCGTTGAGCGCGGTTTTCGGTCCGAAGGCATAAACATGTTTCAATCAGTGGCTTGGCCCCTGCCTCAAGTCCCATTTCCCCGTTTTCCGGTCACAAACAGTCAAAACCATGAAGCTGTGAAAGGGAAAAAACTCCGGGGGTCGAAATCTAACCCGCCGTCCCCCAATTCGACTTTCAAGAGAGGTTTCGCTTCAATCACTTAAGAAAAAGGAGCTTCCATCTAGTTGGTGGATTGGATTGGTTTGGTGGTTAAGGGGTGGTTTCCCAGTTACCTTGCACAAGAACCACGGGTTCAAATCCAAATCCAAAATCCAAACCACCAAATTGGGGAAGCCTGAATGGGGCTTCCCTTTTTCTTGGATTGGCGGTTTGGAGGTTCGAGGGTGGTCTACCCTCTACGAGAACCAGTTCAAATCGCCAATCCACGAATCCAAACGACACACTCAAGATAACCTGAAATACAGCACTTTCTCAGTAAGCAATTGCAAACGGAACACACAAGATCGCTTTCGGACTGGCATTCGTATTGGTTTCAAATTGGTTGAGCACTGGTTTCATGCTTTTCAATAAACCACCCGGCGCGGGTGGGAACACAGGTTGGTTGATTGGCTCCAAGCTAGATCGTAATTGGTTTAGTATTGCAAGGTTTGGGGCTTCGAAGGCATTGTTTGCTCTTGAATTTCTAGAGGACGCTGCGTTTGGAGAAGGATTCCTTTGGGGTCCAGTAAGGTGACATCTCCATGGTGGCCCCCAAGAACTGGGTGCGAAACACGCGGCGAACCAAATACTAGTCCCACGTTAAGGGTCCCTTTGGGTAACTTCAAAATTGTGGGCTGAAAACTCCTTCCTGAAAAGTCACTTTCTGAAAATTCTGGGCAACCAAGAAGTCACTTTCTGAAAACTCCTTCCTCAGCATAGAGCGCTGAGCGCTGCGCCTGCTTGACAGGCAGAGAACACTGCCACGCCCTGGCAGCTGGAGAGACATGGCTCAGGGAAAGTATATAGGGGTTGATTCCTTGTTTGCAACTGGCTGTGAGTCAAAACCGTTTTGGGATCCGGATGTTCACTGGGGGCACGGGATTTTGACCCATGGCCAACTATCAACTATCCATATTTCGAAAAACCTTGTTTGTTCCTGCTTTTTGGTGACTGCCTTTTTGAAGGATCCCTGGACAAACCAACCCATAAAAACCTAAGACTTTAAGAAGTCCATAGAAGCCAACTCGGCGGTTGCAAGAGACGGCCCAACCAGCAGCCAACCCCACTTTGTGCGATTTTCAAAGCGAAACCAGATGGATACTATACCACGAAAGGGACCCCAACGATTGTCAAATGGATTGTTAAGTGACCTTCTTTGGGTGCCATTGGACAGCCATCGGGAGGGTGGTACATTGTGTTGGAGGGGTTCAACCTACTGAAATGGACGACATCCATCCTGCACCACCTAAGAAAGCCTGGAACGATTCGAATCCCCTGTGCATACCGATGGTTTCCCATGGCTTCATTTTGCAGTGCGAGAAGCGGATTTCGCATCCATCCACCGTTTATCAAATTATATTTAAAAAAAAGTAAGACAAACACGTACATATAACTCAATTAATATTAATAATATGTTACTTGTGTTCTTCATATATGAAATATTTATATATTCTTTTGACACGACCCAGGCGACGAATCGGCTCCGTGCAGCGACCGCGACGCCATGCGACGCCTGCCCTGCCCAGCCGCGCAGCAGCCCTTGCATGCGCAGCGGCGAGGTGCCGCAGGCGTAGAGCCTGCGGCTGAAATGCAACCTTGTTTCAGCTTGCCTCTAATTGGTGGTTCGGTTTGCTGGCTTGGACATTAACAAACTCAAAATTAAAAAGAAGCCAACCATTTTGGGGGTCCCCAAACAAGACACCCTTTTTGCCACTATCTCAACCTTGTTTCAGCTTCCCCCGTTGTTTGGTGGTTCGGCTTGTGGTGTGGACGTTAGGGGCTACCTTTCCCATTTGGTTTCAAAAGGAAGTGGGGTTCAACTGCCAACCCACCAATCCAAACCACCAATTCAGGGGAAGCTGACTGTTCTAATAAGTCCCTTGCAGGTCAGGGTTCCATGATTGATTGCACGGCAGATGAAAACTCACTGCTTGATTTCCTCAAGGGAACTCCCCGGTTAAAGCCTTCCTCGAGGTAGTCGCAAGAAGGGTGTCGTTTCTGGGGACCCCAAAAATGGTTGGCTTCCTTTAAACAAATTGGTTTGCCTTCGAAACCAACCAAAAATGGTACCCTTAAAGACACCCCTCAAATAGAACTGGGCTTGTAAACCAGCAGCTGCTGCCGCCTGCTCGCGGCCAGATTTGTTCAACTCGCCAAGCGTTGGACGCCCTTTTGGGGGGGACAAAAAGGAAAAAAACACCCCAACTGCAAAGTGAAATCCACCGGCTTTCAACAAAAACAAAACGGCAACTGCCCTCCAGTTGATCAGTGACCCATGGAACATACAATAGCTTAAAGCCTTTTTGGTGTATTTGTTGGGCTTACCCAAACTCTTAGTGAACACAAAAAGAAAAGTGGGTTCCTTACAGGATACCTCGAAAACCCCACCTTCTTTTGCAGGGAACCGGTGATTTGTCCAAGGGCCCAGAATGCGGGGGTCGGTTTTTTTTGTAGAACCCTTTGTCGGTTTTGACGGGAAGCCAGGAGAACCCCAACCATTTCGGGGGTTTCTTTTGAGCCGAAGCCACGCATTTAGCCCGATGCCTGTGGTCCGTGTACGGCAAGGAGCCCGACGGCACCTGAGACTCGAAAATCGAATCGAGAGGCAGCGCGTGCCCGGGTGCCCCCCCCCCCACAGACGTTCAAGCAACCCTGCCTCATTTGTAGTAGACTTGCTGTTTTCCAGGGTTGATTCACCCACTCTCCCATTCCTTAAGGCCTCCTCAAGCAACTATGTGGTAAACCAACAAAGGAAAACCACCAGGGAACACCCCTTTTTGCCCACTATCGGCCCTTCTGTGGGGTTCAAGCTGCAGGTTCTTACTTGGGGATCCACCTCTCTTTTTTAAGGTTGAGTTGTTGCCAGGCTGCGTTATTCAGGTTATGGTTTCCAGGAGCTCAAAAGCACATACGGCCCTGTAGATTGGCATGGGACCCAAAGAACACCCTTTGTGTGTTCCTGCCGGTACGGCAGGTTGGGGATTCAGATCAGGTTGTAAGGGAATCAAAGGACACCAGGGCCCTCTTCTATTTGGACCCATTCAACGTGCTCCAACTCGTTCATCTTTAGAAGGCCAAATGCATAACGCCGGTCACATGCAAGGAGTTGAGAGCCCAGCGTGTCAATCGGGTTGCTCCCCCATAATCAGCCCTTGCCTTACTGACTAGTTACCTTGGCAAAGTTATATTCTTCCCAAAACTGCAATACGGCAACCCCTAAGTAAAGGACCTAATTAAATGGGGAAGCTCAAGTCAACTCCGAATCGGTGAGCTCGCCATACATGTGCCCAAAGTTGGCTTTCTGTGGGTAGTGAACATGAGAGCCGGAAAAATCACGCACACGATTCCTTTACCATTACTTTCAGGATTTGAAGTCCCTCAACCTTATCCTAAGCATTTATCCCCTCATAATACACTTGCTGTGATTCTATGAAAGCGGAGTGGCCCATATAGGACCTTTCCGCTCAATTGGAGAGGGGGAGGGGAGGAAAAACAGTTTTCACTTGATTCCTGATGGACGAAATCCCTTTCGCACAAGTTGGGATGGATCAAGCTTGCTACTGAGTTACTGGAACAAACCATCCACCAGCCAGACTGCGTCCATTCAATGTCTAAGTAGGACTGGCTTGGAGTCCGTCTAAGTGAATGGCTCATGGGGTCGACCCCGAAAGGCTTCAACCAGCAGTGGCAGAGGCCCAGGTGATTTCCACGGGCAAGAATATCCTTGCCTCCTTTTGTCTTGTTTGTCCACTTCGAAGGAGTTCCCCCCCTCTCAAAAAACTGAAACAAAGGCAGCCCCCAGGGATTTGGCCAACAGGGACTACTAGGCTTAGATTCAGTTCCGTATGAGTGTCATTTTTTAGGGGACCGACCATACACACACAAAATCCGGTGCCCTCAAAACAAATCGGAACCACACCCATTTCGCCGCCAACCTGAAAAAACCGGTTGGCAAGGCACATGTAGCGGCTCCATAAAGAGCAAGACCCCTCCGCAGCTCAGAAGCCCAAAGGCACAGCTCAGTGCACCCAGTGGGTCCTGCAGGTGGCACCAACCTCGGAAACGATTGCGCTGTTTCGCTGTTGGTCCCGGATGTCTGATTGCTAAATCAAACAGCAACACTTGGCTTCGGCAACAAGAGGTGTGTACTTGCATCAAGTGCCTTGTTAGGCAACAAGAGGTGTGTTTGGCTACATGGATGGTGCCTGGGGGATCGCTCTGGACCCATTAGCAAAGCAGAGTTGTTGGCTTGATGTGAATAAACACCGCCACTTGCATTGGGCTTCTGTAAATCGACGTGCTTCGCTCCATGGACCGTGGCCACGGGAGCAGAGTCCGTTTGTTTAACTCACTTGGCCCAAAAGGCCTGGAAGTATTAACTTTTTTGGGATCTTTACGAAAAATGGGATCCCAAAATGGGAGAGCAAAAAGGTTAGAAGGTCGATTCGCTTTGGCCAAGCAAGCTGACCTTCCTTGTATGGCCGGCCACATGTCGTGACTGAGTAGCTCATGAGGATATTGAATAGGCCGTGCCTGGATCCTGGAAGCATGTTCGCATGGCAGCCGCTTCCTCACCACAAAGCTCCCATGCAGAGTTCTGTTTTGCACCAGGTTTGGCATGCTACGAAACGCGGAATCCTGGGAAGTCAAAACAGTAGTTTTCTTTTCGGTTTCAACCGAACACCTACCTAATTGGGGAACCCTCACAAAAAGACGTCCAAGAAAGTCTTGAACGAACCAACCACATACTGAGCAACACAAACCCTGAGAGTTGGGGAAGCCCTCGGCCCCATTTGCCCAAAGTCAGCGCTAGATTGAAGGGCAAACACCACGGCCCCAGAAACAAGTAGCTGAACCCTCAGACTGCCCATACAAAAGGGAACTCACAGTATTATGGGTGCAACGTAATTGTTCTTTCAGGGAAATTTGACGGCCCAGGTGGTTACAGGGTGAAAAAGCAGAGGTTCGGGATAGCTAGTAGAAAATGGCATCGGAAAAAGGGAAGATTCCCCTACATGCCTGCTGATGCGCTTTCGGCAGCAATGGCATTGGCCCTTTAAACTTAGCACCACCTCCTCCCAACACCACATGGAAGTCAAAAAGGGGCTACCTGGAGTCTCCATGACCCTTAGAAAATGGGGTTTGACCCCATTATTTGGGGTAATGACCCCATTTTCTAAGGGTCACGGAGACTCCAGGTACGCCTCTCCTGTCAAGGCACAGTAGTGTGAGGTGATGATGTCGAATCGCTTCCCCGCAAGATCCTTAGCTGAAAGGTCGGTCCATGCCACATATCACCTTCTTTAAAGTAGATTTAAAAGTACCTTCTTCATCCCTGCTCCTCGAGGATCCCCCGCTTTTAATCTGTGATTGCATCTGCTCTATTTTCCATGCCATGCCAGCCGTATCAAGTGAACCGAGTGGCAGTGTCAGCATGCTCCGCGAGGAAATCCAAATTGAAGCGCAGGAGCTGCATCTCGAAAAAGTCCGGATAGCCTGCCAGATCCGATCCCCCCCCTAACCCACCGCCCCCCAAATGAGGTCTTATGGCCGGGCTCTGAAGAAATGCGGTGAGCATGCGATGCCGGGTACTTCTCCACACCTTGTCCCTACGACACGTGGATGACCGCCCCAAGTGGTTCATATCCCCAGTGAAGTCCCGCAAGTGGGAGTGAGGCTTGGGACTAAGTGGGCCGACTTCCACGGACTGAGGCTTGACAACTTGACCCCCCAGCGACGGAGGTTTCATGGGACATGGTGACAAGTGACATACAGCCAACCAACAGCCACACCTTGAAGGGTAGACATCTCCGAATTCCTCTGGGGGTAGTGTCCTCGGGCAGTGGGAACCGTCTGACCAAGAAGAACCACTGTGCAGAAACAAGCAAAGGGAAATGCCTGATTAAGTGCTGCAAGGACTCACCTAGGGGTCCAAGACGAGCAAGAAACAAATCTTATCAAGCTCCAATCGTCTAGTCTTCCAAAGGAAAATGACACGAATCTCCGGGTGAAATCCCCCCGCCCCCCAAGTCCATTTTGAGGGGAGACATCGAAATCATGGGAACGTTTTTTTTCTGATCTTTTGACTCCCTGAGTCAGAAGACCCAGCTCCATATCAAACTCCTATCCCCCAATCCACCATGTTAAAAGGGAAGTGGGGGTGGACCAAATGTGGCCGTTGTCCCCAATAAACCAACCGTTCTCTAACTTGCTGCTGGTAGGTGGGGAACCCACACTTTACCCCAACAATACACCCAGGTGGTATCCACAACAGATGAACCCTCCTTTTGAGCCTTTTGTTGAGCCCCCCCCCCCCGAAAGCTGCCCCAAACAAGTGAAAGATTCAACCCAGCCGAGATGTTCCGAAGCAATCCAGCCTGGCGGCGGAGTGAACATGGAGATGTCGAAGTCATGCACGGAGGTCACCCCAAAACTCGAGGACCAATCCAGCAAGGCAGCTTTGGCCTTGTCCCGCCTCAAGGACCCAAAGCACAAGCACGCCAAGTAAACTCTTGTTTCAAAAGGTAGGGGACATATAGCGACCAGGTTGGTTAAGCCTACGCTATCAAGATCGCGCACGTCAAGTTGGGACTTCCCCAGCTCAGATCCAGGGTGTCTTCCTTTTTGCAGGCTTCATGGAAAGCCCATTTGCCTCCTTTGGGGGTAGCCACTGTTTTAAACAAGGGAAGCCAAAAGGAGCACCGAAGCCACCTACAAAACGCGACGCGGCCACGTCTTTCGGTCAAAAGCACCACAGTGGCGAAACGAAAAACGGCCTGAGGCGCGCCAGGAGCGCCCCCACACCGCAGCCCAGGTCCAGCAAGCACACACCTCAGTTCTAGGCTGGAATTAGGACCCGGTGCAGGCCAGGTGTAAGGTTCAAGGAAGGTTCCAAGTGTAAGGTGAAGAACTAAGACGCAACGATCACTTCAGCGCCTAGCTGTTGGGATACCACCTGAGCTTATTGGGGTTCCTTCTGTTTTCCACTAACCAGGCAAAAAACCAGATCACCCCGGAACCTCCGGAACATTTACACCTGGCCTGCACCAGACCACCCCGGAACCTCCGGAACCTGCCTTGAATCTTACACCTGGCCTGCACCAAACATCCCCGGAACCTCCGGAACCTTGCCCGAACCTGACTCCAGAGCTCCCCCAAGCCACCCCCAAACCTTATCTGGGCTGAGACCCCTTAGCTGTTGGGGAAAAAGCAAAACAACAAAGAAAACGGGAGCTATTTCTGGGGAAGAGTTGTTCAGTTACCCTGGAAAAAAGGGAGCCATTTGGGCAGCGACCTCTTCGTTTTTCTTGATCATCCAAGTGAGGTCTATTCCGCTTTGGAACGACGAACGGCATAAGGAAAGAACTCACACCTTTTTGGGGAAGACCATTTTTGGTGGGGCAGCCAGTTGAAAACATGGGGAAAAGGGTGCCACTGAATAACTGAGACACCCGACGGCGCACGGAGACTTGAGCGTCGAGTCTTGAGTCTGCAAACCGTTCCCCGCCTGTGCCTCCCGCAGCCGTGAAGGCATCAATGCAGTCGTCGAGGCTCACCTCAACCTCAGATTGCTTCACACTGAGGCACCCTCAGCCTAATGCCAGACTCTCAGCCCCCCCTTTTACTCAACCAGGGGGTTTATTATTCTGGGCTACACAACATCTGTGCTTGAACGGGGGGACCAAATGGACAAGGACCGAACCCCAGGGCCACGTTCATCTTGTTGCCCCAGTGAACATGTACCCCAAGGTCCTCAAAAAGGCGAGCCATTTGGCCAGTATGACAGGCTACGTGCGCCGAACCCTGTATTTGGCTGTATTTGTTCGGCATTGTTTGCGTATGTGACCCCTTGTCAAACTTTAAGTCATGCATGTATCCATGTGGACCATAAAATCTAGGCGGTTACGGGAGGAAATGGCCTCTACCCGCATCTTATGCGGACGCGCCTGCTTAGCGCCAACCGGAACTGTGCAGAGGTAGTACTCGTTGCGGATGTGCTGCCAATCTAGACCTTCCCCTGGCGATGCGACCCGGTCCCCACCTTAAGGGGGGATCCAAACTAAAATAAATGGTGGTCCTTACAACCCTATCCCCGCTCCCAAGCAAAGAGCAGGCCACACTGAATTGATCCAAAACGACATCTTACTTCCTGAGTGGATTGGCCAAACGAAATCTGAACTTTTGTGTTTACCACTTTGTGCTGGTTCAACACCAAAAAGTGCTTCTAAAGTCCGCGATGGAATTCAGGGAGTGAGGTTTATTTACTAAAGGGGTCAAGATACCTCAAACCAAACAAAAGCAACATAGGAACTCAAACTGCCAACAAACCTTATGCCTTCGTTTCTTATAAAGTGGTGCGATTTCTGGATTTCGCATCCATCCACAGTAGGGAGTGCAGGGTTTCGTCCACAGTAGAATGGCGTGCTTCAATTTTACGCGACAAGGGAACTCATTTGCCAAGGTTCCTGGACCCTTCAACCAAATCTCGAGATTCAATGTCAGACCACGGGAAAGCAAGCAGGCGCCGCAACAAGCAGAAAATCAACATGGAAGGCTCCAATCTCGCGAGTCTCTCCTTGCACGACAGGCGGTCCAACCCCCCAACAAAAAGGGGGGAGATTCCCAAAAAAATCACAGAAGTGGTTGGATCAACCCCGAGTGCTCCCACACCCCGGCTCGAGTCTAGCGGGGCGGTCCGGCGTCGATCGAGCGGTCGCGGTCGCTTTCTTTCCGCCTGCCGCCAGGCGCCAAAGCTGCCGCTCCTGGCGCCGCCGCAGCAGCGCCTCCAGCGCCTCGCTGCGCGTCCGGCGCCGCACCGACACCTACGTGGGCCAAGGGTCACCCCATGTCGGGAAGTCGGAAGTCAGGGGACTGGTTGTTGGGGTTTTGTTTTTCATCTGGTAGAAGTATTGTGTTTACTCCAAAGTCTGAAACTGGTTCTTGGGGTTTTTTGTTTCACCTGGGAGAATTGCCTTTTTTCTGGGGCCCCGAATTTGGTTCCCCCCCAATGGTTTTCTCAGATCTTGACCAAAATCCCAGGCTCAAATATTGGGGCCATGATGCTGTCCAAAGTTCACCTGGGTGCCCCTTGTTTGGTGGTTTGGAGCCGAATCGGTGGCTTAGTGGTTGTTGGGGGTGGGTTCCTATTTACCGGGGTTCAAATCCGATTCCAAACCACTCCAAGGCGAGGGGGGAAAATCAGGAAAACCACCGGAAAATTGCAACTGTGCAAAGAAAATCCTTTGTGACCCCTGTCTACTTGGTGGTTGGAGCCCCCTCTAAGTGGAGGTTTGGAGCCCCCTGTGCAAAAGCCAGGGGTTCAAATCCAATTTCAAACCAATGCAAACCACCAATCAAAGGTTGCCTGAAAGGTGAAAGCCCGACACATGGGAAAGCTCAGTGCATAGCGAAGTGGCTTGGGGAAAGTGGCGACCATCTTGCATTGCGTGCAAGTTGGTGAGATGTGCGACCCAAACTGACTCACTAAACCTCACCGATCCTTTGCTCCCCAGGGCTCCCATTACAAAGTGCTGATTTTTGCGGGGGGTTTCGGGGTTGGATAGGAATTTAGGAAGGTTTTTGCCACAAAAATGGTCCAAGCCTCCCGGATGAAAAGACCAGAAACTTCTGAAGTAAGCGAACGACTGCGAGAACAAAATCGCTTGGCTGGGTGTGCGGCCCATTGCTCCAGCAGCTTAGAGCTTCCCTTGCCTCAGAAACCGCCACCCCTCCCCACCCCCACTCGGTCTATGGTCTTCCAAAACCCTCCAAATCGCTCTGCAGGCGCCTGATCTGAGGGAAGTTGCGCCCGGAAAGTTCAGAGGCTCCAGGTTGTTCCCTCACAACTCACTTCCTGAGTGGATGGATTGCTAACACCTCCGACCTGTTTATTGACCACTAAAAGGTCCAAAGTCCAAACCCAACAAGTGACTAAAGTCCAGGAACTGATTGGTCAAAACAAGTCCGACCCGTGCATTTATCACTAAAATGGTCCAAACCCAAAAAGTCTTTCTAAAGTCCGAAGAAAAACTCAGGAAGTGAGCAAAACTGGTGGGTAAACCACCACCTGCCGGTTCTAGGGTACATACCTGCAGCTCCAGCTCCGGCCTGGCGCTCGCTTGCAAGGCGGGACATGTTTCAGCCCCCTACCCCCCTGCTCTCCCCCAGAAACTAAAATACATGCACTTATAGTTGTCAAGCACACTCCTCCCCCCCCCCCCGCCCGCTCTCCGCCGGGGACAAACAAACAAACAGTTGCTTTGCACAAACCTCCTATGGTGGTCAAGCACCCCTCTCCCCCCTCCCCCAACTGCAAGGCCCCCTCCCCCCAACAAGGGGGTTTCTGCGGCCTATTGCAGCTACTACCGCAGGGTTCCTTTTGCTTGCCGTTGCTGTTCTTTGCGGGAGGGGGCCCTGTTTGAGCCAAAGGAAAACCATAGGCCTGGTGCCTTTTGGTTGGCCCCAACCCATGCCCTCTCCCGGTCTCTTGTTTTCGGCGGACAGCCAGGAAGCGCATCCTGCAAAACAAGCCTTCGGAACTCAGGAAACAAGGGAGATGGTCCCATTTGTGGCGGGGTGTCGAAATCAAGCTTGGCCGCACGCCAAAAAAAGTGTTCTGATTCTGTCAAGGAGATGTTCTGGAACTAATTGAAGGTCTTCCAATAGACGATTTATGACATTTTTGAGGGAGGTTCCCTGGCATCACAGAAGTGGAAGTGGAAGCCAACCCTCATTTCCGCAACCCCAACTTCACTTCACAAACCGAACATCGGGAGTGCCCGCGAAAGGAGCTGTCATCTCTCTCAGCTTGTTTGAGCACCGATCGGTGAGCTCGCTAAGTACAAGGCAGCCTCTCCGGCTACAATGGTGCCCGCTATGCGCTGTACATGGCACAAATAATCCTAATAACTACTCGGCATGATCTTTACATTTTGCCACGCACGTCGCTGCGCTGTACTGGGGAATTCAGCCATGGCTCCAGAGCCTGTTGTCTGCAGCCTGCACTCCATGCACAGATCCCAAGTATTGCATACAAGGGAATCCACTGCTTCCGTGATGGTGTGTACCATCAGGGGCGTCAACGCGCTTTGCCATCCAACCCTATTTGGGCGTCTAGCCAATTTGCAACTTAGGTGTCCCGCTCACCCGTTCCCCCGTTCCCCGGGGCCCGTGGCATCAAGTGGCTCACTTGGGCTGCGCCATGCTCAGGACTCGGATGCTGCGGTGCTCACGTGCGAGCCGCACCTCTGGCAAAGGCAGGGCTCGCAAGCGCAGTCGGCACCTTTGAGATGTCCGCAGGTCTCCACCATGCCTTGCCTCAGCCATGCGCATGGGCTGAGGGGGCTAGACTGCCAGGGGGGCGGGGTTGTCCGGTGTTTTTTGCTTCTGGTTGTGCTAGTTCTTGTGGGGGGAGGGATAAAAAAGGTTAAAACCCCAAGATTGGTGGTTTTGTTTGGGTTTCCCGGTGTAACAAGGGTCGACGGGGCGGCATTTGGACTGCCTGGAGCAATGAGGCAGGCCATGTGGAAGCACGGTGACTAGGTCCTCCAGTAGAGAGGTTGGAATAAGGGTACCCTTCTTTCTGTAGTCTAGTCTATTAGGGGAACTCTCCCCCAAAAAGCGCACTACTGGGGGACCTAGGTGAAAACACGGGACTCCCCTACCCTGGGTGTCCATTGCACCCATGTCAGCACGGCGCCACTTGGCGCTGTGCACGGCGCCCACAGCGGCACTGCGCCGTGGCGCTGCGCTATCATAATAATTAACACCGTCGGCTGCACGCGGAAACAAACTCTTTGGGGCAACCACACCACCCTTGCGGAAGAACACAAAGGATTTCATTTGAGCTGGGATCGGTGTGTATGGCAGCAGCTGTTATGAATGCAATGTCAGTGGAGAACATGACCTGGGGAGTGCCTTCCTTAGAAGCTCAGCGATTACTTCGCTCAAAAGAGACAACAATTCGAAACTCTGACGCGGGCCCCCAGAAGTACTGCGCGTTCGGCAGAACAACTTCTTCAGCACAAAAGTGGATTTCAACTCCCGGTCAATTAGTCTTTGCTGAAATTTCGTGATGTGTCCTCAAGCCTCAATCTCACCGCAGACCACCTTCTCTCCTTCAACAGCCTAAATCTGAAGTTTGACCTTCTGGGGGGGTGGGCAAAAAACGATATTAACATTATATTGGTATGGGTCAAAATTAAACTACCAGATACCAAGACTGCAGGTTTTAGTCCATGTTTCCACATGGTTCCAGTTTGAGGATCAGCTCTCTTTGACCCACAGCCATAGATGCATCCTCGCTTCCCAAGTATATTGGCAAAAAAGAGTCTCAACTTCTTGTGTACCTCCATAGTGGTCCAAACGCAACAGTGAGCATCGCCATATGCCACGGCATCCAATCCTGTGGATGGACGAAACTGGCAAACCTAAAAGAATGGTTTCCCTGTAAATGCAAACTAACAATGGTTTCCCATGGTTTCCAAGTGGTGCAGGATTTCGTCCATCCACAGTCGCTCCGATGATCCGAGTGGCAGCTGCAGCTGCGCCGAGAGGATTTGAGCCTGGCGGTCCTCCAGCAGCTCGCGCCGCGCCCGGAGCCCCATGCGCTCCGCCAGGCGGGAGAACCAAAACTCCCGCGGAGGGCCTGGGAAGGGATGCCGAGGGATACCTAGTGAGCCAAACATGGTATGTTTGTCGGGGAAGTGAGCCCCGGGTTTAAGGCCAACTGCACAGTTCTGGTTTCCTTCCAGTTTCTGGTCTATCAGCACAACAGGAAGTTGCCTCAGCTTCTGGCCACAATTCTTGCCATGCAACAGCCCCGGAAAGTCACCTCAACTTTTTCGGCCACGGTACCTGGTGAGCAAAATCTCAGTTTAAGGCCACCTACACGATTTGTGGTTTCCTTCCAGCTGTTTTATCAGCCAAGAGGCGCCCCGAAAAGAATCACATACAATTTTACTCGGGATGCTCCAGGACAAAAGGAAAACGGGTGCCACAACTGGGAAATGGGATACGGAATCCCACAGCAACCCCCTTTAACCAGCGCCCATCGGCCAATCTGAGTTGACTAGAAACAAGGTTCAACTTGCCCTTAGACGAATATGATTCTTAAACCTAAAAAAGGAGATTCCATTCCGAAAGCTGACGGGGCCGCGAAAAACAAATGGCCACATAAACTATGAGTCACACATTCACAGCACAGAATCTCCTAGAATCTTCATCAGCTGGGGGGGGGGGGGGGTGGCCAGATCTGTAAGCTCCTGGACTAATTGAACCATATGGGAAGTTGAAGTAATATTAGTGGCAACAGGTAACGCATCTGTTTTCTTCCGGAAATCATGACCAAATTGGATTCAAAGTACCCTAGAACCCCCATGCTAATGAGTTAGGCCCTTGTAGCTCGTTGTATTTCCCAACTGCTCACCGACCCTGGAAGACAAAGGGGATCTTTTATTGGCAGACGGAAAGGGCAACCGAATTGATGCCACTGAACAACCGGGAATTTGCCCAGATGGGTATGTGTCAAAATAGGGCCTGCAAAATGGGTGGTTGTTTTTTTTGTTTTGGCTTCCCTTTACAAAGGCAACACTAAAAAGCACATGAAACTCTCGAAACGAAAAACCCTCAAATTGGAACCCCCAAATACGTCGACAACTTCCACGGCTCTCAATCCACGCGTCTGCGGCGCCTTCCACGGTCGGGGCCCGGTACCGCCGCAACAGCAAGGAGGAGGACACCTGAGAAATTCGGGGGAATCTCCACAGGGGCGAGGAAACAAATGTGCTAGATTCAGTACGGGGAAAATGAACTTCTGATGCAGTAACGCTGACCCATACTCAGCAACCCCTGGTTGCTAAGGGGTGTCCATAGGAGAATGAGACCACTTTTCTGGGGGGGAGCCTATTACTATTAATAGACTATATACAGGGTCGTTTCAACAATACAAATACAACATACCGAATCGTATCGCTGCGTATTGCGAGCTATCGGTATCGAAAAGCAAGTATCGCAACCTCACATCGTATCGAAGACTATCGCTGCAAATCGTTCTGAATCATACCGATTTGTATCGGTATCGGTTGGGGTTTGCTTTGAGGGGCCCTTTGGGGCCAGAAGGGCGGCAGCCAGCTGCTGCTGTGCTGGTGGCTGCCTGGCACGGGAGGCGCTGGCAAAGTCTTTGAGAGGCTGCTTAGAAGAGACCCTCTTTGGAGAAATGGAAAGCCAAGAAAACAGACTGAGACTGCTTCAAGCCGATTCCATGTTGAACACTTCCCAGGGCTCATCCGGGACAGCTGCAACCAGCCAAGGCCAGAAATCAACCTAACTCGGCGAGTTAGATCGTTTTTGAGGGTTCCCACAGCTGCAACCAGCCGAGGCCAGAAATCAATCTAACTCGGCGAGTTAGATCGTTTTTGAGGGTTCCCACTTCTCAGGGCTCATCCTGGGCCAGAAATCAACCTAACTCGGCTTAGATCGTTTTTGAGGGTTCCCACTTCCAGCTCATCCGGGACAGCTGCAACCAGCCAAGGCCAGAAATCAACCTAACTCGGCGAGTTAGATCGTTTTTGAGGGTTCCCACTTCCCAGGGCTCATCCGGGACAGCTGCAACCAGCCAAGGCCAGAAATCAACCTAACTCGGCGAGTTAGATCGTTTTTGAGGGTTCCCACTTCCCAGGGCTCATCCGGGACAGCTGCAACCAGCCAGGCCAGAAATCAACCTAACTCGGCGAGTTAGATCGTTTTTGAGGGTTCCCACTTCCCAGGGCTCATCCGGGACAGCTGCAACCAGCCAAGGCCAGAAATCAACCTAACTCGGCGAGTTAGATCGTTTTTGAGGGTTCCCACTTCCCAGGGCTCATCCGGGACAGCTGCAACCAGCCAAGGCCAGAAATCAACCTAACTCGGCGAGTTAGATCGTTTTTGAGGGTTCCCACTTCCCAGGGCTCATCCGGGACAGCTGCAACCAGCCAGGCCAGAAATCAACCTAACTCGGCGAGTTAGATCGTTTTTGAGGGTTCCCACTTCCCAGGGCTCATCCGGGACAGCTGCAACTAGCCAAGGCCAGAAATCAACCTAACTCGGCGAGTTAGATCGTTTTTGAGGGTTCCCACTTCCCAGGGCTCATCCGGGACAGCTGCAACCAGCCGAGGCCAGAAATCAACCTAACTCGGCGAGTTAGATCGTTTTTGAGGGTTCCTGAGGGTGACCAAAATTAATGTCGATTTCAGACCTTTTTTTGAGGAGGCTTGTAAGAGTATTTTGGTGTAGTGGATTGTGTCTTGCTCTTGCACCCGCAGAAGTGCCGGCTCGATTCTTGCTTCTTTCGGGCTTTTGGCGACGAATTCGAGGTTCCCGGCCTGTTGGCAGCACAGCTTGCACACCAGCGCGCAGCCGCAGCGCCCAGCGGTTGAGTATCGAGATATTGTTCAATACTCCCCTGCTGTATCGCAAGTTTATCGGATATTCAAAGCAATACATATCAATAAAATCGAGTGGTATCGCGGAGCTTGCGGTACCGAACCGTATCGTCATCGAAACAGCCCTGTATATAGCTAGGGTTTATTAATGTGAGGCTATGCAGAATGCACATTTTTTTCGGCGACACGTGAAAAGTAATAGTCCGAGGTCGCCACAGTCAAAGTTGGTTGCTGGCGAGACCCCTCTGCAAAAAGTGTTTAACTTTTTTCTGTGGGTTCAATTCGGAAGATTCTATTACGCATGTCCGTCCTGAACATCCATTTGGGTCTGTCTTTCAGGTTGGACCCCCCCCCCCAAACCAAAAAAAAAAAAGAAAAAAGACAAGAACACAGGGCTTCGGCGGTCCTTTTGGCTTCCCTTCAGACCACTTCCGGGTTCGACCACCCCAAAACTCTTCGCCGAACTCAGCCCAGCGGCCACCGAGACCGAGGAGAGGGCCATGGCGCCGCCCGAGACGAAGGGCGCCAGGGGCTGACCCGTCAGCAGGAAGAAGAGCCCCGCGGCCAGGGGGATGCTGAGGCAGTTGTAGCCCAGGGAGAACAAGAAGTTCAGCTGGATCCTGGGCGGGTGACTTAAGCAGCGTGGTCCATTGAACATGGCGGAGCGTGCTTCATTCACTGTTGTTTCTAATATACTTATACAATGGCTTGTGTTTTCTACCTTCCTAAAACCTACGAAGATGGCCAATAGGGGTCAGTAATAGGTAACCACGCACACCGCCATTAATTTGAATCCAGTGGATAAGGGCAATGGACATGGGGTTAAAACATGAAACCGCCCCCACTGACTTGCTGGACAAGGATGCCTTTCAACATGGCGACTTCCAGGCTGCCCATTTTCAGTTTGAGTGGCTTTCTCAATCCCTACGCCCCGAAAGACATAAGGCGCCCCGCGTTGTCACCATAGGTGGCCTTTTGGAAAGATAGACTGCCCTGGTAAATGGAATAAACCCCATCTAAACCAGGGCCCTCTATTTTTTAAGCAAACCAACCAAAAAGGACACCCATGGTTGTCACTCTCCACCATGGGAAGGAAGGATTCACTCCGCCCGCCTCCGGAAGATGGCAGTGGAGAGGTGCAGCGCAGTGACCACGTCAGAGAGTTTGGAGCGCACCAGCACCATGTCCGCTGCCTCCAGGGTTTGTTATACAACGTAAGGATTAAGCCCCAGGTTGCGGGAAACTACATGGGGCTTTCCATCTCCAAACCGTTCTCACTTCAAGGAGGTTCGCCTTCTCGCAGAAAGTGGCCGTCTGAAACTTCCATTGGCTTAAGTCCGCCAATAAAACAAGAATGCTGTGATAGATATCCTGTTCAACCAACAGGGTCCCATAACAAACCTCACTTCTCGAGGGGATGGACAAACAAGTCTAAACTTTTTTGCTTACTGCTACAAAGAGATCTTCCCACAAAGCATCAAGTCCAGGGGTCCCTGGAAGACGATTCTGATTGGCTGGGTGAGGATTTCAATCTGGGTGTGGCTCAAAATTACCCAGGAGGGGCAAACCGCAGGTTTTGGTCCATGTTTCCACAGGCTTCCATTTTGGTACCTTACCGGTTTCTGAGCCACAGCCATATTGAGCCAATGGACCTGGGACTTTCTCATGTCTCCGCGCCTCCATGGCGATCTCCGCCCCCGCGCCGATGGCGATGCCCAGGTCCGCCTCGAGCTGCGAAATCCGAAGCCGGCGTCCAGGGGAACCGGCGACCGACCCCGCGCGCGCGCGGGGGAAAACACCCCAGGGGCCCCACGGGGGTGGTGTTTTTGTTTTCTTTTTGGGGGGGAGGGCCCGGATCAAATGGGAAGGTTGCAGAAAGTCATAGCTTAAGGTTGCCGGAACCAGACCCCTCGAGACCCCTCAGCAACAAAGCGAATCACTTGTTGTGGGTCCAAAAAGTTCTTCAGTCCAAAGATCCAACCAAAAGCCAGTCATAGAGTAGACCTCGTAAGGGGCAACAGAAATTCGTCAACAAGTCGGTCTTAATGTTTTCACGCACACCCAAGCCATTCCACCTCCAACGCGCTTTCGGCGGCAGTCAGGCCTGCGCGAGCGCCGGGGCATCGTTCACCCCGTCCCCCACCATCGCCACGCACCGGGGCTTCGCCGCCACCTCCCGTGCGTGAGAGCTCGGAGCTAGTCTCCTGGGAGAGGGGCGCTGGGGGGGGGGGGGATGGGGGGGCAGGGTGTTCCTCATGTTGCTGTGGGGCGGGGGGGGATGCGTGTGTGATTTGTTGCGTGCATTGCGTTTGTTACTTTGTGTTTTGTTACTTCGGGGGATGGTGTCGTTTGTTTTTTCTGTCTGGGGGGGGGTGTTCTAAAAAATTGTCCTTGACTTTGGCACAAACAGCCCAGGTGGCCTTGTGCCGTAAAATCATCTGATTTAACTTGAATTACACCCATCTTCTTATTTCGGTCCCCGTTCTCACCTGCCCAAAGGACCTGGACACCGTTTTGGAACCTCGACTCACAGAGACATGTCAACAGTCCAACTAGCTAGAAGGCATTTTTGCGTGGTACAGCCCGACCATTGTCCTAAAGGGCGTTTCTGGTGTGTTCCATGGCAGTGGAAGTATTGCTGAATCATTAGCCTAGACCCTTGCCGCAAAAGTTGATCTCCTTTTCAAGGCTAGACTGAGGGTCCAGGAGCCCACATCCTACATCAGCTCGTGAAGGCTCACTTTCTCATTAGATGGCCCAAAACAAGTCTAAACTCGTTGTTTACCACCAAACTGGTCTTCTCAAAACGCATAAAGTCCAGGAACTCAGGAGAGTTTTTTTCAGGCAAGGCCCCCGATTTGGGCATCCCAAATCGGAGAACAGGCGCGCCCGCGGGCCCCAAAAAACCCTCGAAGCCTCTCCTCTGGAGCTCCCTCACCTTCTCCGCCTTCCCCGAGGGCAGCACGCCCGCCACCACGTTCCTCGGCGCGGAGCAGCTGGCGAGAATCCAGGGGTCCAAGTTCCAACCGGGGATACCTGGGCTTTGGGTGGGTTCCAACAACAAACCAGCAAACCACCAACAAGAAACAACTAGCAAAAAATAGATCCAACCAAACTGGGCTTTGGGTTCCGATTTGCCCCTACAGTTAGTTTTGCACAGGTTGAACATACGAAACCTGCAGCTAGAGCTGCGCGGGGCGGATGCCCACCCGGCGCGCGATGGCGGCGGCCGTGCGGGCATTGTCCCCGGTGAGCATGTACACCTGTGGCTGGCTGGGTGGGCGGGCGGGCGGGTGGGCTGGTGAGGCTGGTGGCTTATGACTACGGCGGGTTGAGGGGCTACCCTTTTCAGAGTTCTTGGATGGATGGTCTGGGACAGGTTTGACCGCCGTATGCTGAAAGGGACGTACCCTTGCTAGCGTTGTCATTGGGGGAACCAGAAGGAAAGCGCCCCAGTATCATGGTTTCCTTACTCATGCCATGTTTGAGGAAAACACGTCGAGTAGCAAAAGCAGGTTAGTGGGCCAGTCGACGCCGGCCGCACTTGCTTGCGTAGCTGATGAATTGCAAGATTTCCCTGTGAAAGTCTGGTTGACCGCCCCCGGAGATCTCCAATTGATGGAATTTGGGCGGCTTGGCTGTCGATCTGGGGTCTTGGCTAACTCCCATACCATCCAGCACCTTTCTGGTCACTCTGGAGCTGTGACCACAGCCAAGTACCATGCAACGGACTCAGGCGCCAAAACCCCCAAAAGCTGAATTGCCTTCTTTTGGGAGCCTCCTTTGGTTCGCCCTTCAAGGGGCTCACCAAAAGGACACCCACCAATTTGTTTGGTACCCAGGTGCTGTGCCCAAGTTCGCGCCTCCTGGCCCATGCGAGCCAAAGCCTGAGAGGGGGGTGGGGGGTATGGTTTTCCCGGGGAACCACGCAAAAAGGTGCTTAAAAACGCGTTGAAACGGTAGAGGCTTCAACAACTATGCATCACTGGGGTCATGTTGGCTGGTTCTGGAGGGTTAAAGCGAGAAACTGGCTGGCGGTTTCCCTTCGACCTACTACTTGGGGAGGTGACTTTGATAGTGGTGAAACAACTGGGCAAGCAAGCTGCCGATTTCATCTGTTCTCAGCGATTCCGGCGATCCGGCGGAAAAACGAACCGAGCGCATATCTATGAGGTTCCCTGCTGAAGGTTCTTGAATTGTTTGCGGAGCCCACAGATTTGGGCCACAAGTAAAACAGTTGTCCGCTTGTGTGGGTGGTTCTACTTCCTGAATGCGGCGATAATTCGAAGGATGACGCAGACTCACATCAACGACTTGCTCAACGGGCCACAAAACAGGTGCGGATCTCCGCGCTCCATTCCAATACCAGGCTTTGAGCTTTCTTTCAGAATATCCGGACAAGAGAAGGTTCCCTTTAATTTGTTGCTTGGACAAGGCCTAGTTGGGTAAGAAGGTTCCCTTCAATTCGCCGTTCGGACAATTTCCCAAGGCCAATTTTGGGTAGTGCCTCCTTGCAAGGGCCAGCAAGGACCGAGGGCCAGTGGTTGCGCGTTTTTTTCGGCTTCAACATCCGGGCCATGATGCAATAGGTGCTTTTGGCCAAGTTGTATCTTTAGCTCTTTGGGTTCACACCATCTTTCAACAGTGCTTTCAAAAACCAACAGGTAAAGGTGACTTGGAAGCTGGGCCGATTTCTAGTTCCCCCGTGTCTGGACTCTTCTTTTGATCTAAGCCATTTGCATTTTAAAACAACAAGTTGGGAAGTGAGATGGTTCTTAGCTGAAACCATCTGGGCCTATACGTGGGAAATGTTGTTTGAATTGGATTGAACCCGACCTTAAACAAAAATCCACAATTAGTGGCTTAAGCATGTTTAAGCGCAAAGAAAGCTTTCAAGGATACAAAGGGGTTGCTGAGAATTAATTTGACCCTCCTGTTCGCTAACAAAGGGTTCCTTGCAAAGGCAAAGCGTTTTCCAGGACCCCTCAGTCAAGTTGCGTGTTAGCCGATGGGATCTCCTTGTGCCAGGCAAAGCGAGTAGATCTCTAATGCTGACCCCATATTGATCAACCCCAGTTTATTCATAGACAAATGGTCTGATTTCCCAATTTACTAGAAATGGACGCCCCGTATTAATAGGTTGGTTGATCAACTAGGTCCTCCAGTAAAAAGGTTAGAATAAGGGTACCCTTTTTTTCTGTATTCTAGTTTAGTAGGGGAACTCTCCCCCAAAAAAGTGGTGAGAAAGGGCAACTTCTGCTTGTGTTGGGCTGTTGGGCTGTTGGGTTGTTGGGCTGTTGGGCTGTTGGGGTGGTGGGCTGTCAGGGTTGTCTGTTGGATTCTACTGTGGGGACCTAGTTCATATGGGGTCAACCAAATCCCCATTTCGCCCGTTAAGGACTCGCCTGGATGGTCTGCGCAGCCTCCGGCTTCACGGTGTCGCTAAGCGCCAGGAGCAAGCTCAACAACCCGTCCACCGCCACGAAAATCACCGTCTTCCCGTCCTCCTGAGGGGTTCTTGGGAGGGAGGCTTGGTGGCCTTAGGGGTTTTGAGAGGGCATGAAGCTGGCTTCCCAGCTTTCCAACTCCATTTGTGCATCAGGAGGAAGCGACTATGGTTCAATCAACCTGCTTTGGGATTCTTTCTGAACTGGGTTGTTCAGGATAGGGAATGCTAGGAATGAAGCAATGCAGATATGACCAAACCAGAGAAACCAATTGCTAAAATCCTAAGTGAGACCCAAAGCCAGCCCAAAAAGGTAAGGTTCGGAAGGAACCTTCCCAGTCTTTGGAAGGGATCCATTCTCAGATCGCTTGCATAGTTTTGGGAGACCACTTTTGTGCTAGGTTTTGATTTGACTCATGTGAGCTTGTTGGGAGTAGTCCGTTTGATGTACACGACTGTTACTGGTGGCCAAAGCTAGAGGACAACATAATTCCCGCGAATTCAAGCCAGGTTGAGCCTAAGTCAAAACCGAAGGACCTGGCTGTTGCCTAAGCTGATTCGCAAAAAATCCTAACCTTGCTGCCCCCGAGCTAGTGGAGCCCTAAACTTCGCATTCCCAGACAGCCAGCTGCAACTGCCATTAGCAGCCGGTTGTTGTTCACAATCCGTGCCACGTATGTCGCTGTTCCTGCAGATTCGTTTGTCATGGATTTTCTGCATAGCTCTCAACATTTAGTCTGTTGATGAATCCGCCGTGTTCTGTTGAGGACCCTCCGTTGCATCCTTTGGTTGGCTGAAGGAGGGCGTACCCCTTTTTTTTTTTCTTCTCGGAATCTGATGCCAACTCCTGACCGAAAAAACGGGTGTCTACCATGGACTAGGCTTTCCAAAAAGTACGTATCTCAAGAAAGTGGGTAGCTAAAGTGGTATCTATCTTTGGGAACCCTGTTGCGGGGTTGAAAGGGAAGCTACAAGGAAACCAACCAACCAACCAACCAACCAACCAACCAACCAACCAACCAACCAACCAACCAACCAACCAACCAACCAACCAACCAACCAACCAACCAACCAACCAACCAACCAACCAACCAACCAACCAACCAACCAACCAACCAACCAACCAACCAACCAACCAACCAACCAACCAACCAACCAACCAACCAACCAACCAACCAACCATGCTGTGGGTCCCCAATCCAAAGACACCCCCCCCTCTCCCGGTGAGGAGCCGAGGGCACCGTACTTTGCATATTCACTTGACAAATAAAGGGCGCGAGAGAGAAAGTCCGTTGGAAGGGCTTCTAAAAGGATGCGGACCGTCTTTCTTTGGGGTGGAACGGTGCCAATGTCTCTGTCAACAAGGCAGCCCAAATGAGAACGTGGTCGAGTGTGGGCGCATCTTTTTGGAGGCTCGAGCGGCTCGAGGGATTGATTTTGGAAGAACTGGAATCGCCATGCAACATGGGTGTTTTTTTAAGTGTGCCCTTTTTTTGGCGTGATTTTGAAGCGAACCAAAGGGAATTCCCACCCATGTTAGCGGTTGCCCCTATTTAGAGACACACGCCCATATACGTATATTTAGCAAAGAGCGCTGCACCAACACGGTGCATGGCACAAATAGGTGCCGTCGCTAGCGCGAACTGTAGATCTACGTTTAGCTGAGGCATAATGTTTCAAGCGTGTGGAATGACGCAGAATGCCCAATGCAAGACCAACTGTGGATGGACGAACTCCAGCTGAAAGAGATGAAACCTTGGGGCAAACCACCTATCCACGGGTGCAGGATTCTGCCCATCAACAGAAAACACAAACCGAACAACTGGGCTCCCTCGGTAAAACATGTCGCAGGTTTGTCCCAAAGAAGAAGCCGCCAAAGTGGGTTGTTTGTTGATTTCCTTTACGTTGACTTTCTAGCACCGAAGAAGACCCGACACTGCGGCACAGCCCGAAAACTGGGCATTCTCTGGAAGACATATCAACTTCTAGTTGCTTAAGCCCCTAAAACAAACATATTTGTGTGCTAGATTCCCTGTAAAACCAACAAGACACAATTTTCTTATAAGCAAATACAAGTCAATGATGCCACTTGTCGCCTTGCCGCATCGGGCCAAGTTGTTGCAGCGAGTTCGGCCCCGGCGGTGCCTCCAGCTGGGCCTGTAGGTTGATGAAATGGGATGCGCGGCTGACGTCAACATCGTTGCTTTCCATCCACGCCATGTTGCCTGAGCTTGCCAGAGTTCTGAACTACCTGGAACCCAAACAAGGCATTCCCCAAAAAGAGATCAAGGATGATCAAGGTAAGGCCCCTCTGTACAATCACTTGGGCAGGCCTTCAACTTCATCAACCACGGCCCCGAATCTTATGAAACCATACCCCAAGGCCAGGCCGAGTAAGCCTTTCAGAGTGCTTGGCGTCCTGATACGAGGCTCTCTTGCCGGCAAAGCGGCCGACCCTGGTCCTGAAATGGAGGTCACAAAGCGGTTCAGGGTTGGAAAAAAAGGTACCGTCCCTTCCACTAACATGGCAATTGTGGGAGGAAGATTGGTTTCCTCTTCAGGGGACCCATGTCTGGTGCTATGTTAGTTGGAGGGGTACCTCTTCCCGTACGACTGGCTAAGGCTTGCAGGCCAGAAGGCCGAGAAATCGGCAATCAACATAATTTATATAACTCATTTCAACTTGGCCGCGAAATAGACATTTCGTCCACCCACACCTCGTGACATGTCGCGGTGTTCCCGGAACCCCAGTGTGGGAAGCAGCATCCTCCCCCCCTCCCCCGCCCCCCCAAAAGAAGAAAAACAACAACAAGTAACAGCTTCTTCCCTCAAGTCCGACATCCCCCAAAATCCCCAAAACGCCCGTGGTTTCGGACCCGCAAAACGCGCTACGCCAAATCGAGCGGCCCAAGAGGACCTGGTGCTCCAGGACCCGTGCCTCCAAGCCCCGGCCAGGCCAGGCCTCGACCGCCAGGTGTGGTTTTTGACGTACGGGTAGAACTATTTCTAAAAATGAGTTGGGGGGGGCAACAAACTGAAGATATGGCTTTCACACAGCGAATGTTTCGACCTTTTGGTTGGCTTCCCCGCAACGAGGGTCCAGGGGCTGCCCCGCAAATGTTGCATAACCCTTTGAGCCCTTACAAATACGCCGTGACCCAAGGTGCCTTCGATCCCTTTCATCAATGATTCCGCTTTTGTTGGCTCGTCTTGGAACATTGAAGCAAATGAAAACGCATAGCCGCGAATAGATCAACAAGTGCCACGCTCTAGCTGGCTTCTTGCCCTCTCATACCACCGTCTTGCCTCCTGCTGGAACACGGGAAAATTTAGCCCTATTGATTTACAAGCATCAAACTAGGTAACTAGGGAAACACACACACACACCACACACACACACCACACACACACACCACACACAACACAACACAACACAACACAACACAACACAACACAACACAACACAACACAACACAACACAACACAACACAACACAACACAACACACAACACACAACACACAACACACAACACACAACACACAACACACAACACACAACACACAACACACACACACCACACACCACACACCACACACCACACACCACACACCACACACCACACACCACACACCACACACCACACACCACACACCACACAACACACAACACACAACACAACACACAACACACAACACACAACACACAACACACAACACACAGCACACAGCACACAACACACAACACACAACACACAACACACAACACACAACACACAACACACAACACACACACACACACAACCACTTTCTGACTGTGACAAGCCCCGAATACAGGGGGGCCAAACAATGTGCATAAGAAACCCTTGCCGCACGCCCATTTACATGGCTACTCATGTGGCACGCCTTGGACAAACGAGAGCCCGCACCTTCACCGATTCCATTCTTCGAGGTAGCTGAGAGCCCTAGGATTTGTTCGGTTCTTCAGGGTTGCTTAAGGAGCCTTAGGCAATCTCCCCCCTCCCAGGCCACCCCTCCCCCTGCGACCCCCACCCCCCCTTGCCAGGCCTTGAAGCTCCGCGGCTCAGCCAGGCCGCCGGTTAGGCGCTGCGCCTCGCAAAAGTCAGCTGGTTGGGTGGGGGGGAGGGGGGGCTGGGGTAAACTGAGATCTCGGAGGAGGAAAACCAGGTTTTTCTCCGTGTTCTTCAAAGGGTTGCGTGGAAAAAGACAAGTTTTTCTGTTGTTTCAGGTGCTTCGAAGGGTTGCATGTACCCGGTAGTTGGGCGTATCCTTCAAGTATAACCCTTCTGCGGGGAAAAATCTTGCCTTCGCTGTCTCAGCTAAGCAAAACACATGTTGGGGGAAGAAGCTGGGGACAAATTGGACTCTACCTACTGGATTGGAATCACCACACATGGGCTTAGCTGCGGAAAACCTCAGCCTCAGTGGCATGAGCCAAGCTTGTCCAGACGCACACCCAATCAAAGGCTCCTGGCAACGACTCCCCCGACAGCCGTCTAAAAAAAACGATCCACCGGTGGCTGCCGATTTCGGGCCGTTTCCCACCATGTCCTTTTTCCGTACTTTGTATCACAGAAAAACGGAGGCAGCCACGCAACAAACCAACTAACCAACTAACCAACCAAAACAAACAAACCCACCAAACCACCAACCAACGTACCTACCTACCAACATCCTACCAACCAACCTTCCCACCTACCTTCCTACCTTCCTACCTACCTACCTACCAACCAACCTCTCTACCAACCAACCCTCCGACCTACCTTCCTAACTGCCGATCTACCTACCTTCCAACCAACCAAGCTGCCAACCAAGCTGCCAACCAAGCTGCCAACCAAGCTGCCAACCAACCAACCAACCAACCAACCAACCAACCAACCAACCAACCAACCAACCAACCAACCAACCAACCAACCAACCAACCAACCAACCAACCAACCAACCAACCAACCAACCAACCAACCAACCAACCAACCAACCAACCAACCAACCAACCAACCAACCAACCAACCAACCAACCAACCAACCAACCAACCAACCAACCAACTCCAACCAACCAGGCAAGTCCCCTCCTTCCAAGGTGCGCCTCCTGGGCAATGGCCTGGCCCAGCGGGTGCTCAGAGCCCTTCTCCGCGCTGCCGGCCAACCAGAGCGCCGGCAGCATGTGGCTCCAAACCGTCTGCAGTGAGACGCTCCAAACCGCTCATTCGACCTTCCATTCTATTCAGCCCTCTCTAGTAGTGATAGATTCCCTTGAAAACCGACAAGAGGAAATGACACATATTCTTAAGCAAATGGAAGCTGTCCATATATATATATATATATCACCATGCCTTTATGGAGGAAATGATCTTTCAGAAACGAAAGACTGGGAAGTGAGATTTATCTTAGCTGAAACCATTTGGGCCTATATGGGCAACATGTTTTAAGATTTGGATTAAACTACCTGACCCCTTGAAACGGGAATCCGAAATTGGTGGAAAGTGCAAATAATGCGTTCAAAGTTGGCGCTTTTTCTAGAGCTCCTTTGCAGAAGGGTTGATCAAAAGGTCCGAAATTGATACGTGGGATGACCATTACATGGAACACCACTAAAAAGATGAAATGTCCCACAGCAGTAAATGGGAACACTTTGGCCACGGGGTCTCAGGAAGATGAACCAACCCCCATATATGCATCCATGGCCACTTGGGACCCATTGTCGGCCTTGCTTTCCAATGATTAAGCCATACCTGGTTAATTAACCCATAGACTAGGGGTTCATACCAGGGGTTCATATATGGACATATGCATCCAGCCTTTGATACACTGTGGGCTTCTGCGGCGTTTTGCTTCTGGGATTGGATTGGGTTTAAATTCATGCTTCAATGCAGGTTTGTGTGGCTTAATTTGGCTTATGGGATTGTATGAGTTTATGTGGGCTAATCTGGGTTTGTGTGGTTTTGTACGCGCTGTGGTTTAATGGGATCATGCGGCTTGATATGCGCTGGTATGTGTTCATATTAGCTTATACGCGTTTATATGGGCTTATGTGGCTGCTTCTTTCCTTTTCCCATCCCTAACTGTAAATCATGAGGCCTCCATTCACCCATTCACCCACCAAGGATGATGTAAAGTGTAGGGATGTCTCCCCTAAATGTGAATGAAGGCAACCGTTTAAGCCACTTTTCACTACACTCCCCCTCCCATGGAGGGCAAACATACGTATATGTATGTGTACATATTTCCCAATATCTAATTATGTATCACTGGGTGTAATGTTGACCCAGGGAAAAACTCGTTGATTAATAGGGGAGTGTCACACTTTAGAGGGAAACCGTCTTTTTTGGGATGGGGTGAACACACGCCTGTTTTGGTCCACGAGTTCGATTGATTCCGCATCAACATTGTGACAGGCTATATCCGCCCCTACCCACTGATCCAGTGGAAATCCCTTGGTTCATCATGCCAGCCCGAAGCATCAAACCTTGAATCTTGGAACTGGGGATAACTTCCCAGGTCCAAACAACCTGGAAATGCCAAATGTAACGACAATGGGAAGGTATCTTGCTCCCAAACCATAAACCACCCCTGCTTCCATCAACATGGCACAGGAAGGTATCTGGGGAAACTACTACTATTCCTAAACCAGAAGTCAGGAAAAACACCGGTGCGCCCGTTTTCCCGAATACACAGCGCGAGATACTTTGCCCAATCTGCTTCAATCAATGGAGCTCGTCCGACCCGATATCCCTCAAAGCAGCCAACCAAACCCCACGGCCCCAATAGCAGCCACGTGGTGGTTGATCCAACTTTTATCGAGCGATTAGGAGTCAGGCTCCCCGCCAAACGCCCAAAACACGACTACACGACTAACACCCAAAACTCAAATGGCAACCTCCAACAAACGGCAAATACAGAAATACAGCAACAACTGAACAAACACATCAACAAATAAATACATAAACCAACAACTTAAATAATTTTAAACACGGAAAACACCCCCAACACCAACCACCCTCCAAAAACTTGCGGCGAGCGCTTCGCCTCAGAGTCGAAGGTCAGACCTAAGGACTGCAGGTGGCGCTGCACGTCTGGTAGCTCTGTGGCCTTGGGTCGTTGGGTTGGATGGATCTGGGGTCGTTTGGGTATGGGTCAACATGTAGGCACCAGGAATCGGACCGCAGGTTTTAGTCGTTGGTTCCATTTACCAGGGCAAGCCATTTTGGGTACCCATAGTTGGCCCACACCCATTTGGGTGTGCCTTTTTAGTCTGCTGTGTGTTTTACAAGGGGCACCAGAAGGAAACCAACCACGCGAAACCACACGCAATCTTGACAGGGGTTCTTTCCATTTAACCTACCATGGGGGTGACCTTGATGGCAAAGTTTTGGGGCCAGTGGATTGGGCTGGGTGGGATTGCTTGGGGGGCATTGCTTGATTTGCTTGCTGGATTGTTGGGTGGCTGATGAGTTTATTCTGTGGTTGCTTCGTTGGGTGGTTGTGTTTAAGAAGACAGCCAGCCGGACACAAACCACACCGGCTCAGCTAGTGGTCAAGCAGCTGCGGATTCGATATCCGTAACCTTGGGCTTGCCCTCGGTGATGGTGCCGGTCTTGTCCAAAACCACAGCTTCCACCAAGTGGGCCGCCTGGACATGTCTTGTGAAACCCTGGGCCTACAGGGAAACCCCAAACACCCTTCCCGAACCCACAACCCTCCCTCCCTTTGGAGCTGCTTTTTTTGTTTGTCCTAGCCAAGGCTACCCTCCTCTCAAAGTTGCTTACTAGAGGGCGGGTTGAGGGATTTTTCCACTCGGCCCTGCGAACTAGGGTTTTGTCCTCAATGAGAAGGGGGCCCTCAAATCTTTGTAAGCTGGACCTTCATACCCCTCGTTTACGCCATGCATGCCTAGAAAATAAGGGGGATTTTGGAAGACCTCCCCCAAAATGCCAGCCCACTTCCACTTGGGTGCAATCACAGCAAACCACAAAATCTGGTTGGTCTCCTCTTGGCTTCCTTCACACCATCCCAAAAAGTCCCTACATGTTCACCCCCACTTCACTTCTCGGGACCAAACTTCACCCCCCCCGTCCAACCCATCCAAACCCATCCCCACTTCACCTCCTTCAGCCCCGGTTTTTCCGCCCACCCAACCCAAGCCCCAAACCAACCCCGCCAAACCCCGCCAAACCCGCCTTTCACCCAATCGGCTTTTCCAAAAATTCAACCCAAACCCCCAAAGCCCAACCCCGCCCAAACCTGCCAGCCCCATCCCACCTCTAACCCCCAAAGCCCAACCCCAAACCCACCAAACCCGCCTCCAGGGCCTGGCCGCCCTTGATGAGCACCCCACTCCTGGCCCCCACCCCGGTGCCCACCATCACCGCCGTGGGCGCCGCCAGGCCCAAGGCGCAGGGGCACGCCACCACCAGCACCGAGATGGCCATCATCAGACCTCCGAAGGCGCGTCACGACCCGAAGGCGCGAAGGCGCCGAGGCGAAGGCCCGACGAAAAAAGCGCGCCACAATTCAAAACTCGGAACTAGTATGGTGAACCAGAAGCATGTGAAGAATTAGGAAGGCGGATGTCAGCAGCCATTTATGGCTGGGATGGGCCCTTACAAACCTTCATCTACCCGGGTTTTGATTGTGGCTCAAACCAGGTCGCCCCCGAACGGGAAAAACAAACCGGCGCCCGGGTGGGGTTTGTTTTTCTAAGAGCCCAAAGAGAACCCCTGAAAGGAACCGGATCCCCGAAAACCGGCACAAACCACCCCGAAAGAGCCGATTTCCGGGCAGAGACCCCACAGCTTTCATCTGTGTCTAAAAACCGGGGAGACACGGAAGGCGAAAGCTTTCCGCTTGGGAACCATGTTGCTTCACAGCTTGGAAAGGCCGCCAACCAGCACCCAAGGAAGGTCAGCACCCAAACTTCAGCGACGTATGGTTGATTCGAGTGACTCTCAAAAAAAGGCCGACCCCTTCGCTTGGCATCTACAGGAACAAGGAACCCTACCCTTTTAGGGACCGCTACTTTCCTACCTGCGCTCAGAATGCCAGTCGTTCATTAATGTGTTCTTTTTGGTGGACCCAGCGGGGCCAGAAGTGGATGAGTTCAAGTTCGTGTTTTTCGTGGCTGCCAACTGGGTTCTCAGTCTCCGGGAATGAATTGAACTGAATCATCCAACTGGTGGTTCCTTCGAGGAAACAGTTCATTCCCACATATTCCCACCACCATGCCGCAGCAACAAGCCAAGCTTGCCATTGTTTGACGCAAACATACTGTGGATGGACGATTCGTCCATCCACAGTACGGTTAAAACAATGAAATCCAAGAGCAGCACAAGGCACAGGGCAACTTCCCCATTCCGAACTCTAATCCCAAGGTTGGAAGATCGATGTCAGAACCTGGCATTCAATGGCCTACACAACGTCATGTAAAAGATTAAAAGGGCGGCCGCACCCTTCATCTGCCCAGATCTTGATTGTGCAGGGTTCCCTATATTTGCCCTCCTCTCTAAACATCCCAGCAAACATAAACTCACTTTAAACCTGGCCAAAGGGTGAGTCATGATCACAACCCGGTATCAAAATGGTCTACCCCAGAACCATGCAAAGAATTTCCAAGGCTGCTGCACCCATTTCTGGTTGGGACTGTCCCGGGTCCCTTACTAACTTCACCAACCCCGGTTTTGATTGTGTCAAATCATGATTGAGCCAACCCAAAAAAGATATATAGGAAACCCGGTCGTCCATGTTTCGCATCGCGGGGCTGAAGGAGAAGGCATTGTGGCGGTCTGCTTCCGGCAACTGGTCCATCTTCACAACGCCAAAGTGGAGCAGCAGCAGCCACAGCACCTGGGAGATGGACACTGCTTCCGCATCTGGGTGTCTCTTCTTGTTTGTTAGACACCCCGGTTCAAAAGGGTGGGTTTTGTTTCCCCTTTGTTTCTCTTTGGAACAACCCCAAAACAGGTAACCTCAAAAACCACAGCCCCCCACATTTCCATTTCCCCTTAAAGCATCACCTTTACCAAGGGAAATTCACGTGACGTTCCCCCGCAAGGTGAGCTTGCACACCGCGCCCTAGGCCACACCCTCCCAAGCTCCGGAGATGTTCCGCCAAGCTCGGAGCTCCCTCCAGGTCAGCTCGAATGAGCGCATACCCCTGTCATATCCCCTTGCTTGAGCCGACCTAGGAGGAACCCCTGTCATACCCCCTTTCTAGAGCCAACCTAGGGGAGGTCAAGGGATGACTAGAAGTCAATTGGCAAGGGGACATGTGCGGAAGAAATTGGTGTCTTGGTTCTGATTCGCGGGCTTCGGATCAGACTTTGCTGGGCTTATCTTCAAATGGGTCCCTGGTTTCATGTCCCTTCAAAATCGACTTCCCCCCAACAAAAGCGACAAAGCTCGTCGCGAACAAGGCAGCGACAAGGCGCCAGCGTGGTCAGACTGAGGACCATGACGGTGGGAACAAACACCCCAGAGACCTTGTCTGCAAACTCCTCAGTGCTGCAGGCTTCAAATGAAACATTTCAGGGACTAGTTGCTGTTTGCGCTGTGCGTGTAATCGCATGTGTACATATATGCATATATATATATACATATATGTATGTATGTATAGTTATATATTGGGGCTACTGTGTCCTTCCCAAAAGGTATGAAGTCCGAAACTAGGGGAAGTGAGGACTACACATCTCCGAGCTTTACGTTTAAGTCTTGTGGGCATGTCAAGATAAAGGTCACCAAACACGTGTTGCCTTCAAAGCCACCCAAGAAGGGTACCCTCACAGAAACACACACACACACACACACACACACACCACACACACACACACACACCTCAGTTACCCAACGAACCTGAAAATCCAAGGAGCTCACCTGTTGTGACCTTCCCTGAATATGAACGAAAATTGGAAAACCAAAAGGTCAAAAGGTTGATTCGCTTTGAGCAACTGAGCTTCTTCGTGCCCATAGGGTTGTGCCAACCTTTGTTGAAACATGTGGCTAGCAACTGTTTTTTTCAACAGCCTCCATTTGGTTTTCAAACAAGAAGGGAAACTCCAACTGTAAGACTCACAAGTTGATGCCCCACTCCACTTGGGCTTTCTTACCGTTGAAAAACTCTGGGCTGCCCCGTTTACACAACTGTTGCGACCAACCCGGCATTGCAGCGTAAAATTGTGACTCGTGGTGACGAGTACTATGACCTCCCCCCCCCCCGCGAACCCACCCCCCCCCCACACCCCCCCCCCAACCGACAGGGAACCAGAAGCAGGTTGCTTCGTCACTTCCTGGGTGGGTTTGTCAAAGCAAGTTTTGTTTGTTTGCCACTAATGCCACTAAATTGACCCCAAGTGTAAAATCCAGGAAAGTAAGCCAGTAAGCCCTCCAACAACTACCTTTCCCATGACCAAAATCCCTAGTGTAAAACCAAGGTGGGGTGGTGGAACAGGTGGCGTCCAAACTCCAAAGTGTGTGAACCAGGGCTTTACCATGTTTTCTTTCAAGCTTCGTGGTTGAACCATGGTTCAACCAGTTTTACCCTTTTTCCTGTATTTTATTTTAGTAGGGGAACCCTCCCCAAAAAAGGGTAAAAGGCACTACTGGGGGACCTAGCAGTGGTCAAACCGTGGATTCAACCCACAGGTGTTTCTCCCCGCCCGCCGTCAGCCGTCGCCGTCTCAAGCCGTCTCAAGCCGTCTCCGTCCTGCACGGGCGCCCGCTGCGACTGCGCCTGCTCCACTAGCCCGGCGATCTGCGCCAGCGCTGAGTCCGCGCCCACCGCCTCCAGCCGCACCTGGCTGGAAGAAGGACTCGGCGGCCAAAGGACTCGGCGGATAAGCCCTGGCTGAGGTGCCACAAAGGGAAGTTGCTTGCTACCGATGAAGTACCAGGGGCGAATAGATTGCTCAGAAAAAGTCCGGGATTTGTGCTTACCCCATCTTAAGAGTGTCAAGTCCTGCAGCTCAGGAAGCAAGTCGCGGTTGAAAGACTCGATTCATGGCTGTGGATCTATGAGGAATGCCCTTTCCTTTTGCTTCGGTGAGCCTCGTCCGTGTGACACGGTCAGCTGATCCGGAATGCCCTACCCAGAGGCTCCCAATTGATTTAGGGCCTCCAAACAACCTCAACCACCTCCGGGGTGTCTAATGGAGGGGTCGGGTCTTCCATTGAATGCCCCAGGAGCCTGTAAGGAATTTTCATGGGCGAGCGGAACCGTTCCAACCCCCCAGGTGAGGCCCTGTGACGGCCGACGGGCGCCGCGCCTGCAGCTGGCCTCCGTGGTTCGTAGTGCCGCCCACCACTTTGTCCCCGGGGCCCTGGGGCGGGATCCAGCAACGATTCAAGCCCTCGCTTTGCTTTCACAGGGGGGTACAGTAACCTGATTCTTCAACCCCGGCGTTGCATTGGAAGAGGCGAAGCAGTGAGTCAAACACGTGTTTGTGGATAAGCCATCCAAAGGAGGGCAATACCAGCACGCCGAAAGCGGGGTATGCCTCCAAGCGGGACCAAACATCCTTTCAGGGACCATCAGAGATGACGCACATGCCAGGTGCACCTGGCATCCCCGCTGGTAAGCACGATGGTATACCCTCATGTACCTATTGTGCATCTGGGCATCCATGGAATGCTGCTCACATGGTTCGGAAACGGGAATACAAACAACCCCGATAAACATGACCCTCAATATCAGGACCCCTCCCAAGAAAATCAAACACAAGGAGCAAAAGCAACATGCAAGCATCGACCCTCCATATTAGGACCTCTCCCCCCAAAAAAAAGACACAACAACACAAGAAGCAGAAGTATCGACCCTCCATATTAGGACCTCTCCCCCCAAAAAAAGACACAACAACACAAGAAAGTATCGACCCTCCATATTAGGACATCTCCCCCCAAAAAAAAAGAAGTAGTAGCAAACGACCCCCCCCCCCAAAAGACAAAAAGAGAGAGGAAACAAAACCGCAAACGGCAAACGAACCAACTGGCCCTCGCCTTGGGCACCGGCAATGCCTCCCCTGTGAGCGCCGACTCGTCGACGGAGGACTCCCCGGACTGCACGAGGCCATCCGCCGGGACCTGCGGATCCGGGAGCCCGGCTTGAGGGGAACCCTCGGCGTGGAACCTCTTGGTTACTTTCTGCGAAGCCCTGCCAACAGTGAATAACTTCTAGCTTTTAGTGCAACAAGTTATTCAGTCCGAACATCCCTTGGCGAAATGCACCCAAGTGAAAAGCCGCTTGAAAACAAAAATGGCGGTAAAGTTGGTCGGGGACAAGGACTCGATGGCATCCTGACGAGCCGAAGCCGGGTGGTGGTCAACCGCAAGGACGAAAACCTGCGGTCCATTTCCTGGTGATTCAACTTTGACCCCTACCCAAATGGAACCTTTAAAAGAGGCCTTGCGGGTTCCGTGTTGGGGTACTGGAGGAAAACCTTCTGGGGCCGTTGGAAACGGGCTGTCCGTTTTCAGAGTTGAATGGAAACCCAACCACTAAACCAACTAAAAACCACAAAAAGGCTAAGGAACCGGACGGCTAAGAGCCACCAAGTAAAAATGGACTGCCTGGAGCGTCGGCTGGCTCGCACATGCTTCCGAGGATTCTGATTTCGGAGAGGCTCCGGGGCGGCTGGGGCTTGTCTAGCCACCCGAAGAATACCCTGCGGCATTTAAAAAGGAACATCGACTTCCACCCCGAAACCTGGGGCTACCTCGGGCTTGGGTTTGGTGACCCCGACACATTCCCTTCCCTGCGCTTCCAAGCCTTGGAGCCTGGAAGCACCCGGACCAGGTCGCCCTTCACCAGCAGTTTGCTGTCCACCTGCCGCTCGCTGTCCTGGCGCAGGTCACTGAGAGAGTGTGAGCTGGACACTACGCCCCTGTCCCACCAATTGACTTGTTACCAAAAGCACCTGGAAATATGAAGTTGGTCTTTTTGGGACCTTGACTGATATTGAGCCCAAATTGAACAGCCAAACGGTCACAAGATCGGCTTTTGCCAACTTAGTTGATGATGGACTCTTAGACCCCCTCAATTTGGCGGTGGGCAGCGTCCCAGGGTGAGCACACCCGCACTCCCCACCAAAAGGAAGTAAAACTCATCAAGGACATGGAAGCTCCCAGGTTAGGCCTCTGTAAATAAAACCACGTCTTCCATTTCGGACTCCCTGCAATCGTCTGGGGGAGGGCGCAAAGGGGGCCCAAAGCCTGCAGCATCAGCAATGCCCGCTGTGGCTGCAAGGCCAGCAGGGCAGTAATGGCGTCACCGGTGTTCCCTTTGGCGCGGCACTCCAGCCACTTCCTGGGCTTGCGGCTTGCGGCTCGCCAATTCCCCAGGGGATGACTGTGGATGAAAATAAAACCAACTGGTTGAGTGGGGGAGTATGAACAAAACTAAATAAACGGTTGAGTAATGGGGGGAGTCCCTGGTTTTAGCGGGGATTCGAGGGAATCATCTGGCCCAGTGTTTCCAGGCCCACTATAGTTGGTAACCAGAAATCCATTCGTCCAGGTCTTACCTGATGGTTTCCCGTGGTTAGCTACTAGAGTGGTATCTGGAAGCACTAGGTAGGGGTTGATGTCCAATTCTGACAGCAACCGTCGTTTGCCAAGACCAGGCTGTTTGCCCCGGGACTTGGGACAGAATTTTGGGAAGCTCCCCTAGGGAATAAGCCGCACCAGTTCCCCAGGTGAAAACTTCCCATGCCTGGCTTACTTTCAGGTCGGTTCCTTCCCGAAGCCTCTGATTCCAGCCAAACACCGGGGCAGCTTGTGGCCCTCAAGCCTTCTCTTGCAGTGGGGAAGACACATTTGTCTCACTCCCCGAGTGGGTTCTCCAAAATTCAATTTGGAGCCGGGAGAGAAGCAGAAGAACTTGTTCAAAAGAGAGGGGGCAACACAAAACTGTCTCACTCCGCCAACTGTTCTTCGCAAGTATGAACTCCGGCCGAAAAAGTGATTCAGCGGTTTTGCCCCAAAAGTACGAACTCCGGCCGAAAAAGGGTGAGTTGGGAGTACGTACTTCTCCCACGAAGCGCCGCAAGAAACGGACACGCTCCGTCCATGAAACGCGCCGAGCTTCCCCAGCAGCACAAAGGTCACCAGCAGGGCGGAGGTGTCGAAGTCGAGGTGCATGGCCTCTGAAAGTTGAGCCCTCTGAAGCCCCCCGCCCCTTGAGGTACGGGAGCACGCCCCTGACCAAATTAAATTACCGTACGCATCATGATGTCCCTGGTCCTCGGGGGTACCACGACTCTTGGGGTGAGTGTTAGCGGTCTAGTTTCTTTGGATGCGAAACCCGATTTGAGTGGGAAACCCACCAATCAGAACTTGCCCTGAATGAGCAAATGCCGATTAACCCCGGCACAAGGTCTAACTGGGGGATTGACTGACGGGGTGCTAACCTCTTGGCAACTCTCAGACCATCCAAGTGTGCCCTGGACCTACCCCAAATCCCGTAGCTCTTGATTTTCTTTGTTGTTTTGTTTCTTGTTCTTTTTTGTTGGGGTGGGAGAGTGGGAAAACTGCCATCATACACGGTACCAATGTCCTCTGCCAAATCCATGTTTTACAGAGGTGGGATCTTGCTTCAAATCGCAGCCTTTAAATATTGCAGCTTCCCAACATGCCACTTCCTCCCAGGCGTCATTCGAACATGTCCGACCGAAAGGGTAAAAATGCTTGTCACCATGCGTTAACCATCACCTAACCCAAAGGAGATGCAACCTGACAGCTTGCCAGGAAAAGCACGTTTAAGGCTATGATCGAAACTTTCTGTTTAAGGCTATCTTCGAAACAAGACGCAAAGGACATGTACAGCCATGACAATATTCCAAAAGAATTATCTCAGCCAAAAGCATGATCTTGAATACTCGCTATTTCGCTTGCCTTTGAAAGTAAACGGCGCGAAGTAACTATAGTGACGGACATACACTTAGAAACAGTTTTGGTTTCCAAAATTTCCGACAAACACTTAGAAACGAAAAAAATAAAAACAGTAAATTCAACACTTAGAAACGGTTCGGCCGACCAACACTTAGAAACCTTTTCTTCGCCTTTATGGCGATTCTGATGCATATTACCAGCCGTCAAAAACTTAGAAACGTTTCTAAGTGTTGCCCGAGAGGTACCTGCGGCTTCTAAGCATTGGTCACGGGCGTTGCCCCGAGAGAGAAAAGAGCCGACCATGCAAGAAAAAAACAGCGGAACTAACTATATATATATACACAATGAATCAGGCACACAGCACACATGATAGACTTAAGAGATCTTCGGGCAGCCAGACAAAAGACAACCTACAAATCACGAAAAAACAACGAGTTTACCAAAAAAAGGATAAACAAATGACGAGATGATGAAACAATGATGAACCAATATGAGCACAGTATGCAAATGATGAAACAATGAACAATGATAAACAAATTATGATTTGCTGGCATTTTTTGTTTTCAGAACTTCCCATGAACATCATCTGTTTTTCATCATGTGTTCATCCCTCCCTTGTTTCAACAGAAAACAACTGGAAAAAACTGCGCGACACCGTGGACAATAATGAAACAAATCATAAGGTTAATGAAACGGTTTCGTGGGGTTGCCGGAAGCTTGAAATCAGCTGGGGGCGAACAAATAGAAACGGTTTTTTCAACCCGCTTCTTTTTTCAGAATCTACCAATTGGACTTGTTTGTGGGTATACATGCCCAATACTCCATACATGTCAGCACTGTGTGAGCAAGGCATGATCTACTTACACAAACACACATATATTTATATATGTACAGACCTTCGTCATGGGGGGATCGCTGCTTTCTTGGGGTTGCCGGAAGCTTGAAATCAGCTGGGGGTGAACACTTAGAAACGCCTCCCCCAACCCCCCCCCCCTCAGAGTCTACCAATTGGACTTGTTTGTGGGTATACATGACCAATACTCCATACATGTCAGCACTGTGTGAGCAAGGCATGATCTACTTACACAAACACACACATATTTATATATATATAGACCTTCATCCTGGAAGCATTGGTGCTTTCTTGGGGTTGCCGGAGGCTTGAAATCAGCTGGGGGTGAACACTTAGAAACGCCTCCCCCAACCCCCCCCCCCCCTCAAATTCTACCAATTGGACTTGTTTGTGGGTATACATGACCAATACTCCATACATGTCAGCACTGTGTGAGCAAGGCATGATCTACTTACACAAACACACGCATATTTATATATATATATATAGACCTTCATCCTGGGAGCATCGGTGCTTTCTTGGGGTTGCCGGAGGCTTGAAATCAGCTGGGGGTGAACACTTAGAAACGCCTCCCCGAACCCCCGTGACCAGTACTCCATACATGTCAGCACTGTGTGAGCAAGGCATGATCTACTTACACAAACACACACATATTCATATATATATATATAGACCTTCATCCTGGGAGCATCGGTGCTCTCTTGGGGTTGCCGGAAGCTTGAAATCAGCTGGGGGTGAACACTTAGTGTCAAGAGACGGCAAGGTGACGTCCCGTGGGACGCTGTGCACCGAACCCTCAAGCTTTAATACCAACCACGTAGAAAGGTGTATACGGACGATGCCGTTATAGCCGAACCCGTGTAAACGTTGTAAGGAAGAAGGAATGATAGTTACAACAGTGGTCCTGACAAATGCAGCGCAAGCAGTTGTTTTCGTTCTTAATGCCGATCGCGTAGGTCTGCAGTCACACATCAGATCTTGAACCTCAATTGTGTCTTGAGCCAAATGGCGATCAATGGAACTTGGGAAGCAACACCAACAAGGACCTCAGAACAGCTACCCAATTTCGGCACGGGGCCTAGAGGGTTTTAACATCCCCCATTTGGGTCGCATTGTTCATCATGCGGTCCAAACACCACAAAACGTTCCACTGGCCACGGCTTCAACTACGAAATCGTGTCGTGCATTCTTTTACTTGCTATCACTACACCGTTCATTCGCTGTGAAACATGCCGGGTTCGATTGTACGAAAAGTGAAACATTCATCCTCCAATCGAAGCACACATCCATATGCAGGTGTATATAATACACTGTGGCCACTTCACTTGACCGCCAGTGAACATTCCAGCTGCCGCATTTGCGCATCGCGCAGCTGTCATCCATAAATGGGTTGGCCACAAAAGTCCACCAGACGCGCCCGCTTGTGATCGGTCTGCATATCTCCGGCAAAGAAACATCGGTGAGTAATCAATGCAAATCATAGCCATTCCAGATACCATGGACAATGCATAAATAATGAAAAGATATCATCTATAAGGTAATAGTCCCATCCATGAATATCCAGAGCGTCATAGTCATCGGAGTATGTAACCATGTACACATCCATTCAACTTGGATATATGAAATCATATCATAATGTAGAGTCGTTCCGTCGCAATGGTGTTGATGAGACGCAAGCAACAGATGGGGACTAACCCACATCGTGCCGCAATCAACATCTTCACTACGCATACCGGTCCCCAATGGACAGTCTGTGAGTGCGTCGACGGAACTCCTCGTCCAAGTTCTTCTGGGCTTCTCGTGCCCGGACACACTTCTTGTTGTAGTCCTCTGGCAACCAGTGCCCTTTCCGAAGGCACCAATCCAGCAGGGGTGTGTCGCATTTGTTCGGGTCGACGGCCGAGATGATGGCGCTCACGTTGACCGTGTAACCATGCTTGCCAAGGTTTAGGCCATCCCTCACGAATGATATATACTTACAGTTGAAAGCTAGTGCAAAACATCTGAAAATAATATCACCCACCGGGTGCACTCGGTCCTTGACCAGGAGCTTCATTTCTTCCTTGGTGACATCGAGGATTCTCGCTGCAATCCACAGCTTGTAGAACGTGTAAAGTCCCTCGCATTTGTTCACCATCATACGAATATATTCGTCACGCTCCTCAACCGATCGGAAGGCTCTTGTCCGAACATTCTCCGATTGAGAAATCTTCGTTATTGTTGATGGCAAAAGTATACCTTCCTGATCGTGCTCAGTGATGTTGGGGTACCTCTTGAAATCATTGTGGTAAGGGCAGCCCTCTCTCCCCTCGAGCTTGGCATTCATCGTTCTCTCCTCACCACCCTCGAACATCCCCCACATCTTGGACATCTGGAGTGCGATAAATCCTGCCATGTACTGAGCCTCACGCGGCTCGTCAAGGCAGATCGCCATCCGTTGGGAACTTATAATGTCCCGTGACGCCAGATCGGTGTCGCGGTAATGCCAACCGCTGTCTTCTTCTTCTGACGCATAGCCGGATGTATATCCTTGCGTGTCCATGTCGTCATCTTCTCCCGGAACTTCCTCCGCTTCGTCTTCATCCTCCTGTGCTGCCGCATCGTGGTTAGCTTCTTCCTGTGCACGCCTGGCATCTCCAGAGACGTTGGGGTTTTGGTTGTCCTCCTCGTCATCGGATTTGATGTGAATGTAATACCTTCCGATGGAGATCAGTTGTGCTTCGCACTCCAGGCATAAGCAGAAGCAGGTGGGGATCGCGGTCGCACATGATGGACATATCCGGCACCTCAGTCCTTCCCATGTCTCGTCATTCAGGATGACGACTTTGCTGATTTCGTCCCGGACCTCGTTGACCTGTGCATTGAACTCTTCCATCTTGTTGATTCGATAGAGTTCGCAGGCACGATTAACCATGTCAACGATGTAGTGCAGATTATCGGCACCTGTCTCAGTCTCCGGCATCCTCTCGCTGATCTTTGCGACGTTCTGGAGGAACATCGCAGCCGACTCTTGGGAAGAGTTGACAAAGCCAGGGCAGATCTCGTTCTCCACACACTTCGAGTACGCCCTCTTGATGTCAGCGTACTCCAGGCGCTTCCCTCCGTTGCTTTTGCCAATCCAAATGGACTTGACCTCATAGAACGGGATCACGTCAAAGACCATGAAAGTCCCATTAGCCGCGACTCCAGCCCCATACCGCGCGAGGGTTGCACTGGGAATATAGATGATCGCAATCGGATCCCCTCTCCTTACGTTCCGTAGCGTTGTCTTCGTCGCCACGTTCATCTCATCCCATGGAGCAAACGCCCCGAAGTGCAGTGCTAGCCTGTTGCCGCCATCGATTCCGCCGGGGACTAACCCACAGCGTACGATGCTTGGCAGGTTTTCCACATACGTCAC